CACATCTACGTTTCTTTTCTTTCCTCAACTCATCCCCGTTGGACGAGAGGAAAGGGAGTGTCGCGTTTTGTGCTTCAGAAGAAAACAACTCGAGCGCTAGGTGTCCTGTGGTGAGGACTGTAGCTACACATACACATTCGCACATATCTACCATGGCGCGCATCTCCGCTCGTCAGGGTGCGGCCAAGCCCTTCACGGCTTGGACCACCATCTTCTACCTTCTTCTCGTTTTCATTGCCCCTCTGGCTTTCTTCGGTACCGCACACGCTCAGGATGACTCGTCAGTACAAGACAACTACGGCACTGTCATTGGTATCGATCTGGGAACCACCTACTCGTGAGTTGACCTTGTATCGCTGACTGGGGAGACACAACATGGGACTAACTCATGGTCAACAGCTGTGTTGGTGTGATGCAGAACGGCAAGGTTGAAATCCTCGTCAACGACCAAGGAAACCGTATCACTCCCTCCTACGTCGCTTTCACCGATGAGGAACGTCTCGTCGGTGACGCCGCTAAGAACCAATACGCCGCCAACCCCCGCCGTACCATCTTCGATATCAAGTGAGTTGTCCTGGTTGTGTGTTTGGTTGAGATTTTTTTCTTTTCTAACATGCTCTAGGCGCCTGATTGGTCGCAAGTTCGATGACGCCGATGTTCAGAAGGACGCCAAGAACTTCCCCTACAAGGTCGTCAACAAGGATGGCAAGCCCGTCGTCAAGGTCGAGGTCAACCAGACCCCCAAGACCCTGACCCCCGAGGAGGTTTCCGCCATGGTTCTGGGCAAGATGAAGGAGATTGCCGAGGGCTACCTTGGAAAGAAGGTCACCCACGCCGTTGTCACCGTTCCCGCCTATTTCAACGACGCCCAGAGACAGGCTACCAAGGATGCCGGTACCATTGCCGGTCTCAACGTCCTCCGTGTTGTCAACGAGCCCACCGCCGCCGCCATCGCCTACGGTCTGGACAAGACCGACGGGGAGCGCCAGGTCATCGTCTACGATCTCGGTGGTGGTACCTTCGATGTCTCTCTCCTGTCGATCGATGACGGTGTTTTCGAGGTCTTGGCTACCGCCGGTGACACCCACCTTGGTGGTGAGGATTTCGACCACCGTGTCATGGACTACTTCGTCAAGCAGTACAACAAGAAGAACAACGTCGACGTCACCAAGGACCTCAAGGCCATGGGTAAGCTCAAGCGTGAGGTCGAGAAGGCCAAGCGTACTCTGTCTTCCCAGATGTCCACCCGCATTGAGATCGAGGCCTTCCACAACGGCGAGGATTTCTCCGAGACCCTGACCCGTGCCAAGTTCGAGGAGCTGAACATGGATCTCTTCAAGAAGACCCTGAAGCCTGTTGAGCAGGTTCTCAAGGACGCTAAGGTCAAGAAGTCCGAGGTCGACGATATCGTTCTTGTTGGTGGAAGTACCCGTATCCCCAAGGTCCAGGCTCTCCTGGAGGAGTTCTTCGGTGGCAAGAAGGCCAGCAAGGGTATCAACCCTGACGAGGCTGTTGCTTTCGGTGCTGCCGTCCAGGGTGGTGTTCTGTCCGGCGAGGAGGGTACTGCTGGAGTCGTTCTGATGGATGTCAACCCCTTGACTCTCGGTATCGAGACCACTGGTGGAGTCATGACCAAGTTGATCCCCAGAAACACCGTCATCCCCACGCGCAAGTCCCAGATCTTCTCTACTGCCGCTGATAACCAGCCTACCGTTCTCATCCAAGTTTGTAAGTTGCTTCGGGTCCATTTTGTGATTTCACTGGATACTAATTGGGTGTAGACGAGGGTGAGCGTTCCTTGACCAAGGACAACAACCTGCTCGGCAAGTTCGAGCTTACCAGCATTCCTCCCGCCCCCCGTGGTGTTCCTCAGATTGAGGTCTCTTTTGACCTTGATGCCAATGGTATCCTGAAGGTGAGCGCCAGCGACAAGGGCACCGGCAAGGCTGAGTCCATCACCATCACCAACGACAAGGGCCGTCTGTCCCAGGAGGAGATCGAGCGCATGGTGGCCGAGGCCGAGCAGTTCGCCGATGAGGACAAGGCCATCAAGGCCAAGATTGAGGCCCGCAACGGACTGGAGAACTACGCCTTCAGCCTCAAGAACCAGGTCAACGACGAGAATGGCCTGGGTGGCCAGATCGATGAGGATGACAAGCAGACCATTCTGGATGCTGTCAAGGAGGTGACCGACTGGCTGGAGGACAACGCTGCCACTGCTACCGAGGAGGACTTTGAGGAGCAGAAGGAGCAGCTGTCCAACGTGGCCTACCCCATCACCAGCAAGCTGTACGGCTCTGCCCCGGCTGATGAGGATGAAGAGTATGGCCATGACGAATTGTAAAATACGTTATTCTTAGAGGGATTTCCAGGAGTTTGCATTGCTTGATTGATCCGAAGACCAACATTTTGGTTTGATAGTTTAAATATGATACCTATCCTAGATAACTCTGAGTTGGACTCCGTTTTCGTAGATACAGCGACGTATATTGATTTTAGTTCAGTTAGTGCAGATAGCCGCAATGCTTGGACCAACTAGGCTAGTGGAACAGTGGGAAGCAGGAAGGGAAAGGCTGAAGCTGTCAAGGTCCACTTGGGGGTTGGCCCGTCAATCTATCCATTACGATGAGTCTGAAGAGATTGCAGTGGACAACCCATTGCGCGTCCTGTCCCTCACTTACCAATAAGGGAGTCTGGATCTCTCTCCGCCTGCCGAACCAGGCAAGATCCATCACCGCCTCGGGGAAGATCAGACAAATCCAGCCCACTTCAATCTACGGGGCTGGAGTCCAGTCCCTGTTCTATCCAGTCCCTTCCTGTGCCGTCTCTCGTCTTTAATCTCGCCTCTCCCCGCTCCTTGCCATGTTTCAACTCCTGCCTGACCGTCGCGGTCTTTCTTACGGCTGACTTTTGTCATTCTTTCTCCTCTTAACGATCTAGAGGGGCTGCTGTGTTTCCTTCGTTCGGGGACACTACGCTCTTTACTCCCCTCCCTGTATATACCGTCATTATCGCCCCCTTCCTATATACCACGTTTCGTCTATGATCGACTGCACTTGTGAAACTTCCTGCAAAAATGCTCCGCTCACTCCCCTTTGCCTGCAGCGTACTGCAGCTCCTCCTCCTCGCAACCCCCATCGCAGCCGACAACTTCCCCTACGTCGGCTACCGCACCGCCCCGTTTCTGCCCCCACAGCTCAAAGTCACCAAGACAGGGCCGACGGACCCGGGGTACATCTTCGTCGGCCCACGGGGCAACCAAGGGATGGGCACGGCCGCGCTCATCTACGATGAAGACGGCCAACTCGTCTACGAGGGGCCTCAGGAAGTGACGGCCAACTTCCGGACGCAGCGGCTGTTCAACGAGGAGGTGATCACCTTCTGGGCGGGCGACATGACGGACCTGGGATTCGGGTACGGGACGGTGCACATCCTGGACAACACGTACCGGGAGATTTACACGGTGACGCTAGGGGGCGGGGACTTGAACTTTGTGTCGCCATTCGCCGACGCGCCGGCCTCCTACATCGATCTGCACGAGAGCCACGTCACCGAGCGCAACACGCTGCTGGTGACGGCGTACAACGTGACGCAGCACGACTTGACGGTCATCGGCGGCGCGCCGGACGACTACATGCTCGACGGGATGTTTTTCGAGATCGACATCGCGACGAACGAGATCGTGTACGCGTGGAGCGCTGTGGAGCATCTGGCGGAGATTCCCCTGGAGGGGTCCAAGCAGGGGCTCGGTCCCGAGTATGGGACTAAGGAGAAGCCCTGGGATGCGTATCATATCAATTCCGTGGAGTTGATGGAGGATGGGTATATTATCTCGTTGAGACATTATTGGTCCGGCTTCTATGTGCATAATAATGGGACGGTGATGTGGAGGCTTAGTGTAAGTTCCTCTTTTCCTTCTTTTTTTTTTTTTTTACTCTGGATGTGTATCTCACATCAAGTAGGGTGAGAAGAATACCGGCGACTTTGAGATCGATGATCAGGCGGTCTTTTCGTGGCAGCATGATATCCGCGTCTACAACCAGACGCAGGAGGGTCTCGTGTTGAGTCTGTTCAACAACGCCAACACGCCCACGGAGACGGTGGCGGCGACCACCGGGTTGAGTTTCTATGTCGATCTGGCCAACCACAAGGTGTCGACCTTGCGCGCGCTGTCCGACTCCAGCGACGTCATCCACAGCGTCAGCCAGGGCAGCTACCAGCTGCTCAGCCCGCAGTCCGGGCATGTGGTGCTGGGGTACGGGTCGATCGCGCGGGTCAAGGAGTACGATGCGTCCGGCAAGGCGGTGATGACGGCGCAATTTGGCGAGGATAACGCGGTGGCCTCGTACCGCGGGTTCAAGTGTCAGTGGAAGGCGACGCCGTTCTGGCCGCCGGCGGTGGTGGCGATCCGGACGACGGACGAGGAGGCGCAGGTGTCGATGAGCTGGAACGGGGCCACAGAGTATGACAACTGGGCGATCTATGCGGTAGAGGGGGAGAAGCTGGTCAAGAGTGTGAAGCGGGAGGGGTTCGAGACGACGGTGGAGTTGAGTGGGTTGAGGGAGGGGTATGTGCAGGTGGTTGCGCGGCAGGGGAATATCCCACTGGGGATGTCTGAGGTGATATATGTATAGCTGTAGTTGATTGTATAGTGTATAGTATAGTTATAGTTGTAATAGCATGCTAGAGCTAGACTCGCTGTTTTGACCAGTTTCTGTTCTATCTGGAATATGTGTAAGTAGTACTAGTAGATAGTTCGCGGGTTGTATGTATACCCAGCTGTGTAGTACATAGTCATAGTAGTACAGACGTGATGGGAGTACACATGGTAGTTACAGACGAGGTAGGGATGTGGACAGCTAAAGTTACTCAACCACCTCACTGTAGAACGTATACCTCAACCAGTAAAGAGATACTATTGTACTGCACTCATCATGATGGCTATCGCACCGACAGACATATATAACCGCCTGAACTGCCAGAGCCAGTTCATACTCTATTACTAGTAGTATCTACCACCTCCTCCACTCCATCCACGAGTTACTACTACTATCTTGTAGGAAATATGCACATCCCCAAGACCCTCCTCTCAACACTCTCCCTCTACACAATCCACACAACAGCAACCCCGAGCAACCCCCCAGCGGTAACCACACCCCCAAAATCCAACGCAACAATCACCAACAACTGCCCCTTCCCCATCTACCTAACCGTCGTCTCCTCCTCCGCCACCTCCCCGCCCCCCGAAATCACCCTAGGGAGGAACAGCACCTACACCGAGCCCTACCGCCACGACGCCCCCACCGGCGGCATCAGCCTGAAACTCACCACCGTCGCGCACGGGCTGTACACCGGCGCCCCGCAGACGATCTTCGCGTACACTTACGTGGAATCGACGAATCAGGTGTGGTTCGATCTTTCGGATGTGTTCGGGGATCCGTTTAGGGGGTTTCGGGTGAGGTTGAGGCCTGTGGCTTCTGGTGGTGGTGGTGGTGCGGAGATTGTCTGGGAGGATGGGGTGCCGCCGCGGTCGGGGGGGAGTCAGGTTCGGGTTGTGGCGGGGGATGTGGGGGTGGGGTTGGGGGTTTGTGTTTAGGTAGTTTTGGCGATTTGTTTTGAAAGGAGGGGAAGGGAGATTGTTTAGTAGGTTGTTGATTAAATGTATCTAAGTATTAGTGGTTGAAGGGGGGTGGAGTTCACTGGTCTGATAGGAATGTATGGCGGAGAGCAAGGATGATTGTGTTGGATAGTTACGGTAGTAGTTTCGTCACGTCAAAGACAAACTCATTGTCTCAGTTGACGATTCGGTGTACTTGGTTCATCAGAGAAAAAGCTTAAGCACATCTTTCTTCGTATGATCCGTTATCCCGTTGCGGGGATTCGTACTATCGGCGAACAACTTCACCGTGGAATTACTGCGTCGATCAAGAATACTCACAGGCTAAGCAGTCGTCATTGACCAAACTGTAGGCTGGAACCCGGATCATCTGCTCGGAGAAATACTGCATGCATCAAAGAGGGGTAATCCTGCATGGGTCTATCCGAAACACCACCCATGCCATGCATCATTCTGCTTAGTGGGAGGAGAAGGCGACCAGCAGAAAAGGCCTGAGTCCCGGAGATTTCACCTGCACAGATGTCCAATCGGAGAAATCCACAGGCAGAGGTTGGCTTCCAGTCTAGCACAGAGCTCAACGCCTACTTATACCCCAACATCACGAGCTGTCAACAAACACAAGCTACTACTGCTAATTGCAACTACCTACAATGACGCTCGACATCCCCCAAACCCAGACAGTAGCTCTGGTCAATGAACTCGGAGGGAGGGTCGAGTTCCGTGAGGACTACCCCGTCCCTACCCCGGGCCACAATGAAGTCCTGGCCAAAGTGCTCTACACGGGTGTTTGCCAAAGTGGTTCGTGACCTATATCAAACGGCATGGGGCACCGCTCCTGTGATGACAACCTGACAAGCACCGCAGACCTACATACCAAGAGTGGCACTGCCGCCTCGTCCGAGGGCACCCCCATCACAAACATCAAATTCCCCCACGTGGGAGGCCATGAGGGCGTCGGACGCATTGTGGCCCTCGGCCCTGGGTGCGGCTCAGATCTGAGGGTCGGGGGACTGGTGGGTATACGATTTTCGAGCCGGATCTGCCGAAGATGCGAGTTTTGTCTGGCGGGAACCGAGCAGTACTGCATCAAGAGCACCAATCATCTTCATCACGAGGATGGAAGTTTCCAGCAGTACATCGCCTTGGATGCAGACTACTTGACTATCCTGCCCGATGACATCGACCCTAAAGTCATTGGGCCGGTCCTGTGCGCGGGTGTGACTGCTTACAAGGTACATCATCCTCCCGGCCCAAGACGTCGCTAACCATGTGCAGGCAGTCCTCAATACCAATATTCGGCCGGGCAATTGGCTAGTTGTAGTCGGTGCCGGTGGCGGACTGGGCCATTTGGCAGGTAAGTCACATCGAAAGCACTGCGACGAGAGCTAATAGGCCAGTCCAATATGCCAAGGCACAAGGAGCGCTAGTGATCGGTGTTGATGCCGGTGACAAGCGAGATTTCGTCCTCAGCCTGGGAGCCGTCGAGTTCATAGATTTCACCACGATGGATCCTGTCCAAGGGGTCCACGAGCTTACTGGCCTGGGCGCACACGCTGCGGTTGTCACCGCTGGTAGCGCCAAAGCGTTTGCAAATGCATGCGAGATGTTACGCGTGGGAGGGATTTTGAGCTGCGTAGGGATTCCCCCCGGACGTCCAACCCTGCAGACACCAATCGCTACGATTGTGATCAAAGGGCTTCGAATCATCGGAAATCTGGTTGGCTCGCTGAAAGAGTGTATGGAGGCAGTGGAGCTCGTTCGCCGTGGGGTGGTCAAGCCAGAAATCAAAGTCCGGCCGTTCAAGGATCTGCCTCAAGTATATGAGGAGATGGAGAAGGGAGATATTGCGGGAAGAATCGTGCTTCAGATTTCAGAATGATGCGCCATCTCGGGGCTGCCCTTTTCTAAGCCAGTCTCGTAGAGAAACTCAGTTAGATGAAACCAACCGGTGATTAACCCAGGCTGATTGTTCAGCACATGACTCTTCTGTGTGGCAGCTAGTCTGCTCTGTAAGTTTTCTATTGCTGTGATTGAGGTCAATCAACCGCACAGGGGCTTGAACTAGAGCTTCAGCAGTCTTTGCGCGGAGCAAGGACTTTAATATAGAGTCTTGCTCTAGGAAAGGCAGTAATTTCTGGTATAAAGCATGCAGAAAGTCTTGAGGCCTCCACTGCAAAGCTGCATGCCCAGAGCCTGGCATGGTGAATAGAATAGTATCTGCTAGCGAGTTGGCAACCTCGAAGCACTTCAACAGCTGCACAGGCTCAGCTTGATCTCCATTATGCACGAAACAGACTTACCTGATCACGTCCCAGCGGGAGCAAGTCCGACTCGGAAAACCCCTGCAGGGAGCATAGCAGAGCACGGCCAACAACGGCGGGAAAGCGGAATGTCATGAGGTCGACACAGGAGGTTGAGGAGAGCAGACGCTGAGACAGTGCTTTCTGCCAAATAATCGTGCGCATCCATTCTTTCGTGATGCAGTAGTCTGCCACACGCGTTGTCGGTCCATTCTGTTGACTGAGAGATAGTCCTGACAGTGCCGCCTCCGTCGCTGCCAGACTCCCCGCAAAAGTTACAGTGGTTGCATCTCTATGCCGCGTGGAGATCATGTCAAAAGTTGCAAAGAGTTGACCTAGCTCAAGTAAGCCCTGCACTTCTGGACTGCAACTATGAAAGTCTGGCTTTACGATCGGACATGTATAGGACGGTTGGAGGCCCAGATGCATAGCATACCCCCTGCCGATGTCAATAAAAGCACCTGCTTGAGCCAAGCGACGTACCTTTCTGAGATCCAGAGCAGGAGAAACAAAACCTCCTTGTTGGCGATGACTTCATCGAAGGTCATGACCTGCTCAGTCACGCTTACGGCATTCAAACCAAGGCGCTCGGCCCCGGAGATGGCTTGCTGTATGAAGCCCATGGCCGATTTGCGTCGGTTCCTCTTGGCGTGATATACATGTAGAAAGAACGAGACGAGGATACTTCGCAGATCGAGACGCTCGCGTGATGGGTTTGCGTCCCGCAGCTTCATGCATTCTGCTGCCATGGTCGTGCAATCCATGGCTACATCGCCGAAGAGCAGGGGGGGCAGTTGCAATTGAGCCATGGTAGCTGCCGAGAGAGCCATGGCTAGACGGAGGATGTCCACGTCCGGGATGGACTCGAGCTTTTGTAGGAGAGCAGGGGCATTGATGATCGGCCAGACGCTATATGATGATTGCTGGTATAAGTGGACGATATGTGACAGGACTGCCAAGGGAATTGAAGTGTGGTTTTCGTAGAAAGCCGTGTCTACAGCTGCCGAGGGAGCTGCAGTATGGTTTCTGTGAACGGGACCGTCTCGAGCTGCCAATTGTCCCGTAGCACAATCTACCCACGCAACAGAATCTAAACCCATCGACAACACAGAATTGCAGCTCTCCGCAGCATCCTGATCAGAGCTTATCAGTCCTGTTCCTACAAGAACAACCACAGATCTTGCCCGCCCCTCCAACCGCCGCACCTTGGGCCCCCTTCGCCCCACGGGCTTGAGAAAGGTGCAATCCACGCGCCTAGAACTCTGACGACAGGCATCGCAGGGCCAAGTACCACTGCATTTGACTTTTCGCGCGATACATTCATCACAAGCTTTTTTGATCGGGCGCCGCATAGCGGATGGTTGTGAAGTTGTTAGTGAGAGCGGGGAGAGGAGAGGAGGGGAGGGGAGGAGGGGGAAGAGAGGGGAGAAGAAAGTGTGGAGAACAAATGATGCAAATGAAATGCGTACAGTAGTAAATACGGAGTACATCTTGCAACCTCATTGTTGTACACATCTCCACACAACTCATCTATCCGAACTACATCTTTTTCCACACTGTATTCCGTACTATACACAATACACACCATCACCTCCGACGTCATCGGGCCCTGAATGAACTTCACTTCCCGAGCTCCACTTTTACCCATCTCTAGGCTGGACCTTCCCCCTCAACGCCCCTCTGTGACTAACCACTGCTGTGTCTGTGTACTGTTATAAAAGCCCATCCCTCTCCAAGCACAGTCTAAAGCACCCACCACTACAACACCGCAACCCTCCACTCTCCACGCTCCAAGAAAAACAGCACCGCAAAAATGGAAGACAAGCCCCTCACCCCAGTCAGCACCGATGTACGTCCCCCACCCCCAAGCCAAGACCAATTCCTCCTCAAACTAACCACCCAAAACCACAACCACAGCCAATCGAACTAACCGCCCTCGAAACCTCCCCTTCCCTCATCTTCACCAGCTTCACGGCCACAACCGCCTTCCAGCTAGGCCTCGCCCTGCGCAACCGCATCCTCTCTCTGCCGCCCTCATCCCGCAAACCCGCCCTCATTTCCATCACGTTGACTACCGCGCCGCTCCCATTCACCACAGACTCCCAGCCGGTGCCGCCGCACGTCGTCTTCCAGTGCGCGACCGAGCCCGGCACGATCCCGGACAACGAGGTGTGGGTGCGCCGGAAGCGGAACACCGTGCTGCGGTGGGGGGTGAGCAGTTGGTTGATGCGCAACAAGCTGCTGTCGAGCCTGAGCGATCTGAAAAAGGACGGGGTGGAGGCGGCGTTTGTGCAGAAGTATGCGCTGCGGTCGAGTAATGGCGGGGCGGTGGCAGATGATTATGCGATTCATGGGGGCGGGTTCCCGGTCAGGGTGCGCGGGGTGGATGGCGTGGTGGGGGTTATTGTGGTGAGTGGGTTGAAGCAGGAGGATGATCATCAGGTCATTGTGGATGTGGTGAGGGAGTTTATCTTGCAGGGGGGGGAGGCGTCGGCTTAATTAGTCTTGGAAAAGGGAGAAGAGCGTCATAGTGTGTATTGTGTGTACTATATATGTATAGGAGTGAGAGAAAAAAGTTTGGATACTTGGATACTATGTATATATCAGACTAGTTGACTGTTTGCACGGTGGATGTCTACTTGGGAGTGATTGTCATGTTCTGGGATCATCATAGTGCCCTGGGCTGATCCTAACGAGCTGGCTTCATCCAAACGAACGGTACTGGCAACATATATCGAGTCTATGCATCAAATCTATTAATTAATCTATTCACATCGATCATTATATACGTCAGGATACCAAAAAAAGGAAACCTAAATATACAGTTACAGAAGAAATTAGGCCTTGCACATGCGGCCCGACTCCGACACAGTCCAGTAATCACTGTCCACACCCTTGAGAACATAGAACACGTGGTCAGGATCCCACTTGTTCTTGATCTCCGACAGCTTGTCGTAGTTCTCGCCGAAGAAGGTCTCCTTCCAGTTCAGCTGGTTGAAGTCCGCCTCATTCTGGTACGCACCAGCGCCGGGAGTGGCGGCCTCGAGCTGGGGCACTGCCTCGTGGGTCATCTGGTACTGCTCGGCGAGCATCTGCGACCACGGCGCAGTCTCGTTCCAAGCGGCACCAATCTGCATGGTCACAGCGGCCTTGCGCCACTCGGGGAAGATAGCGTTGGCGGTGTCGTTGGAGCTGGTCACGTTCAAGCCAACCCCGACAGCGATGATACCCTGGCTGGTGATGTTGCGAAGGGCAGAGACCAAGGGGGTCACGTCGGAGTCCAGAACGGAACGGGGGAGCAGGCGGCCCCCGTAGTTGTAGGTACCGACATCCAGGTTACCGTAGGGGAGAGGACCCATATACTTCTCGTAGTGGTCGTAGTACGAATCATACTGGGTGTACGAGACAGTATAGGGGATGCCCAGCTCGGTCAGGGCGGAGAGGAAGGGAGTGAGGATGGTCTTCGCCTCGGCAGAGGTCTTGTTGAAGGCGGTGAGAGGGTTGATCAAGAAGATGCTATCAGTCATCTCGTAAATAAGAGTGGTGCCAGCATCGACCATAGCGGGCAACAGCTCGTGGAAGCGAGCGACCCCCTGGAAGAACAAATCGGTGGTGACATTGCCACCGGCAACGAACTCGAGACCAGCACCGGAGATGGTCGCATCCGAGTAAGCCTTCACGGTAACGGACAACACAACAGCGTAGTTACCGGCACCGCCACCGCTGAGAGCCCAGTAGAGGTCGGTGTTTTTGGTGCGCGAGGCAGTGACGAGCTCGCCAGAAGCGGTAACAACCTCGAAGGACAGAGACTGATCGGCACCCAGACCGAACGAGGTGCTGAGGGCCGAGTGGCCACCACCCTGGAGGTACCCTCCGGCAAGACCAACGGTGGGACACTCACCCCCAACCACGACGTGGCCGTTAGCATGGACAGCCTCAAGGACCTGGAATCCCATCACACCACTACCGAGCTTGTAGGCAGGGCCGATGTAGGTGGAATCAGACCAGTCAACATACTCAATGTCGTTCAGATGATGGGTCCAGATGGCCAGAGAACCAGCACCGGTGGAACGACCAAGATAGCTAAGGCTGCTGTTAGCCGCGAATCGACATGTGGAATGCACAGAGAAAACTCACTCATGACCAGTGTTACGGATGACAAGACGGATGTTGTTGGTCTTGGCAAACTTGATAGCCGCAACAACCTCATCGCTGGTCGAGACATTGACCGCATAGTTGACATAGTTGCCAAGCAAGCAGGGCCGGGACACAGCGGTAAAAGGATCGCAACTCTGGTTCGCAAAGTACGTTTGCATCACCGAGGAGGAGGTGTCCATGCTGAAGCGTGCGCATTAGCCGTTAGTGCGGCAAGAGGTGAGTGGAAACAAGCTTACTGAGTCTGCGGGTAGTACCAGTTGCTCTGCAGCTCCTTGCACGCATCGGCATCGTAGTTGGGAGCATGGCAAGGAGTACCAACGGGGACAGTGGCAACCAAGCGACCGTTCACCGTGCTGTTCAAGGCATCCCAGCTCGCGGTCGAGGGCCAGCAGCTATCGCCGGGCAGGCAGTGGCAATCGCTGGCGTTGGTGGCGGTGACCGTCGAAGTGAGAGCAGCAGTGGCTGCGGCCAAAGCCCAGGAAGCTTTCATTGTGCAGACGAAGAATGGGAGACTGCTAGAGAATTGGCTGGGATGTAAGGTCAAAGTAAGTTCTGGGAATCGTCGTGTTTTATACTTGAAGTTCATAGAATAATATGGACAGACCAGATCGCGATCCATCGAACGACCGGAGCTATGGTAAGCAGACCATGTCGGGGATGTTGCCTGAGAGCGTTTAGTTCGAGGGGGCGTCAGGAATAGTGGGGACTATTCCGTGATGCGATGCAGGTACAGCCAGGCAGAGAGCATGACTTAGTTGAAGTTAGTTGAAGTTAGTGAGTTTAGTCAAACCATTATTCAAGAAGCAGGAGAAATGAGGGAGAGAGGGAGAGAGGGAGAGAGGGAGAGAAAGAAAGAGTCAGAGAGTCTACTACTACGGGTTGACCCTGGTAATTTTGTTAGTACGGTGGGGAGGTACAGGGATTTGAATCCTATGAATTCTGCCGTGTATATGATTATTAATACTTTGTATGGCCACCTGCGGCATTGATTACGGCTTCATAAACTCAACACGTAGCTTGATAAGGAAGGCGGTATGCGGCAAGAGGCACACCGCTTAAAGGATTCAAATCCCTGCACCTCCCCACCGTACTACCAAAATTACCAGGGTCAACCACAGGTACGTAGATAGAACTGGGTCTACCACCATTCGGCAAAGCGGGAATCCACTCAATCTGGTCAAAAAACTGGCTAACCGTAACAGGTGTAGTGCGGTCAGCCGACTCCACACATCCATCTTCTATCTTTTCCCATCTTTCCATCTTTCCTCGGCCTCCAGGTGCAGAACCCACTCTTGCATTCCTCCGCTGTCTTCCGAGCCCTACCATTGGCACTCTGCTTCATTAGGCTTCACACCGTTCCGCAGCATCCATCTGCCTGGGCAGCATTGGGGTTGCGGCCTTCTAGGGCTTTTCTTCCACTTCCGGCTGCCGCACGCTTGAATTTTGAGCCGAATCCTCCCTTCAATATGTAACTAATATCGGTTACCGCATCCGCATCGGGCAAGGCACCTGTCTCACCACTAACTACGGTCACTACCACCTCCTCTGCGCATTCAGGGGGAAAAGACTTCGGCACCGTGGTCATAATACCTCTACTATTGAACGTGCTTTCACCTGGGCCGCGTATTCACGGACCTCCGACTGACAGTGGAAATCCAGGTGCAAAGAAGGAACTTGCCGAGGTGTCTGCCTGTCTGACTCTGCTGTGGTGCTGCCACATTCTCGACCTCGACCCACCACTCCCTCCCCCTCAATCGCTCCTACTCCCAGACTTCTCCGTGGACCCAGCATTTTGTCGAACGGAGCGCTTGGGGCAAGGGCTCATCTAGACTGGAGAGAAACACTGCAGATCGAATACACCGACTAAATGCCTAAGATTCTACTTAGTGATAACGGCGCCCTAAAGATAGACTAGAATGCGTCATTTGCACATGGTTTATGGACTCGTTGCCATGTGGTATTGATGATCATTTCTGCAGGGGGGGAGGTTAAGGTCTCACCTCCTCCTGGGATATTTCCACAAGCGTGGCGCTAACTCAGCAGCCCAGAACCACTCTTCTCGGTTTAACCGAACCTGAATTCCCAGTGACCGGACCAAGCCGCCCATTGGGGCTGGACCGCATTGTTGGCTTGGTTGCAGCTGCCATGCTGGAGTTACATTGGCTGTGTCGGAAGGATTGCACTCAGAAATTGGAGGAGGAACCAAAAATTTGGTTGGATGCGCGCCAATGTGCGCCACGGTTCTCTGGCAAAGCCAGTCCTAAAATCATCTTAACTACTGCCATGGCTGCTGTTGGCTGCTGCCACTGCAAAGCTTTGTCGAGTGCTAGCTGCTTGCTTATTCTTGCCAAGTGACCATTCGACAGCGTCACGAAACCGTATTTTCCCGGGGTTTGAAAACTTATCGAACTGCAACCCCAAATCTCAACTTTTTCATCCCTGCTGAGATATATCTACTACTCCCACTTCGCAATGGATCAATGAGATAGATCGGGATGTGCTCTCTGTCAAGATGGGTTCTGACAGTTCTACCAATGCCGGCCCGGCCCTGATCAGTGGCCTTTGGGCGGCAACTGGCATCACTATCTTCATCCTCATTCTGCGCGTCATCGCTAAGTTTAAAATTCGTCACTTTCACATTGACGATGTGCTGATGATTGCTGCCATGGTATGTCCTCCTCATCTGCGCTCGAGTCTCTATTCAAGTTGCTCCAGCTCTAATGCGATTTTGGTCTCTGTTTCAGATCCTTACCATTTCCTCCATGGGGCTTCTGACCCATTCGGTTCATCATGGCTTCGGCAAAGACCTTGTGACTCTGGATTTGGTAGATTTGGAAGCAGTGTTGAAAGACATTGCGATTCAAGTACCGCTCGTCACCTTCAGCACCGGCATTGCCCGCTGTTCCTTCGTTCTCTATCTTCTCGGTATTCTCGGCGGCAAAAAACCATACCAGATCACATTGTGGACAGCTATGATGCTGCAGCTAGTATGCAACATTATTGCCGCCGTTCTACCACTCAGTATCTGCCGCGATGTTCGGGCGCTTTGGATTCCTGGAACGAAGACAACCTGCGGCAACACCGTCGCGGTGATCCACTTTGCTTACTTCCAGTCCTGTAAGAATCTCATACGTTGCACAATCAGATGGACATCTGGGCTAACTCTTCGAGCTAGCTGTTAACACGGCGACCGATTTGTTCCTCGCAGTTTTCCCCACCGTGATATTCTGGAATCTGAATCTGAAGCTGCGCATCAAGATCAGTTTGATTCTCTTGCTCAGTTTGGGTATTGTGTAAGTGGATCGTCCCTTGTTTGATCGACTCACGCTAAGGACCGCACCAACAGAGCCATGATTGCGTCCATCATTAAGACGACCAAGCTCAACCAAGTCCCTAGTGTGACCGACATCGGGGCATCGGGAGGAGTGGAACTGATCCGCTGGGGTTACACCGAGAATCTCATCATCATCCTGACTTCGTCAATCCCTTGTATCAGACCGCTTCTCATCTCCTCTGTGAGGAAGTTCTCCAGCAATGCCAAGTCACGCTCTTATGAACTCACTGGGCCTTTGACCGGCAACAAGAACAATACCCAGAATGGCACTTCGCCCTCACAGAACCAGGAACGCAGGGATGATGACGCCGATAGTGTGGAGCAGATCCTGCGCGACGCCTACCAGCAGAATTCAGCATTGGAGGCCGGTCACGGTATCACAAAGCAAGTCGAAATTTCGGTAGTATCTGACGACTCGTCTTTCGGCGATAATAGACGGTCGCCGTAATCTACTGGAGCGAGACCTTACACTCTTTTGGAATCTTTTCTTTTTTTTCGTTCTTTCATTGGGCATGCCTTTCCTCTTCGCATGTGTGACATCTAGAGTACTATATTATTGATGACGACGGACTTGACTGTCATGGTAGGCAGTCTACGACAATAATTAATGAATTGATTTACACGTGAAATACATAGACACGCCTGAGGCATCCACTGCCAGGCTGATTTCTGCTCTCATCGACGCTGGAATTGAGCTGTGATGGCAGCGGGATTGGCTGAAAGCCACCCACCCACCCCCACAGTGTCACCTCGCAAGGACAAGTGACAGCCAGCGGATGCCCTAAAAAAGGCAGGATGTCTCAGCAGTGAACCATGGGTCATAAAGCGATCTATTTGATCGTGGAACCGTGGAGCGAGAAGGGAGGGAGGGAGGGAGGGAGGACGGAGGAGCGTGCGTGCGTGCGTGCGTGCGGTGGACGGCCGAGCAGCGGCTCCCTCCCCACCAAGGGCTTGGGTTAAACTTTTTACGCAGTGGCCACTGCGCCAACATCCCATCCATGATCGATCCAGCCACCCACTGCATCCAGCACTACATCGGCCGATGCCTGCCCGATCGGTGTGTTGGTCCGTCATGGCTGCGAGCCTGCAACAATTTGACCAAGACCTGAATTTGGGGTCTTGCGGAGGGGTGTCCCTATCTTATCTCCTCGGTCCTGCGATCCGCCTGATCCGCGTATTGAGGTCGGTCCTACCGGCGACGCAGTGCAGCGGTTGCAATTCTCCACTGATTTAGAATAATAGCGAAGGAACGAACACAATCCATCGAGGCTGAGTTTGCACAAGGTGGCAAGGGAAAAAAGTTCCGCATCCTGGCCAATTAGACTTCCTCCTGTCTGCATGTCCGGTGAGTCGAAGCGTCTCTCGAAAGAAAAGACTTTCTGGAACGGACGGAAGCAACATCAGTTCCGGGGTCGTGAATCAAGCGTACCCAAGAAGCACCTCCTGCTTGATCGACGGGAAATGACGAGATAAGGCCCGCGCCCATGTGGTGTGAGTGACGATCTCCGCGAACAAAAGCACCTCCAAAACCACCGTTCATCCACCAGTTCTTAAATTTGGGTTTCCGGAACACATCCTCAATCCGTCCTGGCTCGATCCCATATTTGTCTTTGTTTTGGGTCTGAGGTCATTCGCACAGGTCGCAGTTCGTGCCGGAATTCATGCTCTTTACGGATGGACAATGACTTATTTGACCCTGAAGCACTCGAGTATGCAGTGGTGGTTCCTTATCAGTTTCTCTGTGTCATTCGGTCGTATATTCCCTGAAGTGTAGCCCCCAGCCGGGGAGCTATTGAATCCTATGCCTTGTGCTTCGAGGCTCGGCATCAATCGTATTAGCCGCACTAATGTTCTTTGCCTGTTGACGGTTCCTATTTAGCTCACTTTTGTCCTCGTCGACCTGGGCTCTGCGCAGTCGGGTTTAGGACCTTGGGGCTAGGCCCGACGATGCTATTCTCAGAGGTGGAGCTGGCGCGTTGCAGTAGTACTATCCTGGTGTGCTTCGCCGGTGGTGTACTTGTGCAGGAAGTAAATTAATAGAAAGCTTGACTAGGCTCATATTCTTCTCGGAGGCAGCCGGACGACTAGCCTTTCTTTGTGAGACGCCGACAGCCTCGGATTAGACTAGATGAGCTCGTTGCGGCCTCTGCGGCAGTTCTATCTTGGCCCCGGAGCCGAGGCATTGCCGGGTTGCCGTAGTGTAGTGTGCCTCAGGCACAAAGTGTGCTGCCTCAGTCATGTGATGTGCTCGTTGTTTTCGGACATGGGAGGGTGCAAACACCTTAGCCTGATGTACAATCAATCAGTCAAGCAAGCAAGCAAGCAAGCAGTTGGCTGCTCATTCATCCTGCAGTGGCTTTGCCACAATGAGGATTTGCGTATCATTTTCTGGCTCATGGCCATGATGGAACAGCTATGAAGCCGCATTCAATCCTCAACTATTGCTGTCAAGCTTTAGTATTGGCAGATCATGCCTCAGAGAATCAGGCCATCAAGCATTGATTCATGATTCACTACATTTCTACACAGTTTTCCACCAACTCAATACCATAGATGCTCACTGGGGAATTGATCTTTCCCAGCGGTTCCAGCCGTCTACTCCAGTCCCGCCAATCATGTGTGCGCATCTCACATGTCGATCCCTTCGTCTTTCTATGCGGGGTACTCCGTAGTCTATCGATCGTGATTGCTTCCGCTGTCTACAAGCGACCTTTCAACACGGTCTCTGCTACTTTAATAGCTAAGATTATGAAGCTCAGGCTTGGAAAACCTGTGTGATTCCACCGGCGACTACTCCGGGGTATTAAAAGCCATGAGTTGTCGCAATCGCCTCCAACCTCTGCCACCATGACCGAGACTGCTCGTTGCAACCATCTGATGTTCATCACGTCATCGAGACCAGAATTTGCCCATCTAGAACCAACCACCGGCCCAGAGTCGAGCGCATCAACACTCCATCGCCAACTCTGGCTGACAGCCTCTCACACTAGAGCTGCGTCTATGACTCGAGAGCGGGGGACACGGCAGACGATCTCTGGTCAGACAGGTCATTCATACACAGGGCCATCCCGCACTGACGCCGCGTGAGCTGTAGTCTGATTGCACAGCAGCACAAGATATTGGGAGGAACGAACGGATCTTGAACCTAACATCTTCGCCCAATCCAGCCCCGGCGCGATGAACGCGCAAGCGACAAGCACGTAATGACAGGGGTATAGAGAATCTCTACTATTGATTGCCCCTCGACCGGGTTAAATAGAATTGTTCTTCCTGCAATGTCTGCTTCTCACGCGGGGCTTCCCATGAGCTGCGCACGTCGATTCCGACCCCCATACACGAACCGTCGCCTGGAGTATAAGCTATCACAATGGGGCGAAAGCTTGGTCTCCTTCGGGCCATCAGCCTTGTGTCTGCGAGTTGCATGGGATCTTTTGCCTTTGCCTTTGACACGGGTGTCATCAGTGGGTGATACCATGTTCAAGCTTGATAGCCATGTCTTCCAGTACTCATGTCACTTCTTACCACAGGCGGCGTCCTCACCTTGTCCTCGTTCGAGAGTGACTTCGGATACACCGTAGCCGAGAAGACCTCCGTGAACTCCAACGCCGTTTCCATCCTGCAAGCAGGCGCCTTTTTCGGATGTTTCTTTACGACTCCCATCGCGAAATATCTTGGTCGTCGGCTTGGGCTTATCGTGGGCTCACTGGTCTTTACCGTGGGAACCATCCTGCAGGTCATTAATTCTCATACGCTGGGAACCTTCTATGCGGGTCGCGTGATTGCAGGTGTCGGTATTGGAGCTGCGACAGTTTTGATTCCGGTGTACGCGGCTGAGATGTCGCCTAAAGAGTTCCGAGGTCGGCTTGGGGCATGCTTCCAACTTTTCTTCACCTTGGGAGTAATGATCGCTTACTGGGTAACATATGCTGTATCCAAAGATCAACCGTCCGCGACCAAACAATGGCAAATCGCGCTGGGTCTGCAACTCCTACCCTCATCCCTTCTTCTCTTCGGTATGCTGGCCGGCAAGGAAAGCCCCCGATGGCTCGCGTCCAAAGGCCGGCTTGACCAAGCCCGCGAGGCGCTCAAATGGGTCCGGGGTGGCGAAGAGACCGAAGAGCTCCAAAAGGAGTTCGACGAGATCCTCGCCGGACTGGCCGAGGAAGCCCGCATCAAAGAGGGCTTCACATTCCGCGAGCTACTCCTCCCAGCCAACCGATACCGTCTGTTCATCGCATTTACCATCCAGCTCGCCGCGCAACTCACGGGAAACACGTCGCTTGCCTACTATGCCACGCAGATCTTCTCTGCGGTCGGGGCCGGCAACTCCAGCAAGCTCGTGACGGGCTTTTTTGGGGTGACCAAAGTGGTTGGCGTGTGCATCTTCCAGCTCTTTGTGCTCGATCGTGTCGGCCGGCGCTGGCCGTTCATGGTTGGCGCGGCGGCCATGGGCTCCTTCATGCTGATTATCGCGTGCGTGCTCGCCACCCACCCGACCAATGCCTCGGCCACTCACGCTAGCCCGGCCGGCATCGCCATGATCCTCATGACCTACTGCGAAGCCTTCAGCTACAACATGTCCTGGGGCCCACTCCCATGGCTCTATGTGGGAGAGATCTTCAGCAGCCGCATGCGGGAGATCGGGGTCACCGTGGGTGCAGCGTCGCAGTGGTTGTTCAACTTCATGATGTCACAGATCACCCCGCATGCCATTGACAATATCGGATGGCGCATGTTCCTGATGTTTGCCATTTTCAATTACGCGGTCGTCGTCTACGCGTATGTATTTCTGAAAGAGGTACGTCTTTTCCGTCGCTTGTTGATTGATGTAAGTGGTCAGATAGCTAATGGGGGAAATGGATCAGACGTCGCAATACTCGCTCGAGGAGATGCAGAATGTGTTCGGTGGGGATCCACCCCATGCGGGTGATAAGATTGTGGACGAGACGGGGGAGGCGGCGCACGGGTCGGGGGAAGTCTCGGAGAAGACTGGGAGGCAGACGCAGGTTACTGCGTCAAAGGAGGGCTAAGTTTGGGGTATAGAGTAGTTCATGACTGTGTTCAGGATGTGATCCTGGCTATGATTGATATGAGTTTGGGCGGAATGGGTCTGACTAGCGTGATAGAGTCCCTCCGGGGGGGGTTGAGTGAGGTTAATATGAGCAACTGTTCATGCTTTGATGCTCATGTCTGCGGATGTGATAAGAAGAGTGGGGTGGGAATTTTTATCTATGCAGTTACGTGAGCGTATGTATCGGGGGTTGTGCACTGTACCTACCTGCTCTATAACTCAGATAATATTCCTTTTTCATTCTTCCTAGACGCCCTATCTATGAGACATAACACTTCATTAGGCAATATACCAACCCATGCTATGATAATTTGAAAGTATGAACCCCTCCCCGCAATCGCAGTGATGTCCATCACTATCTATTACACCTGAACACCTCGAGACAAACAGCGCAGAGCCGGGGGCAGCAGCACAAGCTCACTCCATATAGGGTTTCCAGTCTGAAGTAGTACTTAGTATACACGGGACCTGAGAATGGATGGAGGGAGACGCTCCTCAAATGTGTTGGCTGGGAAGCTGCTTTGATCTCGGATTAGCCACGGGCAATTCCAGCGGTAAAAGGCAGCAGAAGAAGTAATTTCAAAAGACCATACTTGCTCCCACAGCCTCCGTTTCTCAGGGGTCTCTCGATTCCCTATCCAACAAATCCTTCCTGACCACTCGCAGCCTCCTCATACTCACTTGGGGTCACCGCTCCATTCCAGCCGGTGTACACGCCCCATTCAAGGAGAGGATAGGGAAGTTTGGAACAACCTCGGCATTTCCTCATTGGGCACAGACACAGAGGACAGCATTGGTCTATACGCTGCCCATCTTTCTTCCCGAATTCTCGAAAGATATTTGGGATAAGAGCAAGGGATTGAATTCAATTGTCTGCCCTGATGTCAGTGTGTTTGCAAAATTGAGTGGGTGTAAGTTGAAGCTCCGCGGACACCGTCTCTTTACCCCAACCTCGGCATTCAGGCCGACGGCTTCCCCGCATATCCGCCTCCACACCGATTCGTCAACTGCTTCATTCTCCGACCTCTTCTTCCTCGTCTTCCTTCTTTTTCTCTCTCTATCTCTCTCCTATTTCTCAGTTTCGATTCTCAGTACCATCCACACCTGGCATTGTATCTCACAATATGGTCTCCGCCATCCGCGTCGCCCCCTCGGCCTCCACACGCGCCCTCAACCTCCTGCGCACAGTCCAATACACCCACCCACCTTCTTGTCCGTGTCATTCGAATCCCAACCACCATCACCACCATCGCACCCCTACGCTAGCCAACCATGTCCGGCGTCATATGGCCACTCCGCCCGACCCATCGCGCGAAAAGGAATACGCCTTTGAGATGGCCGCCTCCAGCATCCGTTTCGGCCCGGGTGCCACCAAGGAGGTTGGCATGGACTTTGCCAACATGAAGGCCAAGCGGGTGTGCATTGTCACCGACGAAAACGTCTCCAAATTGGATGCGATGAAACAAGCCATCGAGGGGCTGTCGCGAGAAGGGATTGAGTTTACCGTCTTTGACAAAGTGCGCGTGGAGCCAAAGGACAGCTCGTAAGTGCTTGCCCCCTCTTGTCTTTCCTCCAGCACAGCTCATCAAATGCAGAGTGAAGGAAGCCATTGCATTCGCCAAGCCATACAACCCTGATGCCTTTCTGGCTGTTGGTTCGTACTCTACTCCCCTGGTGGTCCATCCCTTGCTGACCCCGCAGGGGGCGGTTCCGTCATCGACACCGCGAAACTCATGAACCTCTACACCGTCTACCCGGAAGCCGACTTCCTCGATTTTGTGAATGCCCCACTCGGTAAAGGGCTGCCTGTTGCCAAGGCGCTTCGACCGCTGATCGCCGTCCCGACCACCGCGGGGACAGGGTCCGAGACGACCGGCACTGCCATTTTCGACTTGGTCTCCAAGAAAGCCAAGACGGGCATTGCGCACCGCAACCTCAAGCCCACCCTGGGCATCTGCGATCCGCTGAACACGCGGACCATGCCGTCGGCCGTCCACGCCTCGTCCGGGCTGGACGTGCTGTGTCACTCCCTCGAGTCGTGGACCGCCATCCCCTACAACGAGCGCACCCCGCGCCCGACCAACCCGATCAACCGCCCCGCGTACCAGGGCGCCAACCCGATCTCCGACATCTTCTCCCTGCAGGCCCTCCGCAGCACGGTCAAGTACCTGCCGCGCGCGGTGAAAGACCCGGAGGACTTCGAGGCGCAGTCGCAGATGCTGCTGGCGGCTACGCTGGCCGGTGTGGGGTTTGGAAATGCGGGAGTGCATCTGTGCCACGGGATGAGCTACCCGATTTCGAGTCAGAACCCGGGCTACAAGCATGCGGGCTACGAGGTGGACCACCCGATCATCCCGCACGGGGTGTCGGTGGCGGTGACCGCCCCGGCGGTATTCCGGTTCACGGCGGCGTCGAACCCGGACCGCCATTTGGCGGCGGCGGAGGCGTTTGGGGTGGACATCTCGAACGTGAAGCGGGAGAGCGCGGGCGAGGTGTTGGGGGAGGCGTTGGCGGCGTTTTTGGTAAAGCTGGGGGACCAGCCGCGCGGGTTGAAGGATCTGGGGTTCCAGCGAGGGGATATCGAGTCGCTGGTGGAGGGGACGTTGCCGCAGAAGCGCGTGCTGGATCTGGCGCCGAACTTGAACAGTGAGTTGGAGGCGGAGAAGGCGGAGTTGCGGGGATTGTTGGAGGAGTCGATGGAGTATTAGTAGCGAGACATGCAATGAGTTTGTAGTAGTTGAAGTATATATATATATAGTAGCCAGCCTCGGAAGCTATTCTGCAAAGATACCAGGCACCACCAACCTTCTGTGATCTTGACCTATACTTTCATGCTAAGTCTGTCTTCTTTATCATCACACCGGTCATCTAGTGAGATGAATTCAACGAAATGCTTATACAATTACAAAACAAGTTGGTGTACCTTGATCGAGGTAGCATGGTTGTCTGCATCTACTACTACTACAACTACTGCACATACCCCGGTCTCCATCCCATCCCCGCATTCCATCACATCTGCAGATCATCCGACCAAATCGCAATCCTGTATTTATTAAAGAACGAGTCGCAGCCGTCCCCTGAATTCATGATGCAGTCAACTACCCATCTCCCTTTATCCTCATCCCCAGACCACAACAATGCATCCACTTGTCCTCCTCCTCCTCCTCCTCCCCGAGTGTCAAATCCTCACCCAAGCCCACCCCCAACCCCCAGCCCAAAACCTTCTATCCCCGTCTCCAAGCCCAATCCCACCCTCATCTGAAGATCAAGGAACAGGCAACCCCCTCAACTTCCCCGGCCCCTGGCACTGGTACGCCGACCCGGAAGCCCACCTCTTCCCACACACAGGCACTTTGAACGTGCAGTTGAAGGACCAGAACTACTGGATCTACCCCACCTACAGCGCCGCCTACGAAGAACAAACCTTCTTCGACGCCTTCAGCTCCCCCGACCTGGTGGTGTGGACGAAGTATCCCGCGGTTCTGAATATCACCGCGATCCCTTGGTCGACGAATCGCGCTGCGTGGGCGCCTTCTGTCACGAGACGACGACGACGACGACTCGACCACAGCAACAATGCAGAGGAGGAATATGATTACTACATGTACTTCTCCACCGGTGACGGCACCGGGATCGGCGTTGCGAAATCCCTCACCAACTCCCCCGCGGGACCGTTTCAGGATGCGTTGGGCCGGCCGTTGGTGAATGGGACGGTGATGGGGGCGGAGGCGATTGATGCGCAGATTTTTGTCGACATGCCCGGTCGTTCCTCTGCTTCTGCTTCTTCGGAGGAGGCAGCGGAAGAAGGCCGGGTGTGGCTGTACTTTGGGGGATGGGGCCATGCGGTCGTGGTCGAGGTAGATGGTGAGAGTATGACGGCCCTGAAGGGGGAGTTTCGGGAGATCACGCCCCCGGGGTATGTGGAGGGGCCGTGGGTGTTGAAGCGCGGGGGGGTTTATTATTTGATGTATTCGGTGGGGGGGTGAGTTGCAGCCTTCTCTTCTTCTCTTCTGGCTTTAGAAGGGGTATCCGCTGTATTCGAGCAGCATTACTAACTACACAACAGATGGGGCGATAACTCCTACGGGGTCAGCTACGTAACCGGCCCCTCGCCCACCGGCCCCTTCTCTTCCACTCCGACCAAAATCCTTCAGGGCAACGAGCAGGTCGGCACCGGCACCGGCCATCACAGCGTGCTCACCCTCGGGGATGACGAGTATTACATCGTCTACCACCGCCGGTATCCCAACGACACGGCGCGCGATCACCGCGTGGTCTGCATTGATCGCATGGAGTTTGATGCGCAGGGGAATATCCTGCCGGTGAATATTACCCTAGAGGGAGTGGATGCAAGGCCTCTGTGAAGTGCAACTTGAACTTCCATAGAACTTCATGTAGAGTTGACCGTAGAACGTCTACCAGGTAACTCCCACCTCGTGTGGGCCATCTCAATCCAATGCAAAATTCATTTCATTCGTATCGCTATATGCAAGGGTATCGCAAATCAAAACATCGAACTCCGCTTTTTACTCAACTTGGTCTCGTCCGACGACCGCCGTAACCGAAAGAAACTGCTCTTCTTCGTTTGTAACCCTGGCTTCTGCTGTGGCTGCGGCTGCTGCTGCTGCTGCTGCTGCTCGGGCGACAAGGAAAAGCGCACTACCGACTGACGTCGCGGATCCACCGGCCGAGACCCAGACACCCGCGGAGGATGATTCTGGGGATACTGTGCACCGGGCCGCAGAGGCAGACTCGGCGCCGGCGGTACGGTAGCCGCCCCCGTCCGCGGCGGCGCCCCGGCCTGCTGCATCCGCACGCGCTCCTCCTCCTGGCCGTAGAGTCGCCGCAGGCGGAGCGTCTCCCGATCGATCTCCGCCTGGCGCGCCGCCTCCCGCTGCCGTCGAGCCTTCTCCTCCTCCTCCAGGAGCATCTGCGTGCGACGCTCTTCCTCCTGTTGACGCCAGTTCTCGGCCGGCGAGACGGCCGGTTGTGACGGCTGCCGTGCCGTTGGCGACGAAGGTGACGGTGACGCATTCAAGGCCCCAGACGCTACAGCCCCTGCCCCTGGCCCTGTCACTGCTCCGGCCCCAGCCCCAGCTCCCCCCGGCCCCGGTCTCTGCTTTCCAGCACTAGCACCATTTCCATTCGTCTGCCCACTCCCATTCGCGACCGCCGACGCCCCCTTCCCCACCCGAAACGCCTCCCGCAACCCCTGCGGCGCAAACCAAACGTCCCGAATCGTCACCGCAGCCAACAACAACACAACCTCCAGCCCCTTGAAATCCTCCATCTCCACGCGGTACAGGTTCGGCTCATACAGCGTCAACTCCTTCAGCGACTGGAACATCGCCACGGTGATATCCGGCTCCCGGGCTTTCGTCTTCGACTCGGGCAGCGTGGTCGTCTTCCCGGACAGCACGCACGTGAGATCCTTGCTCAGCTTGCTATCCTTGCGCCACGCAAACCTGAGCTTCGGGGTGATCTCGGCGGAGGCCGGGTCGGCTTGCGTGTGGTCGAGTTTGGAGGAAGACGGTTGCCGGAAGCTCTGCTGGGGCATCTCGAACCACCATGTCGCGGGACTGTTCCACGACTTCGGCTTGTAGTGCACCGTCACGGCTTGGTCTGGGTTGTATAGGTTCACGGTGAACTGTGTGGGGAGGAGAGGTTCCGGGGGCGGAGCTGGATGAGCGGTGCCGTTGTTAGCGGCGCGGATGGCCTCTGCGGAGAGGGTGGGGGTGGTTGTGGTTGTTGTGCTTGTCCATTGCGGTGATATTAGGACTTCGCCGTAGAGGATGGAGGGCACGTGGGCGTCGTAGAGCGCTGCCGCGTAGCGGTTGGCGGCTGCGGTGGTTGGGTCTGGGTGTCGGAGGGTGTAGGTGGGTTGGGGTTCGTCGCCGTGTTGGTAGAGGTAGATGGTGCTTTGGTGGGGGGTTTGACGGGAGGGTTTGAGGTAGAATGCTATGATCGCTCGGGTAGGTGGTTAGTTTGTGGTGAATGGTGGTTGATTGAAAGGGCTATACACAACGGAACGGCTGACGTACTAGGGAGGTTCTCGTCGAGCATCGTGCTGGGGTTCTTCAGTCATCGATCACAAACAATTTCCACGGGTCATTCCCAGTAGACAGAGTGCCATTGGACGGAGTTATATATCGGATCCGAGGGTGGGGAGCGTGAGCGTGAGGGTGAGTCTGGATCCTGGTGTCTGTTGTTGAAGATGAAACAAAGCGGCGCGGGAAGCGAAGGGTGTGGCTGCCTCAGGCTATCAGAGGCATTGCTGCCCCACCCGCTAAAAATAGCAGAAATGCAATACTTCAAACAACTTCTCTCGACAAGTATCGATTGACATACATAGGCAGCAAGAATCCTCCCACAAGATCGTCTTTGCTTTTCCCCTAGCACCGAATGCAAGCCCCGTCATTCACCTAGGCACCATGGTTCTTTACGCACTGTCGAATAGAAAACCCTCCTGTTGCATGCCGATATGCCGATGATTACTGAGTAGGTATGGCTACAGCCCGGGCTCTCTCTTCTCAGCATAGCCTAAGGCGGAGCTCACTAGAGGCGTCCTCAACCAGGCAGACAGATAATCTACAAATCATAAGAGGTATGATACAAAAGAAGCGGTGGGTGGTGGCTTAGTTGTGCCGGTACTGTGTAGTTCACTTTGCGACTCTCCTGTTGGAGAACAAGGCACACACAAGCATCACCGCGAACCACATTGACGTACAAATTGACGAGGCCGATTGCGAGCTTGGGAGACAGATCTCATATTTGAACTAAAACTCAGTCAGATCTCGAAGGATCGCGCGCATACTACCCAATGACACAACGCATAATTGAGGATCGCACTCATCCTAACTTCCTAACTACTCACATAATATTGACACACCATTTCGTTGTCCCACTCAACGAGGCAGACAACCAGTCGAAACTGACAGACTATTTCACTGTCTGCTCAAGGCAGGCCAACCTTCTCCAAAGACTCGTCTTAGCTTCGCCTCGTAAAGAGGCTACTAAACCCCAGCACCACGATGAGGTGCGAGTCTGTTCGCTGGGGACCTGTTTTGTTAGCGGTTCTTGCGGCAGCGGTGCTTACCCATTGTTTTTTGCTCGTTTTAAAGGCAGGTAGCCGAGAGAGGACAGCGGAGGACGGAGGAGGACAGCGGAGGACATTCGCGGGGTGCAGGATCCCTGGATGAGGTTATAGGTGGGTATACTCTCGACACAGGGTATCCTGCAGTGGCGTGAAAGGACGGAGGATGGAGGACGTTTGAAGGGCGGCTCGGAGGAGGAGGGCGAGGACGGAGAATGCAGAGTACCCTGGTGAGGTTATAGTATGATAGTAGTATGGTCTCACCGGGATACTCTGGCAGCGGCGTGAGGACGGAGGAGGACACTCGAAAGGAGAAAGAAGGCATGGAAGTATGAAGCGACGACTTAAGTATAGTATAGTGTAGTAGTCGTCAGTGTTGCCGTGATACTTCATACTCCCCCTTTCTTCAGACTGTCGAATGTTGAATGCGTATTTGCACGTCAGCTGTGGATATTAGCAAGATTAGCCTGGTCAACAAAGTCAAAGTCACAGAGATGGGATTTGATAAATGGCAGTGATGTCTCAAGTCTGATCAGATCAGTCCTCAGCAACTCCAACCATACACAAATAGATCAAGAACAAATAGATCAAGAAAAAGAGGAAGGAGGATGGGGAAGAGGACGAGAGAGGATGGGGAAGAAAGCTGGGGAAAAGGACTTCAAGGGGGGAAGAAGAATTATAGGAATGTTGAGGTAAACAAACCCAGTCACATCAATTTCGAGATTAATCCATCGTGGGAAACGTGGGAACGTGTGTTACTGTGAACAGTCAGGTAGGGCCAGGGTTATGTGGAGCACTGGCTCTTATGAATTGCCTCACTACAAAGACTTTCACAGAGCAGTGGCTCTCTTTATCTCTGATCTTGCTTTGTATGGACAATGTCATTGTCTAATCATAGTTGGCAGACCAGAAAACATCTCAGAAACATCTTCATGAAACGAAATGCCAAAATTGGTCAAAGGTATGTACTCTTTCATGCAATATCTACTATACCAACGATTTCGACAACTCCCTCTAATCTTCAAGCAAACCGTTCTATACCGTCTAAGCACGGACCCCTTCGATTTCCTGACCCTCAGGCACCTTGGCAGCCTCGCGCTCCGCCGTACTCAGCTGCAGCCCCTGATCATCCCATCCCTGCGTCCCGATCTTATAGAGCGTCTTCTGCTGCTCCCGGCTCGGCATCGGTCCCGACTTCCCACGGCGCTGCCGCGACTCCAACGTCTCGACCAAAGTCGCATTGTCCCCATCGAGAGCATACCCTTCGAGATCGTCCCGATCCTCCTCCTCCGAGAACACATACGTGCGGTACTCGGTGTTAGTCCAGCCGGTTCCTACCCCGCGTTAGCTTGTGCTTTCTTCTGTGTTCGCCTCTTCAAGCAATGTAGTATCAAACATACCCTGAAACTGACTGCTATCCTCCCAATCCTCCGTAAAGTAATGCAAGAACCCTCCATGCGTGACCAGAACAATCTCCTTCTCCGGCCGACCCTTCAACCACCGTCTCGCCGCACGCGCCCGGTCCTTGATCGCTTTGTTGGTGGGTGCAAATCGACCCGACTGTACAGTACATTCCCCTCATCAGCATCCACACACATATGCTCGTTCAATCCGCAAAAGGATTAGAGAGGGGATTACCTTTACGTTCCAGCCTTCATACACCCAGCTCAAATCGACGGGCTTGCCTTCCATCTCCTTGCGCAGAGCATCCGGTTCACTACCCGTGTCGCACGCCACATCACTGGTCTCTTGGGTGTCGGGGAGCGCAATCACTTTCAGATTAGGGCGGGCCTGGAAGACGGGCTCGAAGCTCTGGAGCGCGGTGTAGATGGTGCGGCGGAGAGGGGAGGCCGTGATGAGATCGATGTGCTCGTGGCGGGCGAAGCTGTCGCGCAGCGTGCGGCATTGCTCATTGCCCAGATCGGTGAGGAGGGGGTCGTGGATGACGTGGTTGGCGGTACACAGGTTGTGGACGCCCTGGAGGTGTTAATTAGTATGGGAATACTCAGTGTTCGGTGAATGGAATGCTCACCTGGGCGTGACGGACGCAGTGGACGATGGGAGGCATGATTGGTAATGGTCTACCAGGTGGATGATGGCTTGTATCTGAGGTGTACCAGTCCGGTCAGCATAGAATCCAAAGCAACGTGGGGTAGCGGGGCTGATAGTGAGGCTGGATAAGGATGGGGACGCCACAATCTGCTGCGGCGGTCAGTGCAGTATTTACTCACTTCTATCTAAGGTTCGTATAGATGAAACTTCTAAATGTCTCACAGGAGGGGGAAAGCGAAACAAGACAGTAAGTAGCAAGGAAGGATGAGAAAAACACGAGGAGGTCGAGAAAGAAGAACCTTGAGGATGAGGAATCTATGCCGAGAGAAAGATTCGAGTGGCGGCCAGAGGAAGGCGGCGAATCACTTCCGCCCGCGCCCGCACACCCTCATTATTATGTGCTCACTCAGGGCCACGGTGGCAATGGCACAACTACTTACTTAGTCCTGCTGGTACAGAGTATATAGTATTGCAATCACTATCAGTACCTTATAGCAGGTAGAGCTCGACTAGCATCCATTACCTATATGCACATTTCTAGAATATCCTCCAGTGTTTGTCCCAACCATGCCTCATAAACCGGGTATGTATGAAAATAATGAATAAGTACCAAGAGTGTCCATAACCACTGCTATGCAGCTCCCAGGGTATGTATGTCCTCTCAAGCAACGCCAAATCCTCGTGCATTCTCCAAAGCTTTGCTCAGTTTCTCCTCTAGAACCCTCCTCGATGAGTATTCGGGCAGCAGTAACCGTCCGAAACACGTCAGACTCGTGGGAAGGCGCTGCAATTCGTCAGTACAAGTGCATCCTCACTCGTGGATTGGTATCTCAAAGACACTTACAGCATCCCCAACTCCGTTCTTCTGAATCACAAACATGATGCTCGCAATCCCATTGACCGGCACTCGGTCACTAGCCGTCACAAATTCCAGCAACTGTGCCCGTTTTGCTGCAGGGTATCGACGCACGATATTCCAGAAATCCCGGATCACGCGGTGGCTTGCGCTGAACCCGCCCTCGTATCGCGCATGGCGCTCCAGCTCCCGCACGTCAATCGTCTGGATCCCCTCCACCACAGTCTTCAATGATTCGGCCGTGAATATTGACAGCGCGGTGCGGTCCAAACAGGTGTAGAACCCTTTGGCGAAGGCTTCGAATTGCGGTCGAACAGACTTGTCCGTCAGCCAGAAGATGTAGTCCTTCACAAACTGCCCACGGTTTGCGTTCGTCACGAGGCACGCTTCCTCCGCCGGCGGAGTAGGAGACTGAGCCGCCGCTGCAGGTAACGGACCAACCGACTTGGCCGTATCCCGGTACGAACCCGCCGTTTCCGCCGCCATCGACGAAGGTGGGCTCAAGTTGACGTGGTCCGTGTAGTGACGGACCTCAGACCATGGCGGCGAATAGCCAAGAGAGCGGGTTCCGGTTAGGGGTGGTCGGAGGGGCAGGAATGGTGTCGGCCACGGGGCGTCCTTGTCGATTTTCTGCATGTCCACAGTCTCGACATTGCCGAACGCTTCATAGCTGAATTCGTAGGTCCGCAGAAAGATGTCTCCCACGTCACCTTCATCCCAGGCGAGAAGGCCCTCCAAGCCTCTGACTAGCTCCGGCCAGCCGTCTTGAATATGGTCCAGCTGCTTGACCTTGAGTCCGAGCAATTTTCGGTAGAACGCCGTAGGGAAATTAACGGGAAGTGTGAGCCCGTTATATACGGCCAGAGACATCAGCAGCCCGAGGAGCTCGAATTTGTAAAGCGGCTCTAGCGAGCATGGCTGGAACCAGGAGTTACGGGTTCGTCCATCCAGCGTGAACATGCCGTACGCCGGATCCAAAGCCTCTGCCATCAAGACACGAAAAAACTCCTGCTGAACCCCGCCGTGATCGAGACCTTCCTCACCCTCATCCATTCCCATTTGTACTTTCAGAGGGCGCATGAGCTCGCGCCTCTCGCGCCGCCAAAGCTGATTAAGCGCGTCAGTGAGAACGTTATCTCGGCGTACAGTAAGGACGAGGTAGGTGGTCATCGACGTCTTCATGCGCGCCAACAGTCCGACGTCATCTTGGATATGTATGGGCCCAAAGGCAGTTTGTGTTACATGCCTCGTCGTGGTCAACGCCGCTTCGTAGTACTTCGACATAGCCGCATAGTTCAAGGCACGGAAGTAGATAACGAGGGCAGAGGGCGGAAATAGAAAGGGGTAAGATAGAAGGTGCATCGTTTTGTTGTTTGGCAGTCTGTTCAGCCAATCCACTGGCATATCCAGAGGCTCCAATCGCTCGGCAAGAAATGAAGTGTGGAAGTCCTCCGGCACAAGGCCGAGTCGGCTCCGTTCTTTGTATAACTTAGCTAGAATCTGTACAGCTCCGCCAGCAGAGCTGCTTTTGGGCATTTCTGGATTTCCATCCCATTGACGCAGCAATAGAGTTCGGAGCCATTCGGCAACGAACGATGGGGCCCCTGGTTGGGGTTGCTGCTGCTGAGAGTCGCCGCTAGGCGACATGGTCTTGTATTCTTCAATGAGATTTTCTACGAGACGATCCAAAGCCCCGTCCTTGCGACGTTTCGGCGTATCCCTGGAATATACCTGGCGCGCTTTGGAGACCTCATTGAACGCCAGACGTGCCGTAAGACCTCGTACCAGGCGGTCGACGAGTCGTAGAGCAAGCTCGTGCTCAAGCATGTCGGCAGTCTCGACGATTATCCTGGATCTGGCCACCGAATACTTTTGCATCTCTGAACTAGATGCCACGCCTCCTGCGGCGCGCATCTGGAGAATTTCGCGCCATGTAGACGCATCGACTCTTGGGAGCGAGCTCGCGAGAGCAAACATGGTGACGGTTGCGACATCGGCGACATTAGCATCTGTAAGATGCGTCATGCCTGCCGAGCCGGGTCTGCTCATTATGGGAGCGGATACGGCAGCGGACGTGCTGGAATTGCAAGATGAACGACGTGATCGTCTGCCTGATATCGACAGCCCTTTAGGCGGCACGAACAACGACTCCATCGCAGTCCACAAGCTATGGAACACAACATCTCGAGAGCAAATACTGAGAAGCTCCGAGAATGACACCTGTAGCTGCCGAAGATCGAGGTTGGAGGTGGCGCTGCGTTGATCTGTCTCGGACAAGCCCACCGCATCCTTTCGAAACGAATTCAAGATATGTTTCGTGCTGCTCAAGGTACAGAACACACTTTGCGCAATGAAAGTGTAGACTTGTCGCTGTTGAGAATTCGCAAAACGCCATTCAGAATCTTCAAAACTGCCAGTGGATTCAATGTGAGCCAACTCTTTTTTCCAGCGTTCTTCCTCATCCTCCGACGTTGCCGTCATCTGCGCCAATCCATGCACCAGATCGCTATTAAGGTGACTCAACGATTGAATAGCATCCGCTGACTGATTCAGGTTGATGCTTTGAGCCCTGGGCTTCGTCTCCGTCGGAGATTGAGCTTCCGATGGAAGATACTCCTCCACAGACGGGACAGGCTCCAAGTAATCAACAAACTGGACGTTATTCAAATATTTTGCCCCATCCCAGGATACTCGGCGCTCTTTCTTCTGCTGCAGGGCTAGATCAACGCTGTCTAGGTCTCCAGTCCTTCCACGGTGCTTCTGAGGACGGTGCCTCAATGCGGGTGGTGAGGGCACATTGACCGATCCATCATGATTTGCAAGTGCATGTGAAGTAACGGGGATTTTGCGAGCGGGTTTCAGTTCCTGATGGGGTTTCTCATCCAAACTAGCCCGCTCACTTCGACGCCATTGATCCATTTCTGTGAGCGTGATAGGCACCGTAAGCTCTAATGCTGTGTCCTGACTAGTCTCGTTCCGCGTTGAAGGAGTGCGTGGGGTACCAGCAGTAGGAACTGCATTTTGCGGGGTGCGTTGTCGGATCATGTGTGGTCTTGTCCGTTGAGAATGCGATGGCGTCTGATTCGGATTACTCTTCGGCGGCCGAGATTCAGATCGCTGGTCGATGTTCGCGTCGAGAGCACTGGGAGACCGGCGTAGAGGTAGCCACTCTATCATTCTTAGGGAGAGGGTGTCAAAAAGGTTTTGTGTAAAAGACTTGGGATCCTTCTGTCTCTGGGCTGCAGCGGCTTGATCGTCCTCCGATAGTGCCACCTGCTGCCCCGGCGGATTGACCACCTGAGCCGCGCCAATTTCTGCGTTAATGCTCGGGTCCCACAGAGTCAACTGATTATTTGGCCTTGAAGAGTCCTGTGGCAGGTCTTCGGTGCTATTGACGTATCTCCCGATCGACCCAAATTCTTCTGCGGTCTCAACCGGCGCGCGACTTCGACGTTTCGGCCGGCGTTGTGGTTCATGTGGTGATAATCCGAATGCTACCCGAGGAGCATTGCGGCAGAGTCCTGCTTCAGCATCTACACTGGCTAGGTAGCAGGCCAAGGTCCGGGCGCTCAGTTCTGTATAGCGACGATATGGTCCTTCGGTTATCCGTCTCCGATAGCTCGCGCAAGTCGGGGTTTGACAGCCAGGGTTCAGGCAACCGTACATAAGTTGATTCTTGTATCTTATGGCCGTCCGTCAGTGCTGCCATCATGCACAGATCACGGGTTTCATCATATATCACTCACCTGCGAACAAGAAGGTTGAATTGGCGGCGTCGCTCATCGCGACACCAAAGCAAGACCTGGGCAGGATCGGACACGTCGATCGTATTCAACACCACAACCTCCGGCGCATTCGGAGGAAGCTTGGATCGGCGGGAATGCGCTCTGTCAGAAGCACCACCGCGCGCGGTATCATAAGAGCTCACGGAAGCTCCGCGGAGCCTCGTCATCTTGACAAGCTGCGGAGCATGCCGCGGCTACCCAACCCGAAGCTGAAGTTGAGAGAATGTTGCTTCTACAAGCAGTAGTCTCGTACCGTGCTTTGCGGGGAAGTAGTAGCTTGTCAAAAACAAAGATAACCAGCGGTTTAGCGTGTGGTTGAGGTGCACTGACAGAAGGAGGGGTGAACGACGCACGGAGGCAGCAGATGATGATTCGATTATCATGGCATGGCATTCCCCGGCCATCATCGCCTCAGGCCTGCCTCCCGCCCGCAGCATGATTCCGGGAACAATGTTATTCCGGCCTGCCAGTAACACTAGGCTGAAATGAGAGGCAAGCACGTGCCCGAACGTCATCTCAGCCAACCAGCCCAGCCAAAAGCGGCAAGGCGAGGATTTGCAGGCATGCAAAAGTCGGACTATCGGCGCTGATTATCAATACTCTCTGAGGGGCGAATATCTCACCTGGCTGTCGCTCGCACCACTCTTCTGGTCTCAATTATTGTCGGACTGGAGATTCTGGTTCTATCTCATTCGAGAATTCAGCAGTCCAGTTTAATCAGCTGCTGTCCTGCCAATCTGTTGCAGTTTTTTCGAGCTGTGAAAAAAAAAATACATATACCCCGCTCTGATAACACCCACAACCGCCGAACGACTTTTTTCACCCGTTTCTTCACTTGAATCTTTTTTTTTCTCTTCGTGATACCCATCCTGCTGAGCGCTGCTACTGCATTTAAGGAAAATGGCTTCTCTTCCGTACACTTGCAACACATGTCTTGTTGCTTTTCGCAGCAGCGATGCGCAGCGAGACCACATGCGCCGAGACTGGCAGTAAGTTTTAGGTCATGTTTCCCTCTGTTAACCCGGTGGCTGACCAACAAACCCAGCTTGTACAACATGAAGCGTCGCATCGCGTCCCTGCCTCCCGTGTCTCAGGAAACCTTCAACGAAAAAGTCCTCGCCGCCAAAGCAACGACCACGGCCGCTGCCGCCAAGGCCGCTTTTGAAACGACTTGCGTCGCCTGTCAGAAGACCTTCTACAGTGAGAACTCATATCAGAACCATGTTAAGAGCTCCAAGCACAGGGCCCGCGAAGCACGCATGAAGCGCGACCATGCCGACGATGCATCGTCAGTCATGAGCTCTACATTCTCTCTGGGCGAGCCTATCAACAAGCCCCAGCGCGTAAATGAGGCTGAGGTGTCCAAGGTGGCGGATACTCTCAAGAAAGCCACTATCCAGGAGGAAGACGAGGAGGGCGAAGACGAAGAGATGTCCGATGACTCTTTCTCGCCTGCTCGTTGCTTGTTCTGCCCTAACGAAGCAGCGGACGTCCAGGAGAACACCGAGCACATGCTCAAGGCCCATGGCATGTTCATTCCTGAGAAGACGTATCTGGTCGACTTGGAGGGGCTTCTCAACTATCTTTACCGCAAGATCAACGAAAACAGCGAATGCACCTATTGCCATGTCATCAAGAACAGCCCAGCCGCCATCCGTACCCACATGAAGGATAAGGGTCACTGCATGATTGCCTTCGAGTCCGAGGAAGAACAGATCGAGATCGGCCAGTACTACGACTTCCGCAGCACTTACTCCGATGACGAGGGCGACTGGGAGTCGACGACGAGCGAGACCCCCGAGGAAGGAGGTGTCAAAATTGAGGGCGAGGACGAGGGCTGGGAGACGGAGACAACTGCTTCATCCATGGATGAGGACGAGCTGGATAATCGCAAGAACGCACCTGTGGTTTACGCCACTGACTATGAACTCCACCTTCCTTCTGGAAAGAGTGTCGGTCACCGCTCCCTTGCCAAGTACTATCGCCAGAACCTTCACAACTACCCCTCTCCCGATGAACGTGCGGCCCGACAGCTCGCCATCGAAAATGGCGAGGCTATGGATGTGGATGAGAAGCCCCGTGGTCGCAACCTCAACCGAGCCCTTATCACCCGAGCCAACGGCGGTACGGGCATGATCGGTGTCTCGGACACCCAGAAGCGCCTTGTGGTGGAAAGCGAGCGTAAGGAGCGCACTCGGGCCATTCGACAAGAAATGCGGTACACGGCTCGGGTGAACCGCGCAAGCAACAACCAAAAACACTTCCGCGTATGTCCTTCACTCACCGATTTTATTGCTCAAGCTAATTTATTATCTAGGATCCTCTCCTGCAATAAATTTGTGCGCATGGTCTTCCTGCATCATTTGATGAGTATATGATTTGGTTGAGATCGTTTGCTTCTGCAGCCCCTTGGGTTTCTGCACTATGTTCTGAGCATTATATATGATGGAGTTGTGGTAGGGTACATAATTGTACATACTCTGGTATGGCAAAAGTTAGATCGACTTATCACCTTGATTTGCCTGTTTGATTGATCAATCCTCTGAAACATGGCTACTCGCCACCCCCAGTCAATCGACCATAGACTGCAGGGGCACGTTCTGCTCCGCTCGTATGAATTGTGCCTGTGTATCTTTTATCTCCAAGAATTGTCCAATGTACGTCCTAGTCAAGTCTGGTGTCGCGCTGTGGGTCGCAGCCACAGTGAGACAGTGAGACTGTAAGACTGACGAACCTTGAACCTTTCGGCCGATCTAGGACAAGGCGTGTGATCTGAAAATAGGGGAGCTCGGGTTGCACTGTCCTGATTAAGGGCTCGCTAAATGGATGTGCTGATGTGCTTGGTGTAGAGCGTATACCATGTGTCTGAGTAGCCATAGATCCTCGGTCGACGATGCCAGCCCACCACTGATATAGATCGAGTTCGTCGAGGTCAGCGCTGGCCTGGGGTTGGGTCTGGATCTGGAGCAGTGGGGACTGCCGTCGTGGTCAGATACAATCTCACTGCGCTGACATGGTCCTCTGGACATTTTCAGGAAATGTGTAGAATTCTAAGTTAATATTGGCCTTCCTCAACGTTAGTGTAAGCAAATTTCGCGTGTTTTTGACAGCGTCGAGTACGGGTCCCTCCACTACACTCATTCACCACACCAGATGAAGTATTGAGACACGTGCTCCCCTGCGGTTCCCGGCTAGGCCCATGCCCTCCGAGGGCCACGAGAAAACGAAGCTATTCCAATACAAGGGCATTATTGTGCGAATGAGATTCGAAGGGAAGGAAAATCTCTGGAGTATATGCCCCACACAATCGCATTAGTTGAGCTGTTATTGATTGACTAAACTAAATGAACTATTCCAAAAGGACTCAATAAGTGTGGTGACTTAAGGTCCTCGTTTGTACAGCATCAACTGACAAATGATGAGTGGTTTATTTTAGTTATGTGCAGTGTTTACGGCTGACTCACCCGATTTCTTGCAAACAGCTGTCACGAGCACGGATCAATCGCTGAGTCATTCCAGCAATTGTTGTCTATAATTGGAAAACAGGCGCAGATTATCTTCCATCGTGGAGGGCCCGGATCTTTCCCTTCCTTTATCCAGGACGAGCTGCGACCGGGAGCGGAGATGAGTACCTTAGGTACTAACTAGTTAGAAGTAGTACGGAGTAGTTAGAAAACTAAAGGTACTCCGTAGATACCTCAGGCTCTCAATTCTTCCTCAGCTTCCCAGTCCTCACCTTTCGCCGGGCGAGACCCTTTTCAGACTTCAAGCTGGGTTTGTTCTTTCCAGAATCCATCCATTCCTTGCTGTGAACGACAACCGACAATCAAACCATGAAACCAGCAACAATCGTGCGTTCTCCTGAAGTTTCACAAATCGAAATTCTTTCCCCCGAGGACCCTCCACAAAACCTTCTCCTGAGGGAGATCCATCTCAGATCATACAGTATTAGTTAATAGGAGACAAGTCCCTACCTCCCTTAACCTCCTTGTGTGCCGCTTTTCTCCCTATTTCCCGACTGGGGGCGACGTCACTCTATCCACTCCGGCATGGACCCGATCGCACGCCGCCGCGCCTTTTCTTAGCCTGACCACTAAGGCCATTTGAACCTTTCTCCCTCTTGCGTCTGTCCCCTCCTATCACCCACCCCCCCCGAAATTCCCACTGCTTAGTCTTTCAAATAAATATGTACCTGTGGTAGCCCTTAGGGCCCTCTTTCCCTCCTTTTCGATTTTCTTTCGTTCTCATTTCTATCCCATCGGTGATGGCGATATCCCCATCAACTCGCATCCTGGCCGCCCGGCCTCTCGTTCTTGGTCTTGCCAAGCTGTTGACTCTCGCCTTCGTGAACTTGCCCGTCATCTCCGCCGCTCCCACCTATGTCATCCATTCTGAAGTCGACCCGAAACCCCCAAGCGATCCCAGTCTATGGCTCTACCTCGGAGTCGCCGCTGCTCTGGTCTTGAGTGGCGGTGCATTTGCTGGACTGACGATAGCTTTGATGGGCCAGGTACCTATCCTTTGTTCTTGTCTACCTCGATCTCATCTTTCGCAATGCGATCGTCTTCACAAAGCAAAGCTAATTTCTGGGGAATGCACTCCCCCGCTGGGAATCTAGGATGAGGTCTATCTACAAGTTATCCAAACCTCGGGAGAGGCAGGCGAACGCAAAAATGCAGCAAGCGTCTTGAGATTATTGCAGCGGGGAAAACACTGGGTGCTGGTGACCCTCCTTCTCAGCAACGTGATCACCAATGAAACTCTTCCAATCGTGCTCGATCGGTCACTGGGAGGTGGCTGGCCGGCAGTGCTCGGCAGCACAGTCCTAATTGGTACGGGAAAATCCCTCTTCCTTGGCGCAAGAATTCCTTGCTTATCGTCCGCCTGATGTGTTTAGTGATCTTTGGTGAAATTGTGCCTCAATCCATTTGCGTCCGGTATGGATTGCCTATCGGCGCATGGATGGCCCCCTGCGTCTTGGCGCTTATGTACATCATGTCCCCCGTGGCCTACCCCGTCGCCAAATTGCTCGACAAGCTACTTGGAGAGGACCACGGAACCATTTACAAGAAAGCGGGTCTCAAAACCCTGGTCACCCTGCATAAGACCCTGGGTGAAGCTGGTGAGCAGCTCAACTCGGATGAGGTGACAATCATCAGCGCTGTCTTGGACCTCAAGGACAAGTCCGTGGGCAGTATCATGACTCCCATGGAAGATGTCTTTACCATGTCCGCGGATACCATTCTCGACGAGGAAACAATGGATCTTATTCTGTCCCAGGGATATTCCCGTATTCCTATCCATGCACCGGACAATGCCAACAACTTTGTCGGCATGCTATTGGTCAAAATGCTCATTACTTACGATCCAGAGGACTGCAAGCGGGTCCGGGATTTTGCTCTAGCTACTCTCCCCGAAACGCGCCCGGAGACAAGCTGTTTGGACATCGTCAATTTCTTTCAGGAGGGCAAGTCCCACATGGTCCTTGTGTCGGAATATCCGGGCGAAGATCGTGGGGCCCTAGGAGTGGTCACTCTGGAAGATGTGATTGAGGAATTAATCGGAGAGTATGTCAATCTTCTTACACCAGAGAACGAGCATAACTGACCAATCCTATAGGGAGATCATTGATGAATCCGATGTCTTCGTTGATGTCCACAAAGCGATTCGTCGTATGGCCCCAGCTCCCAAGTCTCGAGTCCCCAAAGGCCGGATTGTGGAGGACCCGCCGATGCTGCCTGCGGAATCCACTGGCCCTCTCATCGACATTGAAGGAGAGTCCACTGCGGCCCCTACGCCTAATGGTGTCTATAAGGAGAATCGTCGAAGCTCCGTAGAAGCCCCGTTGCCTCGTTTCCAGTTTCGTCGTCCCCATTCAGACAAGAACTCTGACTCCACCGATGGCGTGGTGACTCAACGAGGCGCGACGGACGAAATCCGGGAGCACTTGAAACATCTCGGTCCTTCGAATCTTGCCAGTCGGCCTCGCCAGACTAGATACCAGAGTGTCAAGATTAAGCGGAGTGCCTCGCCGTCACGCTCTGGCCATACCGATCTAGAGTCCAGCCAGAGCTTGGACGGTATGGTCCGGAGCACTGGCGCAGGCTTGCAGGGTGGCATCGGAGCCGGACTTGTACAAAGTGGCATGGATGCACGAGACGGTGTATACGCTGTACGGGCAGGCTACGGCACGTTAGGCCACGGTCGCTCCCTTTCCGATACCGCTCGCATGACCGACGGGCCGGCGCTTTCCATACCGGAACCAGTTCATGAAGAACAGGAAAACACTACTCGCCCCAGCACCCGTAGACAGCAAAGCAGCAGCGCTGCGCATAGTTTCCAGTCTACCGACTCCGAACTCTCCGATCGTCTCCGGCCCGGCAGCTACCGACATAAGGGTCCCGCACGCAGTGGTAGTATCACGGAGCAAGTGGTCGATGTCAATGGCATCCGCAAAGTAGTCCTTCATACTACTAGCACCAGCACCAGCATCTCCGATTCCGATACACCTAATGCTGGCGCTCAGCCCCAGTCCTTTGTTCGCCAGGAGGAAGAGACAGTCAATGTGGACAATGGCGATGGTAGCGGGTCGAAGAAGAAACGTCGTCGTAAGCGGCGTGGGCACGGCTCCAAAAGTGGTGATCTGCAGGCGGAAGATGCACCCCTACTTTCGCAGCCATGATTCGCACTGTGAGTGCCTGGAGTGGACTCTGCTGGACAGAGCGATTGGTGATGCATTATATCTATTCGACTACTTTTATTTGACTGTGTACGAATGCTCGGAAAGCAGTATAGAGAGCACTCCTTTTTGTCCTGGAGAAGGATGGAAGGAAGAAAGAAAGAAAGAAATTTGCAATTTGTGTGGTAGGAAGGGATTCAGGGTCGATGCAAACGAGAAAGGATTATCAAAGTCAGTTCGACTATTGTAAGAGTCAAGGAAAGATGCAACAATGTTTGTTCATGTCGATTGTCCTCGAACACTCTATCTCTCGCCCACCGTGATGTTCCCAGTAGTGGCCAGACTGCAGGTGAGGGCAGTGTCAAAGACTGTGGCTCTCCTTGTAGCACAGTATCGAAATCCATTGCGTCAACTAGCATCATTGGTCTAGTGGTAGAATTCATCGTTGCCATCGATGAGGCCCGTGTTCGATTCACGGATGATGCAAGACAAACTTTCTCTTTTGTTTTTCTCTTTTAGTCGGATACATCTGGAGGAGCCTACCGATTTGTCGGATGAAGCCCGAGGCGCTGGAAGGCAAACTGCATGACTGTTGTGTAACCGACCAGGCCTGCCTATATTGATAAAGTTATCGATGATGCAAGGAGTTTCCTTTTGATCAGATAAGATGACCTCATGGTATCCTATTATCATTATTATCTTAATTAGTAGTTAGTTAGCACCTCTTACTATGGAAATAGCACCAGATGTGAAGGTTTGGACGGGACCCTAGGTACTTCCCCGTACAAATCAGCCCAATGTGGTAAATAAGCCAGCCCAGGAGGTCTCCACCGCCGTCAAGCCTACCGTGTAGAATTGGATCCATCACTTTCATCATCTTCTTCTCTGTTACGAACTTGGCAAGCCTTGGCAGCCAAGCGACTCATGTATATTCCTGCGAGCTTCCCCTCCTTCGGCTGAGTCCAAACGTACTCTTGGTCTTATCCAACTCTCAACATGGCGGTAACGGAGGAGCCAATTTCTCTCAGCAACACGCACCAGGAAGGTTCTCGCCAGTCCATTGAGGAGGAGCCGGCACAGGCCTTCCACGAGACTGAGCGATGGAACTATCCCCGCTCCAATGTGTTCAAGACCCTCGCTACCTTCTGGAGTTTCCTGGTGATGGGTATGAACGATGCAGCTTATGGCGTGAGTGCTCGCAACACCCACCCACTTTAACATTGTGGCCTAACCATAGTAGCCCCTCATTCCCTACGTAAGCCTCTGACTGTCACGAGCTGTTAGAATCTCTACTGAGCAATTTCAGCTCGAGAGATACTACCACCTCTCCTACACAGTGGTGTCTCTCGTCTTCTTCTCACCGCTAGTCGGCTATACGGCGGCTGCCTTTCTGAACAGCCGCATTCACAACAAGCTGGGCCGTCGAGGCGTGGCCTGGTTGACGCCTAGCTGCCATATAATCGCATATATCATCAACTGCTGCCATCCTCCCTACCCTGTGTTGATTGTCTCGTTCATCTTTGCAGGGTTCGGGAATGGTTTGGGCGATGCCTCGTGGAACACCTGGATAGGCAATATGGCCGACTCCAACCAAATTCTAGGCCTGCTTCACGGACTCTATGGTGTTGGTGGTGTGATTAGTCCGTTGATTGCGACTTCGTTGATCACAAAAGCCAATGTTCCATGGTACTATTACTACTACATCATGGTAAGAGCCAGCAGTCCCTCAACATTCGTTCAGTTCAGTCAGCGTCTTCTTCAATGCTGAGCTTACTTGTTTCTCCACTCTGCAGATCGCCTGCGCGGCCACTGAACTGGCCGTCTGTGCCTCAGCCTTCTGGGACGCCTCGGCAGAAAGAGACAAGGCCCGGGAACCCCAGGAAGCGGTCGACACAAAGGCAGGACTCCGCGAAGTGCTCTCCAAGAAGTCCTATGCGCGAGTGACCTGGATCTGTGCCATCTTCCTGCTGGGATACGTTGGCATCGAAGTTGCCTTGGGCGGCTGGATTGTTTCATTTATGATCCAGGTTCGACATGGCCAATCCTTCGCGAGCGGCATGACGGCCACTGGATTCTGGCTAGGAATTACCATGGGCCGGATGGCTTTGGGCTTCATTACTCCACGTATCGGTGAGAAATTGGCCATCATCGTAAGTTCTCCTTCTGACGACCGTACAGTCCGTGTGTTGTACTTGGCGTGGCAGGATTCGTAGTTGCCTGCTTCACCATATCAGTTTCGATACTTGTGTTAACCTCTTCGTTCGATAGGTATACTCCTGCTGTGCAATCACCGCGGGTCTCGTCCTCTGGTTGGTGCCAAATTTCTACTCCTCCGCGGTGGCCGTCTCGTTGCAAGGGTTCTTTCTGGGACCGTTCTTCCCAGCCGCGGTGGTAGTGGCTACCAAGCTCCTGCCTCGCCATCTTCACGTCAGTGCCATTGGATTCGCTGCTGCGTTTGGCGGGGGAGGTGCGGCTATCCTGCCGTTTGCTGTAGGTGCTATTGCGCAGGCGCGTGGAGTCAAGGTCCTGCAGCCGTTCATCATTGGACTTTCCGGAGGGATTCTATTGTTGTGGCTAGGTTTGCCCCGGCTGCCGAAAAAGAATCATGCCTGAGAGGTGAGCTTTGAGTAAGGGTTGGACTGTGCTGCATTAATTATATAAATGAATAAGCGGGAATCGTAGCTTAATCGTACTATGGATGGATATGCAGGGTGGCTTAATTTTCTAGAGCTGGGTATATAGATGGCTCGATACCAGGTGCGCTTTTCCGAATTCCATCTGCGTTTGTGTGGTTGCTCGAAATTTTATGAGTGTTCTCTTTAAAAGTATTGTGCTCAGTGAAGATAATGGGTTACAGATTGCAGCGCAACCGCTTTCCCTCCTACAACTACACGCTGCAGACAAAACAGGAGCAGGTCTCACTAGAACCAGTACCGAACACTGTTACTGCACCAACACCTCGCCATTTCCCTGCTTGTGAAGGATATATTATGTCAGAATCCCAGCTGCACCTGTGGACGTGGATTGTCTGACCAAGCAGCCATTTACAATGGTTGAGCATGAGTGCTTGTTTTTGGTTGCGTCCACCAGGTCCCAAATGCCCCAACCTCACTTCTTTGATCCTTCTGTGATTAGAATCAGCTTTATCTTGATCATATTATGAGAGACAATATGGTTGACATGGCAGTCGCTCTAGCGACAGATATATCGTTCGTTAGTTGGACTAGGATAGTCATGTAGAAGTGTTTCCTCAAGTCTCTACCCAAAGTGATTCATCTTGCTAGTAGCCTAGTAAATGTGTATAAACGAGTGACAAGCACAAGCAGATCATGTTCTTTGGGTGGTGAGGCCTCATTTTCTCCACAGCAACATGGGCCTTGAAATTCACTGGGTAGTTTTCTCTCCGTAGCAACCCTCTCTCACTTCCTCATCCACAACTAAACACCCTTTCCCTTCCCCCACGCATATCTTCTCTCTCTTCCTCTTCCATCCTCTCTCCCTTCTCTATCTTCTCTCTCATCTTCCCCATCAGTCCCTTTCGAACTTCCAGTAACCGTATCTTCAATCCTTCCAACCCACATCTCACTGTTTGCCAACTTGCAATCATTCCGGTCCTTGTGAGCCCGACAGCTCCACAGGCCAGCTTCACTCCACTCTTGCGATAAACAAGAACACCTGCTAGCTATCAAAAAAAGTCTGGCAACAGCGAGAGAAGCTTCGACGCTGAGGCGCGTGTTGGAAGACCTGTCATAAGGCTTCACAGCAGCGTCTTGGGAAAGCCAAAGCCTATCCATTTGTCAAGAAAACACCGGCGTCTACTTCAGTCTCTCATACTGCGTGTGAGCTGTCCTTGTTCACTTCGAGAAACACCTACTTACATGCTAGAGCCTCGTAGAGCTAGTCGAGCACTCATCTCTTATCTCTCACTATATCCGATTCCTCCATGACCTTTGAACCTCGTTTCAATACCACCTGATCAACATGTCAACCAACACGGAACAGATCTTCCTTTACGGCGAGGCTATTGGCTCTGAGCTCGCCTCGGGCCTCAACATGCTCGCCTTCCTTGACTTGAACGGCGGAGGCATCCTGCTCTTCCCAGCCGTGATTATCCTCACTCTTGTTCTCACATACCTACGGTCCCTGGCTCCTATGATTATGACTGGAGCAAAAAGATGCATTCTTTCACCCGCTCAGACCTTATTACTGGGACTTCACTCATTCCTCCGCCAGCTCTCCACGCCTATCTCTCGCCAGGAAATCTATCATCGGTGCCATGCGAGCGTCCGAGGCATGATCTTCCGGTCTCGCTTGATCCAACTCACGACCAAGGGCCTTCATTGGTTCTTCCCATCAGACAGCGGACTCAATATGGTAGGGCGCCTGTGGGGCCTGGTGATAGGGCTGAAGTGGATGTGCAGCTCGATCTTGATACCAAGCTATCATTACTTGACTGGCATGACCGCGGGACTAAGTCCAACGGGAAAAAGACAGCACGAAGACTGTCTTGCCGCTATCGCGCGCAGTGGACTCCCGGACCGTTGGCGCAGGAAGCAATGGCTGGAAAGCTACCGCTGCACCGGAGTGGAGGCTGGCTTGGAGCTGGGTGAGACTGTCAAAGACAACACTTGGCGACTGTTACCGCTGCCACCTGCGGACGGCGAGATTCACCACCTCCTTCTTCTTGGCTCCATGGTTGTCTTTATCCTTATTGTTCTCGTGGGGATCTGGCTGTGGTATTTGATCTCTTGCCGAATCGCTGCCATGCAAGTGGAAAGACTTCCGCTGGTGGACGGAGGGACGCAGACCTGCGAGTCGCTGCAGACCACAGATCGCGAGTCGTATTTGGTTGAGATGTCCAAGTCACTCGAGGCTAAGAACACACAATTGCGGAGGCGTTTGGCGATGCAGGCGGCGGAGTTCGAGAAAAAAGAACAGCGAGTGCAAGAGGCGGTTGATCGGCAGACGAAATTCATGATGCATAGAGTCGAGAGTGTGCGCCGCCAAACGAGGAATGAAGAGGCCACCGTGATTGACGACTTGCGGAAGACAATTTCCGAGCTGGAGACCAAGCTCACCATGGCCAAGGAGCAGGTGCAGTCTGTTGAAGAGGATGGTGCGGCGCGGGAAAAACTCCAGGACCGCGTCGTGCAGCTGAAGAAGCAAGTGGCCAAGGTGAAGAAGCAAATCAGCGCTGAGAAGTCACAGGAGATCCAGAAAGCCAATGATGAACTTAAGACAGCAAAGGATGAACTTCAGACAGCAAAGGATGAACTTCAGACAAGCAAGGATGAACTTCAGGCTCGGACTCAGGCTTTGCAAACTATGACTGACAAGCTTTCTGCTACTGAGTTTCGTCTGACCGCGGCGGAGGAGCGTGGTCAACTGCTGCAGTCAGTTGAGAAAGTGCTTCGAATTCGGACTGGAAGGCTTGCAGCCGCAGAAGAGCGACTGGCCCAGGCCGCTGGTGCAGAGAGTAGTCGACAGAGCCAAGCCGAGCGTGGAAAGATACTTGACCAGAGTCAGCAAATCCAGTCACTCAAACACGAAGTCAAGACTCGGCACGACGAACTTAAGGCTTGTACTGACAAGCTTGTTGACGTTGAAACCCGTCTTGCGGCTGCGGAAGAGCAGTGTAAACAGGTTGTGACTGACGGTCAACAGCTTCTTAACAAGGATCAGGAATTGAAATTATTCAAAGACGCACTTGAGACTCGCAACGAGGAGCTTAAGGCTTGCACTGACAAGCTTGTCAATGCTGAATCCCGTCTCACGGCTGCGGAAGAGCAGCATAAACAGACTGTGACTGATGATAGCCAACAACTTCTTAACAAGGATCTTGAATTACAATCGCTCCGAGACACACTCCAGACTCGCACCGAACACCTTCAGGCTTGTACGGAAGAGCTTCAGACTTGCAAGGGAGAGCTTCAGACTTGCAAGGGAGAGCTTCAGACTTGCAAGGGAGAGCTTCAGACTTGCGGTCAAGAGCTTATGGAGGTCAAGGTCCGGCTCGCTATTCAAGAAGAGCTCAGCAAACAGGCTGCGGGTGAACAAGGGGAACTGCAGTCACTCAAAGACACACTTCAAACTCGCGCTGCCGACATGGAACAGCACATAATTATCTTAGAGAATCAAAAGCGCGAGGGCGAACTTCAGCGTCAGGCGCTTGTCGCTCAGAATCAGGACATCCTCGCCCAGAATCAGCGGATTACCGTGGAGTATGAGACTTTCCGGGCTTCCCTCGGAGAAACTCCGCAGCAGCTCAGCCATTCATTGGCGATCATGCAGCAGGAGCGTGACGCTGCCATTGCAGAGGTTACTAAGCTCAAGAGTCAATTCCACTCGGACCCAATCGACGCAGAATTGGAATTGGCTTTCGCACAGGATGCCCTCCAAGAGGCTCGGGGCAAATTGGCCGAGGCCGAAGCCAACGCTCAAAGAACTATAGAGGAACTCAAAGTTGCCCACGAACTGTCGATCGGGAAAGAACATGTAGAAGCCGAGCAGGCGCGGACCCAGGCGTTCCTCCTGAAAGACAAGCTGGACAAGGTTAACGAGGAGAACCGAACCATGCAGGTCCAAATCGGACTAGCCACGAGAGACGCGCAGCGCAGCTTGGAACGGGCCGAGACGTCTGAACGGGTCGCCAAAGTTTTCGAGGCCCGTCTGGCCAAATGGGAGGAGAAAGCGCGCGATGAGCAGAAGATTATCAAGCGTCAGACGGCGGATGTGGGGTCCGTCACCACGGCCCTCCAGCAATGTCAGGTCAAAGTGTCGGAGCAGCAGACGATTATCAATGAGCTGACGGCGAAGCTTGAGCAGACGAAGGTGGAGACTCCTGTTTCCGTAGTCGAGGAAAAGCTCCGTGCCGACTTCTTAATGATCAAATCTATGTACGAAAGAGAGAAGAGAGCTCGCACGGAGGATCAGATCCGTTGGTCCAAGCAGAATCGCGACTTGGGAGAAGAGAATCAGAAGCTTCGCATTAGCATTTCGAATGCGCAGAATAAGCGTCCTACCAGACGCAGGGTAGTCGATTGTCCACCGACCCCATGCGATATGGATTAGTTTCTCTGACGCCTGCTGAATGCAGGGAGGCGCAAGTTTGGCGGTCGAAATTGTTGGATGTCTCACTGCTTGCTGATCTTGGAGAATCAATTACGGGGATGAGGTTGGTCGGACAATCAGCCCAGCCATCTTCTTGATCGCATCATTGCGCACTTAATCTACACATTGTCTTTTTTGGCATTGTTGGGGGGCGGTCATCGTTCAATGCCATCATTGATCACTCAAACTTCGCACCTCTGCATGGGAACCTGCAAACACACTGTAACTGATGTAAATTCAGGTACGACTAGTTAAGTGAATGAAGCAGACTGTTAACTTATTCTGAAACTGCCAAGCAGTCAATTGGTTGCAAGGGGGGAACCGTGCAAAACAAGTGAGACTGAGTTGAATGTAGAATCAGTGGATCAGGGGTTCGGGGGATAACCGGCGTCCGTTCATTTCCCTGCATGCGATAAGTTACGTAGAGCCCAATAGTCTCTCCATCTCACTCCACTCAGGCTCCATCAGTTCCATTAAAGCCACTGGGCTGAATGCCCCAGGGGACCAATGCTTAATAGTGTATGGTAAACGCCCTCTATGTTTCACCTGTTTTTTGCCGGCCAACCTCATTCAGTCATTTGCACCGTTCATTCTTGACGGCTGAATCGGTGATGCTCCACATTCACATTCCTTCTAGTCGAACTGTCGTCCATCCGACCCCCTCAATGTGTGCGTCTCTCTCTCTCTCTCTCGCTTGCGGGGCCGGAATTGCGCTCGGGCAGAGCTAAATCCATGGTCTGTTTTCTGGTCCCTCCATGGTGATTTCTTCTTCTCTCTCCTTCTCGCCATCTTGTCTCCTGGAATGTGGTGGGAGATCACGTCGATCGCACGCGCCCTCCAGCCCTTCCCCTATCTTGGCACGTTGACGCTGACAGCCTCCGCCGCACGTTGCTGTTTCAGCGCTATTTTGTCTCGCAGACGGGCTTTAATGGCTCCAGTACGATTCGTCCATGTCGAGTAACACCTCCGCCTATTGTCCAGCGGCTATGCGCTGTTGACGCGACTTGCCGCCAGCCATCTTGTTCTTCCCTCCGGCTCTGTCGCTCTTTTGCGCATCAGCGCATACAAAACTACTAATCTCCGAGACCCTGGCTAGGGATCTCTCCAACCGTTCTTCTGTCGCCTGCGCTGCGACTGACTTTCCCCGGCTGGTCCGACAAAGTCTAATCACACCATACACACACTCTCTCTCCTTTTCGAGTGCCCGCGGTGGTCGTCGTAAATAATGTTCTGCTCGGGGGATCGCGAGAAAGGGCCCGTGGCCCTGGAGGAACAATGGGATTATATCGTATGTCCCAAGCGTCATAAACATATGCTACTTACGAGGTGAAGCATGGCGCTGACGGTTTCATTCCAGAACTTGAGTGATTTCAAATCCGAATCTTGCTGGTCTGGATTCTCTTACTTCCTGATCTACGTCTTCCTTTTGGTCTCGATGGCTGTATACGGCGTAGACACCTTCACTGCCATCAACCTGTTAGCTTTCTCGCGATGGGCCGGCTCAATTGAGCCTGCAATACCGTTCAAGATCTCGCGCTGGATCTTCGCCGTCTGCATCATCGTCTCTTTCGCCCTGCTCATCTATCGTTGGTTGCGCGCCATTCGGGCAATGCGCTCAGGCAGTATCGCCCATAGCTATCTGGATTCTCTCGCTGTGCGCATCCAGAGCATTCGCATGGGACAGAATGGTCGGGGTTGGAGGCGCTTCTTGGTCTTCGCCGAGTTAACCAAAAGTCGAAAGGGCGCGGAGTACGTAGCGCTCTTTGCTTACTTCTCTTTCGAGTGTAGGTTCATCCGTATTGTGTTCATCTTTGTCAATAAGCTAATTTTCTTATAGCGTGGATGAGCACAATCTTTGCCGATGGCCCTCGACAGGTTGTCAACGCTATCACTTTGTACTCAGTCATGCAAATGGATCTGCTCCCGGGCGGCAGCAACACAGAGAGTAGCGATGGATCCACTGCTTCCCAACTATTCTACAACATCAAAGTCCTGGCGGATAATAACATCCGACAAGCCATTGTCTTGGTCGGCATGATTTTCACCCTGATCATCTGGGTTTTGTCGATGATCAAGCTTCTCCTGGCCGTTGTACTCTATTTGCTCTTTCTCTGGCATCACATTCCTTCAGAGGATGGATCGTTGAAGAGGTACTGCAAGCGCAAAATCAATTCGCGATTGACGAAAATCGTCCGGCAGAAGGTCAACAAGGCGCTGGCCAAAGGTGTGGCTCTCCAGGATCGAAAGCCTACCCAGCCAAATGTGGGCGTTGACAGGAAGCCCACTTTGCCGACGCTCGACATGAACGATCATGATAAGACACCAATAGTCACGACTATCTCGCGAACTACCACACAAACGACGCTGCCAGCATACTCGTCTCGTCCTGGTACCGCTGCGCCAGATCGCAAACCAACTCTTCCAGATCTGTCGACCTTTGATGACAAGCCGCCGGCCCTTACTCGAACAGTGACTCAGTCGTCTTTCTCAGATGCTGCTTCGATGTCCGGTAGTACTGCTGTGTCTACATACAGTCCTCTTGATCGACATGGCACTGCGCCTCCAGTACCGCCTCTTCCACATCAAGGGCCCGCTCCGATGCCACTCTCTCAAACCCCGAGACCACGCCAGAACTTCGACCAGACGCCTTCGACTCAGCGGTATGGTGGACCGGTGGACCCGCGTAGTCACACGCCGATGTCGCGATCGACGCGCACGCCTGCTCCTCAGCAACAGGCTCAAGCGATGGCTCGGTCTCAACCTCCTATGTCTCGTCAGAACTGCACCCCACCGCCTCCTGCTCCAGGATATCGGGGAATGGATCGAGCGTCGCCCGCACCACCTATGCCGCGTATCCAGACACCAATGTTTCGATCGAATACCGCCCCAGCTCCACCTTCCGCTATGCACGATCAGAGTCATATGCCGTATGCAATGGGACAGCAGGATTCTGAGGGATACAGTCCTTTCGCAGATCAGGAGCCCTACTACCCGCATTATGGCACTCCCTTTCAGTCTCATGCCCCAGCAACTGTATCAACCGCACGTTCTTTGACACCTGGGACAGTTCGTTCTCCTGTTGAGGGCGTGCCTACCCGGACGTTCTCTCCCCAGGGTCAGCTTAACGGTACGCCATATCCTGCGGGAGACCATGAGTTCTCCGCGCGGTCGTTCACCCCGGCTGGCTCTGGTACCCCTCGATCTCCCCCGCCTGCTGTTCCCGCGGGTTGGGAGACGCGAACGATGTCTCCTGCTGGTGCCGCAACTGCGAATATTTACACTGCATTCAGTCCAGTTCACAGGAGTGCGCCAATGCCGCTTACTGAGACTATCGCTTCGGGCCAAGATGGGTCCGATGGTGGATATGTCCATGACGACATAGCACCGATTAGCGTTACCCCAGGTGATGTGCACGAGGTACCTCACGCGCTAGAAGGCGGATATGTTGCCTTTAATCCGTCCGCAAACACTGCTTCGCCTTCCGAGGAACATCCCAGCCACGAGGAGCGCGAGCATTATGCTGATGAGCATCACGACCTCCACGCTATTGACACAGAGAGAGCGTCTCAGGCAGCCTCACCCGAGTCGCATGGTGCTGACGGGTTTATCGCCTTTAATCCATCGTCCACAGATTTGTACAAAGACTTGGGCAATCAGCACCAGCACACTGAAGGACCGCAGGACCACGCTCAGGACGGACTAGGTCATGAGCACCTTTATGACTTCTATGCTGAACAACATCCCGAGCCACCTGCTGCAGCACTCCGAGCTGTCTCCCCCAGCGCAACCAGTCACGAAGGCTACACGGCGTTCAACCCATTTGAGGATTCGTATGCTGCCGGTTTCGTTCATGAGCATGAGCATGAGCCCGAGCATGAGCCCGAGCATGAGCATAAGCCCGAGCCCCAGCACGATTATCAACACCCCAGCTCACAAGCGGAGCATGAAATGTCAGAAACGAGTGTACCGAATGGGGGTGGCTATGTGGCTTTCTCTCCAGTAACTCACGCTGTGTCTTCCCCGGTGGAGACATTTACTCCAGCGACACATGCGTTGTCTTCTCCGACAACCCAGTTTGCTCCTACCACACATGCCATGTCTTCGCCAACAGGACAGTTTGCATCCACCACAGCGTATGCCATATCCTCTCCGACAGCAGCCCATGCTCCGCGAATCCAAACCTCTGCAGACGCGCACGCATACTCTACTTCGTACCCTACCGACCAACAAAGTCACCCTGCCGAACGGGCTTATTCCCCTGCAGCGGTACAGCCATACCGTCCTGACCAACAACACCACTTCTGATTCTACCTTGACACCTTCCTTCACTCAGTCATTTGTCTTCTATTCACCTATCGAACCCCTTCCACTGCGGGCCTTAACCCTTTTCTTTCGAAATGCATACTCCAACAACCATATACACACGGTCACTTCCTCAAAAGTGCACACGGCCCACTATGACTTACATTATTTTCCCCCTTCGTCCGATACATACCAACCATAGTACGACAAGATCGTGGACGGCCAGTCTACGCAGTGACGTTACGTGTTTGATGATCCTTTACCTTATACCACTACCACTTTTGATTTATGATTCTCTCATCTGCCATGCTAGATCAGCTCGCTCAACTCAGCTCTTCACATCAAGCATACATACCTACATAGTTTCAACTACAGATAGTATTTAAACATACCCCATTAATTGATCTGACCTCGATGTATTTTTCTTTACGTGATAGATCGGATCGACACAGACACCACTAAACAAACAGAGATCAACAAGCACATAGGTCAAGCAAAAACCGAAACCGGTAGCTACCCCCTTCACAAACTTGACACAAAGAAGAACTAAGGTGACCTGACAACCTCGATACTAAGATTAGTACCGAGCACTACAAGAACTACCCAAGTCCTACCTACAAATCCTAGAAGTAAGCCCTACCTGGGTACAATTCTCGATGCAGAGTCTACTAAGCCCATCCATCCCCTCTCTTTCCAGAGCAACACAGACTCGACCCATAATCCATGCCTTCTTCTTCTTCTTCTTCTTCTTCTTCTTCCTCCTCCTCCTCTTCCAAAGCAACACCCCCAGCCTCAGTCTCACCTCCAACTATCAACAACCGTCACCCCCACCCCCGCACACCCCGTCGCAGCAACCGTATACACCCGATTTGGATCACTCTCCCACGTAACCGTACTCCCATCCGTCCCGACCTTAAAGAACTTATACTCGAAGCTCGTACTCACCGGCAGCGTGACGGTAGCGTACCACTCCGGATACGCCGAAGAGTAATTCGCCGCGCTGAGCTGGATCGCCCCACCCGAAGTGGTGGTGGCCCAGTTTCCTAAGGCGGCGATGGAGCCTGTGAGGTAGATTTCTTCGCCGTAGGATGTTGTGACGAGTTCGATGAATGTTATTGGGATTGCTGTTGCTGCTGCGCAGGTGGTGGTGGTTGCGGTGGTTGTTGTGGTGGCTTTGGTTGTGGTGGTTGTGGTTGTGGAAGGAGAGGAGGAGGAGGAGGAGGAGGAGGAGGAGGAGGAGCTGCTACCACTTCCCCCTCCCCCGCAGAGAGTGCTCTTACTCACGGAAGTGGATGGGAGGTAGACACGCGGAAGACCCGAGGCCATCGGGACAGAGATGGAGCCGTCCGAGGCGACGGTCAGGGTCGTACACGAATACACCTCCGTGAGTGTGGTGCCGGCTGCGTAGCCGGTGCCGGTTAGGGTGAGGGTGTAGCTGCTGCTGGAACTGCCGCGGTTGGAGAGGATCGTGATGACCTGCAGGGTGTCGGAGCCTTTGCGCATGGCGATGGTGTTGCTGTCGGTGTAGAAGGGGTTGTTCTTCGTTGATTAGTGTTAGTCCAGATTGTATACAGTGATTGGGTTCTCGGGCATGCCGGTAGAGCTACTATGCCCTAGGTATACGGTACGGATTATACACGGCAATGAGGAGGGAACCGAGGACACAAATACACACATACCTTGTAGGTGATGTAATTACTGTCCAGCGAGATCGCCAGCTTACGGATAGCGTTGGTCGTCGCGATCCACTGGTAGAGCTCGGCCGTCGTCGAGTAGCCTGACAGCCAGGTGGCTTCGCGGTTGTAGGGCACTCCAGATCCTGAATAGTGCTGTTCTTCGCCGGCGTAGACGATGGGGATCCCGTCCGACAGGAAGAGGAATGAGAGCACGTTCTTGGCTTGCGAGTAGTCGCTTGTATAGCTGTCTTGTTTTTTAGTGAAAACTCCTCCCCCCCTTTCCCAAGGGTTTTCGGCCAACTCACTAGGCAAAGCGCGCGTTGTCATGGTTCTCAATGAAATTGCCGAGTAAAGTAGGGTCGGAGCAGTCGCTGGCCACCGAGTTGATCATGTTGTACAGATCGCTGATGCTGCCGCTGCTGGACTCGAAGGCGTAGAGGAGTTGGAAGTAGCTGCCTCGGTTAGTGTATTGTTCCTCGGGGTTGATCCTCTCGTGTAGAGGCACTCACATCGGGTAGTTCAAGACGCCGTCCAAGTATCCTTGGTACGGACATGCAGTCGCAGGGTCTCCGTTGAAGACCTCCCCGATGCTGTAGACGCCTGCCGCGCTGACGTACCCCGTGAAGAAATCCGGCTCCACCTCGAGAGCGCTGTCGATGCGAAGCCCATCGACTGCAACTGGTCAGCAGCAGCCCACCCCTAAAGCAATGGTGACAGGTACATACTTGAGTAGTTGGCGACGAGCTCTTCAATCCAGTCGTACCAGATCGTTCGCACTGCGCTCTCCGTCGTGTACAGATCAGGAAGCGAGACGATCGTATCGCCCTCCCAGCAGGTCCGGACCTGGTCGAGATCATCCCAGTCGGTGATCAAGCAGTACGAATGAAAATATGACGAAGATGGAAAGGCGTCAAAGACGCTGTATTCCACGCTGTCGCCCGAGCCAGCGTAACCCTGATCTCTGTCAGCTAAGTTACCAACCCCAAACGGAACAACCCCTACCATGTGGTTTGGCACCACATCCACCATGAGATACATATCACGCTCATGCAAGGCAGCAGACAGGGCTTTCAAGTCCTCTGCTGTGCCGAAGTTGGAGTTCAACGAATAGCTTACTCTTCGTCAACTATGAACCCAACTCATGGCCGGGGTGCTCACATCTTCTGTTGCCAGTATCCATGATAGGACTCGCCATCTGACGTATCTGCCGACAGCTGTTCGGTGACGGGCGAAATCCAGATGGCCGTGAAGCCCATGCCTTGGATGTAGTCCAGCTGCGCCACGGTTAGACTCTATGGGGGGAACGGTGAATCCATAGACAGCGCCTACGTGGTTGATGATTCCCTGCCATGTTCCACCGCAATACACCTAGTGATATCAGGAGACCATTGCTTGCATTCATCAGCCATGCGGGGGGGGCATACCTGATCCCCAGTGTTGCATGTCGCTGTGGTCGAATTATCCGTCCTGCCGAACCGATCGGTCAGGAGGAAATAGATGGACTGAGTCCGCCATTCCGCTGCGGTCAGCCCGAGGACGAGATCGCCAAAGATAGGCAGAGACAGAAGACTTGAAAGCGTCGAGAATCTCATTCTTGTCGTTGAATTTTGTTTAAATTCTGAGCCCAGGGATTGTCTGCCATTCGGCCTAGTTTTATGACATTCGGCACTTCATCTTATATGTCATCTGCAGCCTCCCAATGTAGCCTAGGAGTTTGCGATGCATAGCCAGAGGCAGGACGCATGATCAGGTGGCTTTCTGCTATTGCTTTCGTGCATGGCTGCATGCCAGGGACGGTCTTTTGTATGTGACTTGATTGGCTCAGACTCCGATCGAGCAGGATATTCTGCAGCCGAAGCGAGCAGCAGGCCATGAATTCAAAGCTATTGGGTGCCTTAGGTCCGATCATGCAGGTGTGAGGACCGAGAAGATTGGCTACAGCACGCCCGCCTTCATTACTAGGGAGTTATTGCCGTGTCTGAAGAAGAAGTCTGAGAATTGGCTGGGGGTGAGGGGCGATGGAACGGCAGAAAAGGGGCCCAAGCCTCGGCAGCTGAAGAAGGCTGATTGATTAAAAGTTCACCACCTTACAACATTTACTGTGAGGGATTTCTGGGCCTTGAATGCCAGTCTAGCGTTGAATGCATACTAAGTCACCAAATACCGGTCTGATGCAGTAATTGTACCTGTGGACATCCATTCTTGACTCTTGGGTCAATGACTCTTTACAACTGATGTTTCCGTACAGTCCAGCCCACAAAAGACCCCAGCAGCGAGAGAGCGAGAGCAAATACTAGAGAGAACAGATCAATTTGTGTCAAGTAAAGCGCCTTCAGGGTCAACTCACAGTAGGTGTACCGAAGTCCAGAAACGTACCCGCGGACCACGATATCGTGAATGTGTCCACTGAGCCCATTGATATAGTCTGTATCGGATAGAGCTCGTTCGATGATCTTCATGGCACAGTTAGCATACACAAAGACACGTAGTTCAGCGTATAAGTTGACGTTACCTTCTTTGCACCCGGGCCTGTCAAATTCTGCTCTAGCTGATGCTTGAAAACAGTTCCCAACACACTGTTCGTGATAGTCACGCCAGCAGTCATCGCAAAGTTGAATATGAGGAAATAGCCTCCCGTCGCCATGGCAATCTCCTGGGGCACTAGGAAGGTGGTCATGCTGACAAAGGCTGCAGCTGACGCGAAGCCGGTTCCCATACCCCCCGGGATGATATACAATGATTCCCAGAAGCCAGTATGACCATTCCAGCGGAGGAAGAGCAACAGGTAGGTGACCGAAGCAATTAACCCAGCCACAATCAAGAAAACCTTAAATTGGCCAGTGCGTCGAATCGAGGCACCGGCAATCAAGCCGCCAAGCGTATTTCCAATCACTGCAGGAACCAGATGTCCGCCCGCAACGGTGGCAGAGGCGCGAGACGTGACCTGAAAGTACAAAGGAACCGAGAACATCATACCAACCTGAGCTGAGATTTGCAGAGAGCCGATCAAGTAACTAGGGATCACGTTGGTCCGGCGCAAGATACGTAGGTCGAAGATCGGTTCCACAGCCACAAAAAGCTCGACAATGACGAACGCAACAAATGCAGCCACGCTAATGGCGCTAAGAAAGACGGTCGTCAGAGAGGCCCAAGCAAAGGCTTTCCCAGCTTGGTCGAGAATGAGGGTCGTGGTTATGACGCCAAGGGCGATGAGAAGGGTGCCGAGGAAGTCGACCCTGCGGATATCCTTGTTTGTGGTCGGAGTCGTAAGCTTCAGCTTCCAGACGACGAGTAAGGCAGCCAGTGCAGTGAGGGGACCTTGGAGAAGGAAAGACCTGTCGGAGATTAGACAACGGACAAACAAGAATAATTGAGCTCGATTCTCACCATCGCCATCCGACAGTATCCGCCAACCATCCACCGATAGGACCTCCTGCGCTCCGGCCCAGAGTCATAGCAATGTTGACGTACGCACGCCAATGAGCCACATCTCGTCGAGGAACGATATCTACCTGATGCTTAGCGAGCATGATTAACGTGTGGGCCGTCCGTCCTACCTGTGATGATGATCACACCCATTGCCATCGTCCCAGCACCACCAATACCGCTGATAGCACGACCCAGATTCACCACTAACATGCTTGTGCCGATTCCACTGCGATGTCCCGAGTTAGAGCGAGGTTGAGGGTGGTGTTATTGATAGAAATGCCGCATACCTAATCACGCATCCGAGGCCGAAGAAAAAATAGGCCCATAGCAGCAGCGGCTTACGACCATAGATATCGCTCAGTTTGCCGTACTTTAAGAGCCACCACTATCAGTATGATATCGCATCGAGTCCAGATCCTAGATCAACTCACCAGGGGCTGTGCGGCACAAAGACCGAGAGTGAAAGCCGTGGCCAGCCAGCTGGCATTGCGCAAACGATCGAACTCGGATGAGATTTTCCCTGTGGTAGCCATGACGAGTGTGGCATCTGCGTTGGAGAGGAACTCGCCTGTTCAGGGTCAGCGTCGGTGTGAATCATGACTGGTTGCGCCCATCCTACCAAGGAGTAGCACAGCGATGATGGTCTTGACGCTAGCCAGTGCCTGCACTTTGTTTGGGTCTGGAGTCGACGCTGGACTGACTAGCGGGCGTTCTTCATCGGTATCATGACTACTCTGCACATCACTAATCGGTCCCTTGGAGACACTTTGATAATCCGAGACATTGGAGACATTTGTATCCAGAGCTGCTGGATTCAAAGGGGTTGTCTCATTGATGTCCGCTTCTGCCCTCAAGGTATCTGAGCTGGCCGATGCGATCGTCATTTTGGCACAGCTGTTGATATGGTGCTCTTCGTGGGAAATCCCCAGGTTGATAGTGAGTGAGTCCCGTGCTTGGAGCAGCTCAAGGGTGAGGACCGGAGCAAAAACGGGCACTCTTGTATCACAGCAAGGTCTTCTGACACAAACAAGCCCTTGAGGGAAGTTTCATTAGATGATATGCGGAGCTACGTGGTGAAATTTCGCTTATCGCAAGAAGTCCAAGCTTTCTTGACAATTGCGCGACAGTATTGGCTGGCTATGATTGAGTATCCGGAAGAGCCGATGACACCATCGTGGAAAGGAGGTATAATTCACTGGGGGATCCGTAGCTACCCACATGGCCACGCCCCAAGTCGGAGGGGGATCGTGGCCAAAGCCCCTCCATGGGTGAAAGCTGCAAATGACAGGACAGGATGGGGATGGAAGAAGGTGATTGTGGTGGAGGAGCACGCCATGCTTGCCGTCGATGGCGAGGATGACTAGCGTCACTCTCACCTCTGGCTCAGGCTCTCTCAGGCACTCTCAGACACTCTCAGGAACCGTTCGCCCCTCGGCTATTTTGCATCGCTTATGGTTGCCTTGTTTCATGAATGGCTGGCAAGCATATTGTATCTCGAGATCTTTCAATGGCTAGATCTCTAAAAACCTGTGGTCGTACGGTATGAACGAGGCGCGGATCGCTGAACATCACGGCGAGAGCATACACATTACAACGAAATTGGGTTTGGAGTCAGCGAGTACAGAACCAATTAACTACATGACAACGCCATGGAGGTGACTAGACCCAGAGTCACTTCATTGAGAAACGGGGTGAGCTCAGAAGAGGTGCACAGAGATGATGAAAGATGAAGATGCAGTGAAACGAGCAACACAGATTGTGGGGAAGGACCCTGCTTAGTCAGAAACAACACTGACAGCAGCTCCACTCGACCGCTCTTTTGACCGCCCCGTGATTATCCCCGGTCTTTTGCTCTCTCCCTGGCGTGATTCATTCAATTCATATTTATTCAATCGCTCTCATCACCAACGGTCGCAACCACTGGTCTTCTCTGCAGGCTGTAGCGACGATCTAGTTTACAACACTCGATCGCGACATGAAGTTGATCACCCCCTAAGTACGGCTCACGGATTGCATTGCGCGGAGCGCTACCGCTGATTTCCAGTCCCTGCCTTCCCCGATCGCGCCTGCAACTCAATCGCCTTAATGCTCCGCGCAGCAGAAGACGCAGATTTATCGGCTGTTTTGAGACCCATACGCAATGATGCCCCAGGCGCGATAGACGACATGGCTGAGGCTCGTGAATCCCACAGTCAACGAAGGCGGGAGTCCGTCAACGGCGAGGCGGCAGGCCCATCCCAGCAGGAATGGACGCCAGCAACACCGCGAAGTCCAGAAGCCAATGCCGCTCTGACCGAAAGACCTGAACCATCGAAGTCCCCGAAACTTCAGCTATCAATGGTCTCAAACGGCTCAAACCATTCAAGGGAGTCAGATGAACGGCCCATGGGGGTCTCCGACATGCAAGGCGGACAAACGATGGCGCCGGACGCTACAGCGACTTACACCAACCGGATTGATGCTAGGGCCAGCTTGCAGTTGGATGGAGTCGGTGACGGCTCTACACACGATGTTAATGGGTTACCCTGCCAATATACCCCTCACAGCGCTCGGAAAAGCGATCATTTTGCGATGGCGTCCGACAAAGTGGTAGGAATGGTATTTGAGCACTCAGAGGAGGCCCCTCATACACCGGGCCGTCGCACGACTTCAAGAACGTCCCTGGTGGATGTCTCTGAAGGATCCGCAGCCCCTTCCACGCTCACTGAGTGGTCGCGGGACACATCACCTAGCAGGGACCACGACAAGAATCCGGAGCGCGTTTTGAGATTATCTCCGGCCAAGATGCAGGAACTCACATCTTCACCGCAGTCTATCCCTTACCGCGCAGCGCCACCAGAGCAACCCGACCGTGGCCGACGGGCAGTATCGGATGGAACGCATGCAGCAGCCTCGTCGTCCGAATCGGTAGAGCCTAGGACGCTACCGTCTGTGGAAGAAACAAAATTATCCTCCGACCATATACCTAAACTCCGTTTGCCAAAAGAGCTTTCCATTGACACCTCGGCTTCAACAACTGGGAGGATACCCACGTCATCCTCTTCGCGCAGTCGACCGCAGGCCTCACGGGCTGTGTCAACACCTAGCTCACGGCGACAGACCTTGCCGGCGACGAATGACCGGCTGGCCCAGACATGGGCGTCTCGAACAAAGCAGGATCGTCTTCCGATCGCTCGAGAAGCAGATTCGAAACATCTTGAACCGTCTCCGCAGATGAAGGAACAGGCCTTGCCTTCGCCAATGCCGCCCAATATACCTCTGCCACCTCTATCTGTTCCCACCTATCTTCAGTTGGAGCTGGCGTCAGGGCGGCCATCACCGCTGTACATCCACCGCTCTGCAATGTCCGACTTTCCTTATGAATCATCACGAGTCAAGCTTGAACGCCTGATGAATTTCCTGATGCTTCCGCCAGCGGTGGAGCAGGTACTCTGGTTTGGCATATTGGCATGTCTGGATGCGTGGCTGCATTCTTTCACTATCCTCCCGCTCCGGTTTCTGAAGGCTCTGTACATACTAATCGAGTCATGGATCTTGAACCTAGGGGTGGAATTCCGATATGTGTCTGGCTTTGTGATCAAAGGGGTGGGCCGGGTGTGGCGGAGACGCAACAGGACCGTATCGATCGACGAACCACCTCGTGGCTCTGACGTGGGACGCCCGCACAAAGGTGAAACAGCACCCGGGGAGCGAGATCCCCCCGCAAAGGCAACCGAGTCTCGAAAGAGGCACCGATCTCATGGACATCGACTCCAACATCGCCGGCAGAAGAGCATCCCGTCAGCGCTCATGCCCGATGACAAGGCCGACATTCTCAAGGGATTACTCATGATTGCTACCTGCTGCGTTCTTATGCGCTTCGATGCGAGTCGAATGTACCACTGGATTAGGGGCCAGGCAGCTATCAAGCTCTATGTAATTTACAACGTCCTAGAGGTCAGTGATCGACTGTTTGGCGCCATTGGTCAAGATGTGCTTGAGTGCCTATTCTCGCGAGAGGCGCTCGAGCGGCGACCCGACGGCCGCAGCAAGATATTTCGGCCATTTGGGCTCTTCTTGCTGGCGCTGGCCTATACGGTCATCCATTCCACAGCATTGTTCTACCAGGTGATGACGCTGAACGTTGCAGTCAACTCTTACTCTAACGCGCTGATTACCCTGTTGCTCTCCAATCAATTCGTCGAAATCAAATCCACGGTCTTCAAGAAGTTCGAGAAGGAGAACCTCTTTCAACTGACCTGCGCGGACGTAGTGGAGCGGTTCCAATTATGGCTCATGCTGACTATCATCGCATCGCGCAACATCGTCGAAACCGGGGCCTTCAACATCTTCAGTTCTCTGGGATCCAGCTTCACATCGACCAGCACCAACAGCACCCCACTAACGACTCCGCCACGAACATCTTCATCCATCCTTCCCCAATCCTTCACAATCGTCCCGTCATCGATCATTGCCTCCTTCAGCCAGGCCAACTCCTATCTCCCGACGTTGGCGCAAGTGCTGGGCCCCTTCCTCGTCGTCTTGGGCTCTGAGATGCTAGTCGACTGGCTCAAGCACGCGTACATCAACAAGTTCAACAACACTCGCCCGGCCATCTACGGCCGCTTCCTCGATATCCTGGCCAAAGACTACTACACGAACGCGTTCGCAGACCAGAACCTCATGCGCCGGCTGGGGCTGCCCGTGATCCCGCTATCCTGCCTTTTCTTCCGCGTCAGCGTGCAGACCTACCAGATGTTCATCGCCGCCCTGCTGCCCCAACCGCCCGCCTCTTCCACCGCAGTGGAATCCACCTCCCTCTCCGCCATCCACAGCCAATACGTCCCCGCCCCGATGCCCTCTCCGCCCCCGCTCACTTTTCAGAACTTCATCCCCACCTCCACCGCTTACGCCGGGGCCTGGTTCCGCCAGATGCTCGCCAATACCATGCCGACCCCAGCCTCATCCGTCTACATTTTTACCATAGTCCTCATTCTGACTGGCTATGTCGTCCTCCTCATCCTCAAGTTGCTGCTGGGCATGCTCCTCCTCGCGCTCGCGCGCTCCCGGTACAGGGCCATGAAGCTGCGCGAGGTCGAGCACAACCACCCCGCCATCTCAGCCTTGACCTCCTCGTCCACAGCAGCAGGAGGAGCAGCAGCAGCAGCAGCAGGTGCAGCTCCAGCCACCGTCACAAATAACCCTACCGGCCCACCCCCCGCCCCTTCCATATCGACGACAGCAGCATCAGCAACAGTCCAACCCCGCCCCCGCGACTTTGCTGTCGAGGGCAGCCGTCGCGTCGGAGGATGGGGCGTCGTCGAGGTGAACGACGACCACCGCCGGTGGATCTACGCGGATGACCCGGACGGACTCCGCAAGCTGAAAGCGAAGGAAGAGAAGGACGCCAAGTCCGGCGGGAAGGAGGAGTTGCACCTCGATCATGTGCAGCGGTACGAGATGGTTGCCAAGCGCATTTGGTGAAGTACTAGCGGTCTTATCGGTTTCTTTTCGTATATATTAATAGCATACATGCTCTACTTGTTGAGCGTGTTGATTGTTGAGTGTTGTCAAGATTAGATATTTATACATACGATATATGTTCTACTCGCACTTAACGCATAGCCAGTATGTGCAAGAAGTCTGTGCATATAAATTAGTAGGAGGAAGTAATACACAAGTTGAATGAACGGGGAAAAGCAGATGCTGATGAATAATCCCACCAAGTCTAGTCTAGTCCATGAATTCACGAGATTTATATACATATCGACTACCATCCTCCGCAAACCACCTATGATCCGAACCAGAACCGAATGCAGTGAAAAGAAATGTGGTGAACGACAAGTTCAAGTTGAGTTGAAGTCGCTGAATGTGCAAATCCGTAATAACCCGCTGAAGACAACCAGAAATTGCAAAAGGGGGAATCGATGAGGTAAACGAGGTTGAATCATTAGTTTGAGGCCGTTGAAGACATGACTTGCCACGACAAAGGAAGCGGCATGAAGGTTGAACTCGTCGCATCACATCACTGGGATATGACGAAGATGAAGGGGGGGGAACCGGGAGGTTGAAATAGATGAATCCGGTTAGAGGTGGTGGCGGATCTCGGAGACGGCGTCGCCGTACATTTCTGATTTGCTGCGTTAGTGGGTTTGTGCTTAAATTGGGTTGGACTCGGAGGGAGGAAGCTGAATCCGGGTGGTGCTTACCGTTCCACACATCCAACGCGGCTTTTTCTGCGTCCCAGCCCCAGAGACGTTGCTGCGTCTCACGATCGGACCAGCGATCGGGGTTGGAACCGCTCGTCAGCGAGGTGCGGAACTGTTCGTCGCGGGCGATTTGCTCGGGTCCGTCGGGGAAGTGCAGGGTGGTGCGGTTGTCGGAGCCGGATTGCTGCACGGTTTCGGCGCGGGATTTGCGGGATTTCTCGTAAGCTTGAAGCGCGGCGGGAATGGCGGCGCGGGAGGGAATGGTGGAGAGGAGAACGCCGAGGGCGGCGGCGTCTTCGACGGCCTGCGCGGCGCCTTGAGCAACGTAGGGTCTATAGGTGCTTATTTAGTGTGTGGCTCGGGTGGACAAGAGGGTGTGTTGAAGACTTACAGCATAGGATGGCAGGCGTCACCGATCAAGGCGACATTACCCCGGATCCAGGTCTTTAGTGGAGCGTGCAGGCAGAGCTTCCATTCGAGGACCTCGTCGTCGGGAACCAGATTGAGGAGCTTCGTCACACGACTGTCCCAGCCTTGATAGTTGTCAATCATGGCCTGTTTGGAGCCCTTGGTAGTCCAAGACTCCTCGACGCCGTGACAATCAGGGTGGAGCAGCACGACATTGTAGAGCTCATGGTTGCGCACGGGGTACGCAATGATGTGGCGGTTGGGACCAAGCCAACGCGTCGCCTGGGGCTCGTCGATGAGGACCTTCAACTCGGGATCGTTTTCGAGCGCGCTGCGAGGAAGCATAATCCGATAGGCGGCATCACCGGTGGGAACGGCCTTGCAGGAGTAGTCGTTGAGGAGCTGACCCCGAATACCAGACTTAATGCCGTCCGCACCAATCACCACGTCGCCTTTGAGGACGGTGCCGTCGGCAAGGGTCACAGACGCCTGATCGAACCCAACAGCAGTGACAGTGGAGTTGACGTGCAATTCCACATTTGACAGCGCCAGCGCTTGCTCAATGAGTGCGTTGTGGAGATCAGCCCGGTGAATTACCACCTGTTGGCCGTAGGTCTTGTTAACGGGCATAGTGCCCAGTAAAGACCCGTCTTGCCACCGACGGACGTGGATGTGCTCGAGAGCGACATCTGTGGCATGAATTGATGGAGAAACACCCCAACCTGGACGAATGAGTCAGTGCGAGGCAGTAGATGGCCAAAAACAAAGGTGCTTACGATCGAATAAGCGGAGCATGTTAGGGGAGACTTGGATGCCCGCTCCAACTTCCATCAGCTGGAAAATCAACGAATCAGTACGGCACCTTTCAATCAACAAGAGAACCTCATTGCTGGCATACCTTGGGCGCAGATTCGAGGATGGTGACCTGGTGTCCTCGTAAGCCAAGAGTTAGGGCTGCGGCCATGCCGCCAATGCCTACGTCTGTCAGCGACAATGCAGCGTTTCGACAAAAGTCATGATTTCGGCATACCTGCTCTAAGATACGATGTTAGTGGCGATTACTCTGAACACTGGCAAAAGATAACCTACCCGACTATGACCACATTAAGGGGAGTCTTGGCCTGAGACAAAGCCATGGTGATCTATGATATTGATACAAAAGAGAGAAGGGTAAAACCAAGCAAAAAGGGGGCGATAGGTAGATCAAAATAAGATTTTTGAATTGATAAAATTTTTGCGCTGGCTGGACGCGCCGATATAGGAGCCAAATCTGGTACCGTACAAAATCCGGGGCAAAGAAGTGGTTTGCCACAGGTAGAGTCAGAATGGGGAATTGATGCGGTTGATATAAGAATTGAATCATGGCAAACACCTCCTCCGACAAAGCGATCTGTCCGGACCTGCCCCGACCTCCATGGGCTGGGAGTCACGGCCGAGGACAGGATGATACGAAGCTCGGGTCAAACATGATTATTTTTCTTGAGATCTCTGTCTGGCTGGGAAAGGGAGGTCGGGATTGGCGGCAGGACGCGACATCCCCAGGGCGAGCATTCTCCACCTGACTAAACCTGCCATTCGCCGCGGAATGGAGACGAACCAACAATTGGCAATCCCCATTTTTGACCGGAGAGGGCGGAGAGGGAGGAGTTGAGTCAGGCACGTAGAAGGGGGAAGAGGGGCGCCTCGAAGCTCCAAACTTCGACTGTCTGGATAGGATGAGGGGAAGCGGAGCTGTGTGGAACCGTGATCAACCTGCATTGAGTGAGTAACTATCAGGTGGCACCTCCATCTTGCTGTCAGTGACAAGCAAACAAAGACCATGACATGTATCTGTTCAACTTGTTTGAAGCTTTCACGGAGACCGAAAGGGAGAGTAAGAAAGAGAGGCTGAGGGAGAGCGAGCGCCCGTTTTCCGGGGAACGCCAAAAAAGGTTTAGTGCCAGGTTCCATATGGCGAGCTCGACAATTTTATCCAATCAGAAATACCAGACCCAGCTGACTCATCCACACCGGCTCTTCCGCTTCGCAGCAATTGCCGAAGGCTCCGGCATCGAATTCTCCCTTCCAACTGCCGGTTTCGCATTCTCTCAACTTACTCCTCCAGCTTCTTGCCTGTCTGTTTGAGACTATTTCCTCAAACCTACACAGTTCACCCTATTCAACCCTCCGGATTACCCCATCTGCCTAGAAATCAATCAGTCTTCCGTCTCTCTAGATTGCGACTCTCTACCAATGTGAGAACCTGGTTCCCCGCAACGTGCGGGGATAGCAGCTAGTTCTCTGCCTGCTTTTGCATTGAATGTCGATGATCCGGCAAGACATAATTCAGGACAAGCCGAGAACCAGGCCATTCTGTGCTGTGCACAGCCCTTGCTGAACTATGACATCCTCCTAGCGACAGCCAGCCTTCTGCCTGCAAGAGCACAGGAGAGTCGAACCGGTCATTCCAGATCATCAACGGGACAACCGGCTCAATTTTCCCGCTGACAACAGACATTACGAACAAGAGCTTAGTCGGATGCAACCAGCCTTGCATTCGGCCTGGCTGCTGGAGTGAACTGCCGTTCAGCCAAGGATCAAGTCTCTGGCCGCCCTCATTCCCTGCCCCTATGCTGTGAAGATTGAGATGTCTCATAGTTGGCCAGTGATGTTGTCCGAGTGAGCCGTTGCCTCCGGTGGACGCGCCCAGCAGGACTGGCAGGAGTTTGTTAGAGCGCTGAAAGGATCAGATATCAGGAAACCTTCCTCTTGATTCTGATGTCATGTGTCGATTAACCGGTGAACTGTAGCTGCCGCAGTTAACTTCCCGCTCACCGGGGCTCTGCTCCTTGATGAAACGCCGAGTGGCCGACATGAGAAGCTCTGGTCATCTGAGTATAGTAGGTATGCAAGCGCCACTACTACATTCTTTTGAGATCTTGAATCCTGAGCGTGTGATTCGTATCAAATTCGTACAATTTGCGTTAAAGAGTCTATAGTGCTCGCGGATTAGTCCTGAGCCACGCGTGTGACATCACGGAATTACATGGTTCGCAGGTGAAAAACTTTAAGGAAATAGGGTACTTTGGCGATAATCCTTATGCTCATATCAATTGCCAAAACACTATAACCTCCTCCGAACGTGTCACTATATAGATCTTGCTACCAGTGTATAGTCCAAGTTAAAAGTTTAAAGTGCGTATTGAGGTCAATAAAAACATCCTTTATCTAAAAGAATAAGACAGCCCATGCAGGCCCTGCGGAATGATGAAGGGAACAGTAGATTCTCCTGGCTGAACTAATTAAATGGAAGATGATGCTATACTACTAAGAGAGAGGGGGGGGGGAAAGAGAAGTAAGAGGGGGAGAGAAGGAAGATGAGGCCAATCACATAACAACCGCTTACTGAGGTGTCGACCACCTCCCTCCCTCCTGCCTCCACAGTATACAGTGCAGAGTACGGAGTAGTTATCGGATGTATGTCCACCGACACTATTAAGCCCAATCTGGTCTAGCGCATGGAATGTGCCAGGGCGACCAAAGGGAGAAAAACCTTACTGCCCGCTAAGTCCAATCCACCTCCGAACAGGCTTTGATATACTCAGCTCTGGAGAAGTAATACCGTGTGAGAGTACCTTTCATGAATCATACATCACAACTCCATATCAATTTGCATGATCTACTAGTTGAAGAGAGTCGCATAGGGTCACTACTTAGAAGCCAAAAAGTGCGGGTGTAAAATGTTTTCACCTGGCCTGGGAAGGTGTAAAAAGCAAATGTGCGAAAATTCTAGGAACAGACTCAGGACCGTTTTCTTTCTTCTAGTTGCCTAGAGCTTCGCTTGACTCGCGGACTCTACTGGGGGAAGGCCATGAGTCATCCGTGACGAGAAAGGGTTGGTGGTTTGCGTGGCTAAGGAAAAAATTTGTATGATAGAAAAGTTCTGATCTCTGCTGTCCGCTTGCGGAGAGAAGGCATCGAGCCACGGTGATGGGCACTATACCTTTTGGTCTTGATCTCTCGTGTACAACACTCGAGTAGATAAGGAAACACTCACTAAGTTACTTTCCGAGTTTGTTCGCCTTCGGAAGCGAAGCGAACTCATTGTTTGTTCACTCGTTCATTCGCCCCCCCTCATGGCAATCTTGAGCCAGGTCCACCATGTTGGCAGGCATGCCAAACGTATGTCTCTTAAATCGTACAGATTACCGGGATAATGATGCATGCTCGACAGGCACAGCAGCGTTATACATCTCCTCGCTTTTATACCGTCTTTTTGAATGAGGGGAGTGACGGCATTCATTCCTCCGTATGAAGGTTGGGGGCCTACGCAAGCGCACCAACCAAGCTTTGGCCGGGCCGGCGGGTCAGCGCGGATCCCCGGGGGTTTGTGGGGGCGATTTCAGTGCCTTGCTTGGAAACTAGTTTGCCGGACCCACCGATGCTGTTGGGCACGTGAACGAGGTTTGAGGAAAAGATGGTTGCGGGAGTTGGCTGTTTACAGTATGCCTGCAGATTGAAGTATAGACATTACCGTTCGCTCAGAACTGAAGTTTCGGGAGGTATTGCTAGTACTACTACTACTACAAGAGAGGCCAGAATCGTCAGAAGCTTTGACTCGGATTCAAGCAGCATGAGGATGATGCAGAAACACATAGCATGATACATAGAGCATGAAGACATCATCCAGACACGAAATGTTTCACTCGGCTGGAGAACGAACTCTATGTGATCACTCAATGTATGACTGATATTGGAGCTATGAATATGGTCATTTCGTGTATGTCCATGTGCCATCTCCGTCTATACTAGTAGGGACGCAACATGAGTATCTCGCCTTGTAAGATCGAATCCAATTACTCGGGATCCGCAATCTTCAGGATGGTCTTTCCGCGATTTCCACCACGAAGCATCGAGACCAAGGCTTCGGGCCCGTGCTCGATTCCAGTGGTGATATCTTCCGTGGCTTTGATACTGCCGTCAAGGAGCCACTATGAAATATCATCTATCAGCATGTATCATCAGAAGACTGAAGAGTCACTCACCGCCGACACCCGTTCATCTCTTTCCTTTTTGTACTTCGGGCCCATGTTTTCGTCTCCGACAATGAACCCTTGCATCCGGATTCTTTTCCCGACCACGTTCGTGACGTTCTTGATTCCGAATCTTTCGTCGGGCTTCAGGTTGTATTGCGAGACCATACCGCAGCAGACTGCACTTTGGTCAGTCCATTCACTAAGGGCTCGAGAGGGAGGAAAGCCATACTGATTCTGCCGAAGTTGTTCATAGTATCGAGGGCCGCTTCCAGGTGCTCACCACCAACATTCTCATAATAAATGTCGATCCCGTTGGGCGCGAGTCGCGCCAGTGCATCACTCGGCTTCTCCTTCTTGTAATTGAAGCCGGCATCGAAGCCCAGCTCCTCGGTGATAAAGCGCAGCTTGTCGTCATCGCCAACACTACCGATCACACGCAGTCCCTCATGTTTGGCCAGCTGACCGACCACTTGTCCCACGGCCCCTGCAGCGGAGGAGACGAAGATTGTTTCACCTTTCTTAGGCTGTCCAATATCATACAAACTGGAATAAGCAGTCAAGCCTGTCATCCCAAGAATGCTGGCATAATGCGACAGCGGCAGTCCGGGCACCACATTGAGCTTTTCTGTATGAGGCCAGGCCAGCTGTTCCTTGGAGACCACACTGTACTCTTCGACCTTGAGTATGCACCAGATAATATCACCTGTCTTGTATTTGGGATTCTCCGACCGGATTACCTGCCCAATACTGTAGGCGGTGATCGGCTCCCCAAGCGAATACGGGGGACTGTAGCTCTTGACACTGGGCTCCCGCATCCGGCCGCGCATGTAAGGATCCAGACTGGCATAAAGATTCTTCGTGAGGACGCTGTCGGGGGGAAGCTGCTGGTTGAGATCAATCTCGCGTTGTTCAACGGTAAGATCGGTGCCCGGGACAGGCGCCCCATCGGGGATCTTGCTAAAGATGATTGCTTTATTGGGGGTGGGCATTTTTGAGGGAAGTAATTGCTTGACAGGTATCAAGGTATGAATTCTGGGAGTGATGGAAGGGTAGTAGAGTGACCCTTATATTATAAATCAGGACAGAAGTGGGAGGGGTACATCTATGACGATAGTGGGACAAGGATAAGATCAACCTCGGCTGGTTGGAAATCAGGCCTTATGGATAACTTAGGTTGCCATCTCATTGTTGACTATTTGTCGTATTGGTCAGTACCCTGCATCTCAAGCATGACTTTGAGCAATGAGTGGCCATAGTGAAATCGCTAGCTGAACTGGGTTGCGTGCTAATGTGGATCGAACAGGTGTGATTTGACAAAAGAGCATGAAGCAAAACATAAATCCGAGGATAGCTGCCAGCGCTAGAAACGACTATGTATATCTTGGTCCGTCTCCGCAGACCTTCATCCCTGAGGTTGGAATCCTTCCCCACCGTAAGTTACTCAGTTTCCACTTTATTAGCTCGTAAATGCCTCGTAAGTCCTTGTCTTTGCGAAGAGTCTTTGCAAGGGGAATTGGAACAAGCATCGGTGGTCTTCGACCAGCTGGGAAAGCTGAATTGATGATGGTGAAAATCGACATTGCATTGCTCTCCGTGACCAAAGCTCCTTTGTCAGGGGCTCGTTATTCATTCTTATGAAGCATCCCACGCATTAAAGCGAGATGACGAACCACCTGCAAACCTGATATGTCCTAACAGGAGGGTAGCACGAAAATGACTGGCGCATTCAGCTGCAGCTCGGCTCCTTCCATGACTTGTTACACCGTACTGTAGGGAGGTGACCACGGGGTCGACGGATCAAGAGAGGAGAAGGATGGAGTGACAGGGGAAGAGTTCAAGATCACCTCCAGAATGAAGATGAAAAGGAGATTGACACCTGAGGACTCAAAAAAGGCAGCAGTTCCCAATCGGGTAAACTGTGCGAATCCCACCCCCACGTGGAGTTTTGGCCAATGGAAGGTTGGCAATTCCTCACTTTTTATCGCCGAATCCCGATGAGGTCACAGCCTGCAATGACTCGAACTGAATCCAACTGAATCGGACTGTTGAGATGCCCATCATCCACTGCCCTTTAAATCTGTGTGAACTCTGAAGTTTAGAAAGAATCGGGCTTCCATATCTATTATATGGGCCGCGCTTATTTCGGCTCCAATCCACCCAATCAACTCGATAGCAATGCCGTTAAGGTCGGGAATCTCTGTTTCAATGCCATGTTATAAATAGCTGTGCTGATCGTCATGATACTAAGATCTGACACTCGTCAAACAACACCGAATCCTAAAATTCTTCCCGAGTTCTGACCACGAACCTTGCACCGCTTATAAGTTGAAGCTCACATCTCGACTGCTTTTACACACCACTGAGAAACATCATCCACCCCCCAGCATATTCCCTATAAAATGGCTGGTATACCGTGGACACCCATATATACCGCCTTTGCCGCATATGCCTATTGGAAAGCGACATGGTCGACATTCTTCTACCTGACAGCTCTGGCCACCGTTGGCAGAATCATATATCGAGTTTATATATATCCAGAATTTCTGACCCCCCTCAAACAAATCCCAAGCCCATCTGTGAGTTTCCGAAGTCAGCCATGGATCATGTCGTCCAGTCCGTTTAGTGCCATGCTTATATTCATCTTCAGGGCCGGTCATGGCTTCGTGGCAACTCGAGCAGCTTGACCTTGAAACATAATTGGAAGCAGATGCGCCAGTGGCTTGAAGAAATTCCAAATGATGGGTTGATTCGCTACTACATGGCCGGCAACATCGAAAGGTTAATCGTTACCAACCCCAAAGGACTGAGTGAAATTCTGGTGACAAGGGCCTATGACTTTGAGAAACCGCCTTTGGTACAGGCAAGCTTGGGACGTATCACTGGTGAAAAGGGGGTGCTGTTGGTCGAAGGTGCTGAGCACAAGGCAAGTGTCACCAAACCCCGAAGGAGATCACATGTAATCAAGCTGACCGGATGTAGCACCAACGCAAAAATCTGATGCCTGCGTTTTCTTACCGTCATGTCAAGAACCTGTACCCGATCTTCTGGTCGAAAAGTATAGAGATGGTGCGATGCATCGAAGATGACCTACGAAGCCGCAAGGACCCCTCCGACAACGTTGTCCGCGTGGCAACCTGGTCAAGTCGAGCCACCCTCGACATCATCGGGCTTGCCGGAATGAGCCGCGACTTCAACTCCCTGCACGATCCTACCAATGAGCTGGCCCGACAATATGGCCGAATCAATGGTGCCCCGCCGACGAAGTTCGAGGAGGCTCTTTTCCTTCTGGGTCTTGTGTTGGGAGTACCAACATGGGTTCACAAGCTGCCCCTGGAGAGGAACAAATTCATCCGTGAGGGTGCCGGTTACATCCGCGCCGTGGCACTGCAGATGATCCGGGAAGCGAAGGACTTGAGGGATCATGAACACACCGGGCAGGCTAAGGATGGGGTCGACATCATCTCCGCGGCCATCGAAAGCGGCGGCTTTTCCGATGAGGAGCTTGTCGATCAGATGATGACTTTCCTCGCGGCTGGACACGAGACCACCTCGACCGCCCTACAATGGTGCATCTATGCGCTGTGCAAATACCCCGAAGTGCAGACCCGTCTCCGGAACGAGATTCGCGCCAACCTGCCTTCTATCTCCGTCGAGAACCCGGAGTCTCTCTCAGCTGAAACCCTGGACGCTCTGCCTTACTTGCACGCGGTCTGCAATGAGGTTTTCCGCTATCACCCATCCGTCCCAGCCACAATACGGGTGGCTAATTGTGATACATCTCTGGTCGGCCACTCAATCCCGAAGGGCACACTTCTTCTCCTACTTCCCGCTCTAATCAACCACCATAAGGAGTTGTGGGGTCCCGATGCCGACAAGTTCGACCCCGAGCGCTGGCTGGGGCCTGGCATGGCTAACACCGGCGGCGCCACCAGTAACCACGCCTTTCTGACGTTCCTGCACGGCCCTCGGAGTTGTATTGGGCAGGGATTTGCCAAATCTGAGTTGGCATGTATGCTTGCTGCTTTTGTTGGTCGGTTCAAGTTTGAGCTGCAGAATCCGGATGCTGAGCTGGAGCTGCGCCAGGGTGCAACTGTTAGCCCGCGGGACGGCGTGCAGGTCAGATTGACGCCCTTGGAAGGGTGGTAGACCTGGTGGGAGCGCTTGATTTCTTGTAATTATATATTTGACGACATATGGATCTTGAATTTACTTTTGTCGCTAATCAGATCAGACCGTTTCGCTTTAAGACTCAGGCCGCTTTCTATGTACAGAATATGGAGTGCTATGTGCTGTCTAAAACTGTATCATCTGCAGAGCGAAAGCGTCTTTTCTGGACACTGTGTCCAATCTATATCGCCAAAGAGATATTTTTAGGCCACGCCGGAGGCCTATCGGTTAGTAATGGCATTACCCCCTTTGTGCCATTTGTGCTTGATTCTTAACAAAGTAAATAGTGGAAGGGAATGAATCACCCCCAATGCAAGATTTATTTATAGGAAGGTCTTTTGCCGTGCAGATGCACAGTCGGGCGACCGGAATCGCGCACACCTCATTTAGAGGAACATACTTCACGATTCGGCATGCGCAAGGTGCAGTGACAGAGGTCAACAAGCATGGTACTCCAGTCATGCTGAAGCATGTCCTCCGCATTGGAGACCCCCTTAACGAGGTTCTTCAAGGCTCATCTGTCGCACGTTCAAATTAATCCTCTTACCCGCCATCCACCCCTTCCACATCTCATATTTAGCAGAAATGGTAGCAGCATCCGAACCCTCTGCCGCACCCGGCCAGTCCACAAGCCAGGTCGGACACGTGCTCGGCACAATCTTGGGCACTGCATGCCAGGCAAAGCGGGACGTGCCGTCCATGTACACCGCGTCACCGGACCGCAGCCGAATAATCTCGCATCCGGCCCCATCATCGTGGCTGATCAGGAACAGCCCGTCGCAGCCGAAGCTGATGCTGATCAGCCCGGCGTCGCACTCCTCGCTAACATCGCGATGGGGGCTGAGCGTGTCGCCGGGCGAGTACACATTCAGAATGGCCGCCTGAGCTTCGGTCTCCGGGAACATGGTGTGCAGCAGCTTCGCGATGTCCGGCGGGAACTCTGGGGGTCGTTCGGCTGGATACACCTTGGCGGTCCAGTCGTACTGGCCGCCCAGAGTCACCCAACGCAGTTTCTTGGTGAGGATGCTCTGCACGCTGAGCGGTTTGTGCACGCTGGGATCCTTCGGGTGGATGAGGCGAGTGGGGTCGTCTTCGAAGAATGAGAGCGGTTGAGAATCTACTACATTAGGTTCGGGCGTCGGCGTGGCGGCAGCAGCGGCAGCAGCAGCAGCATCCTCGGCACTAGGATACGTGAGGTCATAGTGCAGGTGTAGGTTGGTCTTGTGTCTTGGGTTTGACAGGTCTCGGTGGAATAGGCGTGAGAGGAGTTCTATTTGTACGGCCGGTGGGAGCAGGGATGGGATTATTTGGAGACCTACAAGTGCCCGTTAGGAGACCAAGATTGTTCTTTCGCTCGATTCTACAATGATGCTTTGCCCTCTTCTCTCTCCATCTTCCAGAGACAGGAAAGAGAAAAGGGGAGAAAGCGCTAGACGGTGGTGTATAATGCTGACCAGTCACAGAGCGATGGGAGAAGACAGGGATATCTTTCACATTCAGAAGCCTTTCCGCCCCATCCTTGCTTGTCCCCAGAAATTCATCGAATACAGGCTGAAGATCCTTGCCGGAGATCCAATGTGTGAGTGAAACTACCTCCGGGAGACGGTTAGCATCGAGGGCCTGAAGATCCAGAACGCCAGCATCCGAGTTTATGTCGGCGAGCGTGGATTTTTGATACTGCTTGTAGCGTTGTCTGACAGCCTCCGGGGGTCTTTCATGCGCATTCAGATCCTTGATTTGAGCCATGATTCCGTCGCTATTCTGGTTCTGTTCGCGCTCTTGACGTAAGCCTGGACTGCGTCACAAAGTTTGTATTTTGGGTTTGATCTGCGAAGCCGCACTAGTGCATAACTAGATGCTGTGACACTTGAGATCGCTTTTCCGCAAATGCATTAAATAATCGACCCAGTAAGGTACAGAGAGCGTAAGCGAGCCACTGTCATTGAGGGAACAAGGTTGCTGTTTGATCGCATTTGACGAAGGAGCGCAACCAAGGGAACAGGCATGAAGAATTGAAACTTTCCCCCAGAGTCTGCGGCGGGAATCAATCGGGGACGCGCTCACCGCCTTTGAGGCCCACGCGGTTTGTTTGTGTACGGCGGATACTGACCGCCTTTGCCTCCCCACCACCCAGGGATGAATGAAAAGAACCAACAATTCGGTCAAACGACTTCAATTCCTCACTACTCAAAAAGACAGGTAAGTAAAGACAAGGTAGGTGAGTAGTTCGACAACCCGAGTGCCAGGCCCACAAGATCCTCTCCGACATCGAATTGCTCTTTTCTTCCCACTCCCTGAGCACTGCACCTCGAGGCCTTTCTCCTCCCTCCTCGCAGCTGCTTGACGCCAACCCATTGTTTTCTCTCTCTTCCCTTTCCCCGGCAACAGGAAGCCGTCGCCGTGCAGTGCCTGTGCACTCTTGTTTCCTGTACCCCGCGTGTCGGTGGGTTCGACCACAGCTTGACGGTGTCTCACCTCCTTGGTTCCGCATTATCGTTATAGACTTGCTGTGTGGAAAACAGTTTTCTCAAAGGGTCAATCGCTGCCAGCATGGAGAACTATCACAAGATCGAGAAAATCGGAGAGGGTATGCTACCACCATGACCTGGACTATACACCTGCACTTTCTTCCACACACCTATACCAGAAGGATACCCCCCCACCAAACACAAGCCTAACATTTCGTCCAATGCAGGAACCTACGGTGTCGTCTACAAGGCCCGTGAGCTCACTCATCCTAACCGCATTGTCGCCTTGAAGAAGATCCGACTAGAAGCCGAGGATGAAGGTGTTCCCAGCACTGCAATCCGGGAGATCTCTCTGCTGAAGGAGATGAACGACCCCAACATTGTCCGACTGCTGAACATCGTGCATGCCGACGGCCACAAGCTCTATCTCGTCTTTGAGTTCCTCGACCTGGATCTGAAGAAATACATGGAGGCTCTTCCTGTGAGCGAGGGTGGACGTGGAAAAGCCCTGCCAGAAGGTTCTGCGTTGAGCAAGAACATGGGACTAGGCGATGCCATGGTCAAGAAATTCATGGCTCAATTGGTGGAGGGCATCCGCTACTGCCACAGCCACCGTATTCTGCACCGTGACCTCAAGCCTCAGAACCTGTTGATTGACCGCGATGGAAACCTCAAGCTGGCTGATTTCGGTCTGGCCAGGGCCTTTGGTGTTCCCTTGAGAACCTATACACATGAGGTATGCCACTCTCCTCATCACATGTCATGATTCGGCGGCTAATTTCCTTTCTTCTGCCTTAGGTCGTGACTCTGTGGTACCGCTCCCCTGAGATTCTCCTGGGTGGACGCCAATACTCCACCGGTGTTGATATGTGGTCCTGCGGTGCCATCTTTGCGGAGATGTGCACTCGTAAGCCGTTGTTCCCTGGTGACTCGGAAATCGACGAGATCTTCAAGATTTTCCGGTTTGTTTGCGCTTCCAGAATCAAGACTTAGTGACGTAACTTGGTATCTGACATTTTTTCCCTCAACAGACTCTTGGGTACTCCTGACGAGGCCGCTTGGCCCGGAGTTACCTCTTTCCCCGACTTCAAAGCCACGTTTCCTAAATGGAAGCGTGACGAAAGCCGTCCTCTGGTCGCTGGACTCGAGGAGGATGGTTTGGACCTGCTTGATGCTCTTCTTGAGTACGACCCTGCGCGTCGTCTCTCTGCTAAGCAGGCGTGCATGCACCCTTACTTCGCCAATGGCAGCTCATATTACTCCGGTCGCACTCGGACAACGAGGAACGGTTTCCACTGAACAAACCGCGCCATATGTTATAACGATCATGTTTAAGGCAAGAATGTACGCAGACAACCGTGACAGGTGCAATAAAGCAGGCCATGGGCAGCACAATGGTTTCTGCATCCATCCCAAAGGCCGAGTCCTGTCTGCGTCGCTGCTATGATCCGCTCTTTACCTCAAAATTTCTCATCGCGTTCGCTGCTTCTGTTACATGGCGTTGTTTGTGGAGTGATCGGGCAGGAACGAGAATAGGTTACTGGATATCGCAAGGAGTATTTTGACTAACGCGTACATACCCATAATTGAAGTAAATGGAGAAAAAGAGAAAGGAGATTCATCCTATAGCAGCAGTGACAATGAGCAAATCAAGTATTACTTGTTCTCTAAATTGTTCCATCTCCTGTACCTCGATGGCAAACAGGTTTGTGTCGCTAAAGCAAGAAAGGGTGGTCTCCAAAGCAGCCGATGACATGGGGCGTGCTTTTTCTAGTTATCCTACGGTCTTCCCCGTTCCAGCCTTCCCTGTCTTCTTTTCCACCACCACCACCACCACCGTCAAAACAACTCATCACTAAACCCGATTACATCTCCCAGTCTATATATTTTTAGGCTGAGCCCCTTCTGTGTCACTATGTGGTGGTATCCGAAGAAATCTGCATGTGGCTTCAGATCTCTTGCATCAGTGCGAGGATATGCCTGCGCCTGCAGCTGATTCACAGATCGTGGCTTACTACACCGACAAGTATTCCGACTGACAAGGTACCCTGGCTAATGACGTGAACTACAGTAGAAAACTCTTCGAAACGAGAGAAACAGCGGTCAAAAATCCAGCCGGGATGTAGACGGACAGTGAGATTCAGCCGCGGAAGGCTGAGTTGCAAGCCCGTTTATATTGCTCCTCGTATCATGTAGTCTCTGAGGAGGCTCAGCCAGATTGCCAACCCCTCCTCTCCATCCACCCAACCGGTTACTATCAGTTCTCTTTGTTCGAGAAATCAAGATTCTAGCTCACCAGGAAATCACCCTGCATTCTCGTTAGTCCGTAGTCACAGTGTCCGGCAGCTCCGAAGGAATCAACGCGTGGAAGCGATGCACCTCGACCGAGCATCGAAATACACCAAACCCACACCCCGCCTCCTTACTATGCACGCTATACGGACTAATGACCGTTTCTGTCATAACCACCACCTGGATATCCAGCCACCACGAGCTGAAATTTCCTCTTCCATTCCGTCAGCAGCTTATGCTTAATGTCCCTGGCTGTTTGGTGGTATTGACCTGGGCGATTTCCGGATTAATACTGACTTTCTACCGTGCTGACTGGGGGCCAAAACGGGACCCCATCCGCGGCTCTGCTGCCGGGCTCAACTTAGGCCTTATCAGTGGCCATTAATTTTAGAAGGCCCCGGTGCGCGTGGTTCAACAATACGAGCGCCTTGGTAAGCGCTCGGACCTGGGCTCGAACCATTCGACCGGCTTCTCCCCCTGTCATGCAAGAGAAAGTTCAAATTATGCTTGGCCTGCCTTACGCACTTCCAGTCTGAGGCTGTCTGGAGAAGCACTTTAGTTTCGATTTGATACTATGACGGCCAGCGTGCTTGGGCCCAAGTTAGGGTGTATAAAGGCTCAAACGACCCTCAGTTCTGGGGCGAGGTTTCATCTTCAAGTTTCAACAACCTTGATGATCCGTGCATTGGCCCTTGCTTGTTCTTGCAACATTCTGTTGTTGACGATCTACCGTGCCAATGGATTGTGAAGATCATACCGACATGGCGTATACTCCCCCACTCTCGTCACGCTCTGGCAGCAGGATGCGAAACCAACCGCCCCAGGAAACAGTCAAGCAGTTTTGGACTGACTTCAATTCCAAATTTCCTGGAATGGTCAACACTGTCCTGCCGGACAATCCTTATGCGCGCACAAAGGCTGCGAGGACCGCCGACCTGAAGGGAAAGATTCAAGCTCAGGTGGCCGGTAAATCGTACGAACAAGCACGGAAAGAATGCCAACGCTCCGTTGAGCGCATCGCCACGGAATGCGAACGGCTGAACCAGAAGTACTCGGATCCTCATTTTGACATCGCATCGGATCTCAAGCGCGGGAGGAGAGATTACCTCGATGGGTTGATGGACAAGAATCTGGAAATGCGGCCTAAGGGGGTGAAGAGGGTCACGGTGAGTTCGGAAACTCCAAGAAGGCCATTTGTTGTTTTGCAATCGACAGATATTGACTATCTTTCCATCACTAGGAAATTTTTGAAAAACCGCAGTTCTACGTCAACGGGCCTACTGCGTCTGATGTACGCCAAGGTCGCGACGGTGACTGTTGGCTAATGGCTGCGCTATGCACAATGGGAAACAAAGAAGGCTTGATTGAGAATGTTTGTGTGGCTCGGAACGAGAAAGTTGGCGTGTACGGATTTGTGTTCTACAGAGGTAGGGGTACCCCGACTCGATGAGTTAGATCGGAGACTGACATGTCCTAAGATGGGGATTGGCAACAATGTATTGTGGACGACAAGTTGTATCTGCGTGCAGCTGATTATTATGAATCTGTGGATGAGCGGCCGATATGGGATGACATCAACCGGAAGGACACCGAAGAAGAATATCGCAAAGCCTGGCAGACCGGCTCTCGAGCTTTGTACTTCGCTCAGTGCGTGGATGAGAATGAGACATGGCTGCCTTTGCTGGAGAAAGCCTACGCCAAGGCTCATGGTGACTACTCTGCGATCGAGGGTGGATTCGTGGGGTAAGATGCATATTACTCGTTGTGAACCACAGATGCTAATACTTGCGTTACAGCGAAGCTCTAGAGGACCTGACGGGTGGAGTCACCTCTGATATCCTGTCAAGCAATATCTTGGACAAAGATCGTTTCTGGAATGAGGAGCTCATGAAGGTCAACAAGGAGTTTCTCTTTGGCTGTGGCTGTGGTCTTTTCTCTAACTGGCTGGACCCAAGCTATCGAGGGCCCCCAAGAGACAGGAAGGGCATTTCAGAGAACCATTCCTATTCCATCATGGAGGCGCGGGAGATAGATGGACATCGCTTGCTACGACTGCGGTAAGTTAATCTGGCCTGCGCTGCAAGCATGATCCTAAGACATTGTTAGGAACCCCTGGGGCAAAAAGGAATGGAACGGCGCCTGGAGCGACGGTTCTGAACAATGGACAGCCGAGTGGATGGAGAAATTAGGACACAAATTCGGTAATGATGGTGTAGGTATCCTCATTCCTGCAAGCAGGCAATGCAGCATGTTAACCGTTGACCGTACTGCAGTTCTTCTGGATCTCATACGATGATCTGCTCAAAAAGTACCAGCACTTCGATCGTACTCGTCTTTTCGATGATGACTGGACAGTAACTCAGCAATGGACGACCTTGAATGTCCCCTGGTCTGCCGACTATCACAACACCAAGTTCGCGCTCAACGTGAGCAAAGGTGGACCTGTAGTCATCGTCCTTTCGCAGGTACAGTTGCAACAGCTCCTTTTCTAGGTTACTAGGTCACTGACCATGACCCCAAAGCTCGATGACCGGTATTACAAAGGACTAGCTGGTGAATACGACTTTTCCCTGAAATTCCGCCTGCAAAAAGAAGGCGAGGACGACTACTTTGTGCGCAGCCACAGTAGCGATCTCATGTACCGCGGTGTGAACGTCGAAGTCGATCTCGAGCCAGGCCGCTACCATGTCCTTATGAAGGTCACGGCCTATCGCGACAACGAGAAAATGCCCACCGAGGACGTTGTGCGCAGCCTCGCCCCGACGCGACGGGAGAAGTTGATGCAAATCGGTCTATCATACGACCTCGCCCACGCCAAGAGCATCGTCCCCGAGACGGACAACGAGAAACGAGCTCGCGAGGAGCGGGAAGAGCGGCACCGGGCCGCTGAACGGCGCAAGCTCCGGGAGGAGACCAAAAAGCGACTTCAGAAGCAGTGGATTCGCGACCGCAAGCGAGAAGCCCGAAGCCATCGACGCGAGGAGCGAGCGCTCGCCGAACAGGCTGCGCGGGCGGCGGCGGCCGGCCATCGCAGCAACAACAACAACAACAACAACCAGGATGCGGACGCCGCGGAGCATACCGACGGCGGCCATAACATCGATCACCATGTTGAGGCGCAAATCCCGACGGAGAACGGCTCGATCCCTACGATCCAGGTTAGCAGCTCTCATGTTGTGAACGGCCAGGACCACATCAGGGGCCGCGTCTCCCTCTCCATCCGTGACAAGCGCTCTCCCGTCCACACGCCCAACCCCGATCTCCAGTACCTGGAAGGCTTTGAGTTCGATTCCGATCTGGATATGCCGCCAGAGGAGCCGAAGACCCCCGCCCGCACTCTGTCTTACAATAGCGAGGAGGTGGACGCGAACGGGGATCCGTGGAATGCTGTCTGCGTGGTGGGCTTGCGGGTGTACTCCAAGGACTCGGAGTTGTCACTGGAGGTTCTCCGTCCGGTGCCGGAGGATGAGACGGAGGCGTGTCTGGATATGGACGATCCGGCTGTGAGTGCGACGTCAGAAAAGCAGTCTCGTTGAGAGGGAGTAATTAAGCAGCGCGGTGTGCAATTTGCAGGGGATCATTTTCATCCTGGTCAGCATCACTTTATCTAGAGTGTAGAAATGTTCAACAATCTCATTTACATCATCTCGCGCCTTGAAAATATTGAATGATTCGAATCATACTGCTTTTCCTAGTTGCATGCTAATCATGGAGCCTAACATATATAGCAGAACAATACCCTGGGTACAACTGGTTTCTCACGAAAGAAGGAAGCAAGAAGCACATTCCCAAACATTCCAAAGGGACCAAGACCCTAGTATCCTCAAAATATTTTCAGTCGAAGTAAATAACGCATAAATCATATATCATATCCTCTGCCACGCCTGTCCCCCCATCGCCACCAGCCGATTGAATAGCTGATCTCTCGCCCGCATCCCGGTCACATGGAACATCTGGCCTTCCTCCATCCCAGTGATCACGAGCCCATCCATCGACTCCTTGCTCCCCGCCGCCAACTCGACTATCAACTTCCCCTTCCACCCCAGTCCTTCCGTCTTTCGAAGTCCCTTGATTTTATTGACTGGGAGCTGGAACAGCACCGTTCCCTTCTTCTGGTGCTCGAGTCTGCGGTCTTCCAATGTTGCCGAGTGGAGGGTGCTGAAGTAGAGGGTCGCAGTTGGGGTTGCTTCTGCCGGTGGTGCTGCTACTTCTTGTTGCTTGCCCTCGTTCTCCTCATTATTCTGAGACGTAGGGAGGTCTGTTGCTAGTGCGGCGACGTGAGAGTAGTCTATGACCAAGGTGCCGCGTTTGCGCTCGTATTTGGCGTCAAATGTGTCCGGGCCGGAGGTCTCCCAATCCCAGTTGCGGCGGTGCATGGTTAGGAGGAGGCGCCGGGTGCCCTGGGTGGCACCGGCGATGGCCATGGCTTGGTTGAAGGCGAACTGGCCTTTTGTGGCGAGAGTGACGGTTGTTTGGAGGATGCGGAGGAGACGGGGGAGGAAACTTTTGCGCTTGGATGTCGTTGGGGGACCAAATGGAGATGTGGCCGTTGTGGTGGTGGTAGCCGTGGCACCGTCAGTCGAGGCGGTTGTCATGAGGCTGGTTGTGCTGGCTGCTGCAGATGCGGCTGCGGTGGCTGTGATCTTGAGCTTGTCCTTGTAAGTGATCCAGGTTTGTATGGGGTTATTAGAGTGGGACTGGACGGAGGATGGTGGAGAGGGGAGCGGGGTGTTGTTGGTTTCGCAAAGCCGGAGCAGGGTGAGGGTTAATTGGGCGTTCGTAGGAATGTCCTTGAGAAGAGTTCTAGATGATTTTCGAAATCAGCATGTCGCCCTCATTACTAGGGCTCGTCTGTCAAATATACATACTCTCGTGGATCGAGGAACCTCTTCCAGTCTGGAATCTTTTTGTTCAGGTAGTTCATCGAGTACTCAAGGACGGGGCCACCGAAAAAGACAAAGCCGAGTGTGAAGCTGTTGGCCCCGACGATGAAGTCGTTTGACACAAAACGTGTGATCAAGCAGATAGAGAAAAGAACCGCGACTAGGTGGATCTGCGCTGTCACCGAGGAGAAGGGTGGTGTTGGTGAAAGAGCGCTGATATATGGTCAGAACGGGCGGGTAGTGAGCGTATGGAGTGCATGCGGGGTCTCACTTAGAGAACATCTCGTACATGTCCGTACCGTCGCTGATAATATGCATTGCTTGAGTGGTATAGTTCGCCACCGCTCTTCTCATAGACTTCTTGGTTTCATCTCCTGTCCCCGCAGCATCTGGAATGGCATTGACTTCAGTGGTCGACTCTGATGCCAGAGTCTCTTCTAGACTGTCACCGTTGGTTTCCTGGCCATGTTTACTTGCCGCGGTCTTCACAGCAATCTTGGCAATGTTGTTGATGAGACTGTTGGCTTCCTGCTCGTCAGCCTCGCCCTTGTGCTTCTTGGTTTGAGCTGTGGTTTGCTGTGGCTGGGTCTCAATTCCAACGTCTGCAGTAGGTGGACCAGGGAACAACATGGGTCGTATCGACGGAAACAGAATCAGAGCAGCTAGAAGCAGCGATAAGACAGGAATGAGACTACCGTAAAGCCATGCGATGAAGTAGATCTGAGAATCATCAGCAATCCATAGAGCGTCTAGCGGACAAAGACAGCCTACTACACAAAAGGCTGAGGTACGGCGAGGCTCATTCCACGACCGCAGCCTGGCAAGATGACCATAGAAAGTAATCAGCCCTGGAATTACGGAGACGTAAAATCTTTCAAAGGTGATCCGCACTTTCTCGGGCGGGAACTGTTCATGTTCGATTGGTTTGAGATCAAGATCATCCGCCCGAGACTCGGATGTAGCTTGAACATTGTAGATTTGCTTGACGACTATCAGTTTATACTATAGCGGGGCTGCAGGCATTGGGTGGCGGTATACCTTGTTGAAACGTCGTATCAACAGCCACAAGTCCTCATCTGGCACGCCAGGTACAAGGTCATCCTGGGTGGATTTCGTGGAGGTGTTGGGTCGTGCGCCTGCCATGTCACGGCGGCTGTCGTTACCTGTGCTGCAACAGATGTACCTCCACTTGAGTCCTTAGAGGAATTTGGCAACTTCTTGCCGTTACCTTGATTCTGGATATGACACTGAAGCCGTTATATTGTCGAGTACGTTGAATTTGTGTTGGCGCGCGGTCCAGGCACTCATAAAGTACCAGACAATCAATCAGGCGGGGGTGGATATCGTTGACATCATTGGCTGAAACAGTCGATCAGTGCATGCATCAACTAGGCCGGGCTATGACCAGAGGTGCCTATCAGGATCGGACAAGACGATGGTGGACTCGCTGAGGCTGAAGTAAGGAGAGCTGGCTGTTTTTGTCTTCGCCACGGTAGTATAGCCCATTCTCTCGTGGCTTTGCTGTTGCTTGGCGTCATTGTTGGGATGCCCTCCATGAAGCATGTCTCGAGAGTCTAGTGAATCAGAATAAATCGCTGCTCCACATTCATTTAAAAGCATCAATCAAACTGTAGGAAGGGACTTTATAAAGATATTGAGATGGATCTCATGTGAATTTCAAAACTTCCAGCTGGAAATTGGATGGGGATGAACTGAATAAATAGGTGACTGCCTAATTGGGAAATTACCTCGGATGTAGCATCATTACCGCATGCAGTTAGCGCGTGTCTGCTCCGGGGAGCCAGTCAAACCAGTCAAACCAGTCAAACGCCGTTGAAACAATGCTTACTTCCTCGACTTCATCTCCATCTGCTGTGCTTTTCTTGTAGATAGAGTGTCCAGGGTGTTATGCGCCAATTGTTCTGCTCACTGCCAGGGCTGCCCTCAGTGAGATACTACACCGCCGTCCTTGCGTGGCAACCTCGATCTACCCGCTGCTTCTGCAGAAGCGCGCGACTCGCGTCATCGACGTATAGCAAGTATGCCATCAATGTCCCGGTAGGGAATAATGGGCAGATCGCCTTGGAGTAAGCTCGAACACCCAACCACTCTTCGCGAGACAATCGCTTATCAGAGCCGGACACCTGACAAACCGCAGAGTAACCCACCCGAATGGCTCCTCGGTCCAGAACGGAAATGTAATCATCTATCTACCACCGGGCCCGGTGTTCAATCAATCTGGAATGATTGATGCCTCCGAGCCAAGCGGCCATGACACAGTTTCATCTGCGCAAGATGCTACCGGCTTATCGCTGGCTCAAGCCCTGGCCTCTAGCACTCTCTCAACCGTAGTAACCATCAACTACCGGCTGGGCCGTGCCCCAAGCTCACAATCTCAAGACGCACTAAGGATAGAGCCCGCCGCATCGAGCACTGCGGAAGATACACCAACCAGCACAGAACCAGCCGCACCTGAGCACGGCCTGTATCAATATCCGACGCCAATCCACGACACCCTCGCCGGCTTCGACTGGGTGCACCAGAACCTCCAGCCCCAGCGCCTAGGAGTCATTGGCACGCACATCGGCGGCTCCCTCGCCATCATGCTCTCCCTGACTGAAGCGCAGCTCGTCCACGCCGTCGCCGCACTCGAACCCGTCGCTGACTGGACCGCCCTCGACGACCACTGCTTACAATCCGTGCCCGAAGCCACGGAGCCGAGTCCGCCAACAGCAACAACAACAGCAACAACAACAACCGCAGCAGAAGGAAAGCGAACCGCACACTCCAGCCGCAGCAGGAAACCACCAATCCCCACCGCGCCGCACGACCTGGTGCCCCTTCTCCACGCCCGCCGAATTTACTTCACGACCCCCGAGCGCTACTTCGACGCCTTCGCCTCCCCTCTCCTCTTCCTCCGCACCCCAGCCAAGGACGTCCCCCGCCTCTTCCCAGAGTATCTGACCGGCCCGGGCTACCCGATCCCGGTCTTGCAACCGAAAACCTCGCAGGAACTCTTCGAAGAAAGCGTGTACAAATTCTACCCCAGCCTCTCAGACAGCAGCATGTCGGCGTTGTCCGCCCACACATCCTCCTCCTCCTCCTCCTCCTCCTCTGAGAGCAGCCCGGAAACCCCCTCGCCACGGCCGTCCCCCTTGCTTTCTTACCTCAGCAGGAAGGCCACAGCTGCCGCTACCGCCGCCACCAGCGCCACCGCCAACCAAGAGCATGACGAAGGAGAAGGAGGAGGAGGAGAAAGAGGAGCTGTAGATGATGACGAGGCGGCGAACCAAAGTCCCGTGCGGCGTAGAAGGAGCGTCCTGCGATGGCCGCCCTATGGCCTGGATTACGGGATCAGCGGGCCCGCGGTGTTGAACCACCCCAGCCGAGGTGTAAAGCGCTTGGACGTGACGCTGCCGTGGGTGCGCGTATTTGCACGCGGTGGTGGTGGCGACGGGGGCGGCGGTGGCATGGTCAGAAACAGCAGTATGCTGGGGGCTCCGTCCTCCGTACGCGAGATTCTGGCAAAACGCAAGTCTCGTGCGGGTAAGAGGAAGACGTATGCGGATCGTGTCCTGGCTCACCAGGCGGTTGATGTGGTTGATGTCATGCGGCGGGCTTGTTTCTGGGGGCGGGAGAAAGGGTTCGGGGAGAGCAGAGTCTCGCTTGTGGAGGTCGGAGAGGAGGTGTGGCCTGCCTCTGCAGAAAAGTTTGCTGGCGAGTGGCTGCGGGAGGTGATGCTGGAGGCTGCTGGCAAGAATAAGCGTTGAACTGTGGTTTGCCTCCCTGTGTACATTATATGGATAGATCAACGGGTCGGCATTAGTGTCTAGAGTCTCGAGTCTGGGATCATCTTGTGAGCTCAAGCAAGTCTACTACGGGATATGCGAGCACCCTTGTTAGTGATAGAGATTTCTAGAAGAGGGATGCACGTGGAAATCTTTTCTGTAGATCACATTCTGAGTCATATGGAACTAATACACATATTGAACTGACTTGGACACCGATGGCACGGGCAGACTAAATTACCAGTCACCGGTAGGCTTGAGCGCCTCGTTCTGAATCACCTCAACCCAGTATCCATCAGGGTCAAGGACGAAAGCCACGTTCCTCATGCGACCATCAGTGAGACGTTTCTTCCAGTTGACATTCAGCTTCTCGAAGCGTTCGCAGGCGGCATTCAAGTCATCAACCGCGACACCTAGGATAGATTAGCAAGTGACCCACCCAAGTAGGAACGCAAGGAATGGTTATGGGACTTACAGATGTGACCGAAGCCCTGAGGCTCAGAGTTACCGTCGTGATAGACCTTTCCTTCTTGCTTCTCGGTGCCGTAGTTCCAGGTGAGCTCGAGCAGACCCTCCCACTCGGCGACGGGGTTCTTGGCATCCTTCTTGAGCTCAGGGTTCGAGGAGGGGTAGCCGAGAAAGTACAGGTTGAAGCCAGCCTCCTTGTTCTCACTGGTGCGCAGCAGATTCAGGCCCAAAACCTCCTGGTACCACTTGAGGCTGGCCTCGGCATCCTTGACGCGGAGCATGGTGTGGTTAAAGCGGTAGCTGCCCGGGTCAGTAGTGGTGCCAACGTCCTCATTGTGGCGGCGGATGATCTCGACCCAGTATCCATCAGGGTCCTTGACGAAGGCAATGTGGCGCATCCGGCCTTCGGTGAGCTTCTTCTGGAATTGGTAGCCCGCCTCCTCCAAGCGCTTGCAGGCCTGCTCGATGTTGTCGACGGAGATGGCGATGTGGCCAAAGCCGCGGTGCGGCTCGGTGTTGCCGTTGTTCACGCTGTAGTTGGGGTCGGTCTCAGTGCCATAGTTGTGCGTGAGCTCCAGCACGCCGTTGCGGTCGGTGAAGTGGCTCTCGCCCTGCAGGGACTGGGGGCCATTGTAGCCCAAAAAGTAGAGGGAGAACTTGTTCTCGGGGAAATCGAGGCGCTGCAGCTGATTGAGGCCGAGGAACTTGTAGAACTCCACTGGGACCGGGAACGTTCGTTAGTCGAGCCTGATTGTGTCGCCTGCATTGGTTTGGAACTGGGGGGACGAGCACGCACGGGATTTTTGCGGGTCCTTGACCCGGATCATGGTGTCTATTGTTCCCTCATGTCGGTGGTTAGTTGAATTATTGTCTAGTCGGCCCAAGATCGCACAAGCACTAACGGTGAAGCTTATACTTGTTTGTATCGGTCGCCATGGTTGCGAATGATCGACTGGTTCCTGCAATGATCCCAGACTGGTTAGCAGCAGCTTCGAAGTGGGGTACAGTATAAGCTCGGAGATGGGTTGAAGATCATACCAGACACAATGGAGAATCGAGGAATGAGGACCCGGGAGAAAGAGGAGCGCAAGAATGGAAGGGAGAACATGAATGGAGGAGAGAGGACAAGAAGGAGGGGTCGATTGGAGGAGACTAACAACCTAGTTTAAATAAACGATAGGTAGTTCACTAAAGAAATGAGGAGAACCCGTTGAAAATTGAGGTGGGGGCGCCCGTGTATGACGCTATCTTATTAATCCATCGCCATGATTGATTAACTAGTCATTGAACACGGTGACACGCAAAATGAAGCTATTCCCGGTCACTGATCGTGAAAGGCCACGAATGGTATAATTGAAAGAGAAGTTGTTCTTTTGCCAGTGACTCCAGGCATGTTTCAATCTTGGAGGTTGTCATAGATTGACGTAGTAGGGAGTGTTGTATACTAGTAATCACTAGTCCAGAGAGTCAGCTGCCGGGAACTGTAGGTACCTCAATTGGGGATGATTTGGAGAGGCTTTTGCCGCTACTGTCCAAAGCTGATGCCGATTTATGACATAGCTCCGTTCCAAAGTGTTCTTCGGTGTGTTGTATGTGCTGAGTAGGTCTACTAATCGTAGTAGTTACTCTTCCTCATCCTCGGATGGCTGCAAAGGCGGTGACAAAAGCGGGGGAATTTCCCCTCATGACTTGGGGGATTCTGCCGGGAGTATGAGCGGGTGGTCAGTGTTTCTCTCTCTCTCTCTCTCTCTCTCCGACTCTCTCCCCCTCTCTGTCTCACTCGCTGCCTGTCCTCGGTCTGTTGGCTTCATTCCATTCTCCGCTTCCTCTCCACTGCAAGCCATTCCACTGCATCTTGTTCTGCATCTTGTTTTCAGATACATTATATTAAGGTTTGTGCTTCCTGCTCTTTCCCCCCCGCCCCCCCCTCTCTCCGTTTGCCTTATAGAATCCTCTAGGATCATCCTTCGCCAGATGATCATCGCATACGCGGCAGAAGTCGGTCTCGCGCTTGTTGGCTCCCTGGACAGCCACGCCCCCAAACCTTCTTCCCTTTTCTTTTTTTTCTCCTCGCTTGCTCTTATCTCACCTATCATGCTGCTTCGTGTTCTTGCATTTGCCTATATTGCCTCTTATGCTGGCAATGCAGCCGGGGCCGTCATTCCTCTCTGAGACATGCGCCCTCCGGCAGCGCCAGCTTCCCCGTGTCCTGGGACGTCATTGAGCTACCAACCCGCTGCCTATAACCATAGCGTGATATAAAATGTGAAAAGAGCCTAGGTCTACCAGCTGTCTGCCTAAAACCAGCCTTGCGCAAACCAAAGCGTCCTGTTCCCCTCGCATATCACTTAATGTATTACCCTCAGAGGCTTGTCTTTGATCATTGAATCTATTACCACGAAACCATAGCGTACGATGCTTGGACACTGTCTTTGTCGCATCCTTCTCCCATTGTTCTCAAGATCAAACCGGACTATTACTGCTGCACAGTAAAATGACTGAATTCAAGCATCCAGTTCGACCAGGCTATTCTAGCCGGAAAATCAGCGCTCTCCCCGAATCTCCGTACAGTCCATATTGGAAACGAAGTTCAGCCCAATACGCTCAAGATTTGCTCGGATACTCGGAAGAACCGATTGAGTACGACCACAACGATCGCGACTACTGGGACAACTGTTTCTTCTTCCCAGAGGACTGCTCGTGGTCCCCGCCCAAAGACTGGATCATCGAAGAGCACATCACCCGCAGCAATAACACCACACCACAAGCTTGTCACGACCCGTCCTTGGACGAGACCGTTGCCATGATTCCTGGACTTCCGGATATCAAGATGTTGGACGCGGAGGCGCTCAGTGACCTTCTCGAGGACAATCTCTCGCCTCCTGAAATCACCTCGATAATGTATGTCCTGCATCATTCCCCAGGCACCCTCCTACCAGACGCCTACCTGCTGACCACTTATAATCCTCGACAGAGTCTTTTCTACCAACGGCGCCATTTTCGCATACGCCTCGACTCTCCCATCCCGTCAGCTCCGGAACCTAAGCGCCACATACGGCGCAGCCTATACCTGCTATGCAAAGAACGCCTCAACGGGCAACCTCACCGGCGTCAACCCTGCCAGCCACCCTTCGTCATACGTGACCACTCCCTCTGTATCACTCGGCGACGTCGGATCAATTGTCTTCGAGCTCGACGACTCCGTAGCCGTCGTCACCCCGATAGCCGACAAGGTCCTCCTTGCCGCCATCGGACCCTCAAAATTGGGCAGCAACAGCGCCCAGGATGCATCCGCCAGCACCCCGAACGGCCACGCACACGCGACTCCAAACGGCTCCACGCACCAACACAACCACAATCACCATGCATCAGGCGCAAACACCCCCGACTCCACCTCCAATGCCACCCACAACGTCCGCACCTACGCCAGCGTCGTATCCTCCAACGCCGGGGGTGGCGGCCGAAGTAACGGCACCAGTGCTCCCGGAGGTGACACAAGCGACTCACAAATAGACTCGCACCTAGAAACCCAATACGAGATCGACCGCAGCAGCGACCTTGCCCGTCTCGCCACGTTGAATCTCTCCGCGTCCCCATCGATCCTCCTTGCCTTGGAGTCCAAATCTGCCGCTCTAGGTCGGTTTCTGAGTCAGAAGTTAGAAGACCTAGAAAGCCCAGAAGACTTCTAAATCAAGCAAAGAAAAATAAAGAAAAGACAAGAGAGAGAAAAGAGACTAAAGCAAGTACCACTACTTCATCTCTTGTGCATCTTCTCAAGCCACCTCCGAACGCCAGAGTGGTACTTCCACAAACCCTTGTCAATCTTGTTTGCTTCTCCTTTTTCTTCTTCATTATACCTAGTCTGCAGCAAGTTACATACCTGTTCACCTTGAATCATACAGCCCTCGATCGTCCTTTATATTCTTTGAGCGGGTTCATGATATCATCATCTCATCGTGATCGTTTTTCTTCTTTCTGCTGATAACTATCATCAGTTGTCTGCTACCGGTCGGATCTTTGAGTATCTGGGTTATGTTTTTATTATGTTGTATGGCGTTTGCAACGTCTATTGTTTGTAACTAAACCCCGCCGGTAGTTTGGATGTATTGAATACGTCTCGCACCTTTGTTCATAGAAGGAAAATACTGCATTACTTAAATGTTACATCAGATGGGGAGGGCTCATTAGCCAGATTAGTAACAAAAGCATCAACAGTCAAAAGTTAAATACATTAGAACCCAAGACTTTCTAGAGTAACAGTAGGGCAGTGCTCGGTGAGTGGAAAGCAGACATAAGAAACACCCACATACATACGTCACGTTACGCGCTGCAGTAGTAAACTGGAGGTAGTCAAATGGGTGGAAATATGGCGCTTGGGAAGATCAGAGACGAAAGGCGAAATGGGTCACCGCCAAACAAACTTGAGCAAAACAGAAAGTAGCAAGGACCGGCTGGAATCCAAAAAGTAGGATTGGAATCGCAAGACCGACAGAGCTCTCTCAGGCGGTCTTCTCAACAATAGGCGAAGGGACTTGGGCGCCAGACGCTGTAGCGGTCGTGGGGTTGGCGGTGGTCGGCAGAGTGCCGGTACCGCTGGTATCAGTGCGGGTGATGCCGGCGGGCGCAGCGCTGGTGGGGGCGGCGCTGGCAGGGGTGACGGGGGTCTGGGCCTGGCTGACGCCGCCGGCGGAAGCAGCTTCCTTCTCGGCGTAGGCCGGGGGCTGGTTCGTATCGATGGCGGCAGGGGTAGTCGGCGATGTCGCGGTGCTGCTGCTCGTGTGCATGGGACCACGAGTGGCGTCCTTGATGATGGTCCACCATTTCTCGGCCTCGTTCGGATTGGTGGCCTTGAAGCTCAACTCGGTGTTGGTGTGAAAGGCGTTTCCGACTTTGCCGCCGGAGACATCCTTGCCCTTGACGTTGAACTTGACGCCGTCGATGGCACCGATCACGCAGTCGGGAAGGTACAGGGACAGTTCAGGATGGGGGTCCTTTCGGAGGTCATCGTTGTCCTTGAACTCGTGCAGGTAGCGGGCGGGGGTCACAACATAGTATCCACTGCTGTAGCCCTTGAGCATGGCGCGGGACTTACGCTCAAGGAGGCCTTCAATGAGCGGCTTGGTAGCACGGTGGTCCTGGTTGGGGAAGGTGATGTTGGAGAGGGATCTCGGAGGTGCGTCCGGATTGACGAGAATGTGGTCATTTCTGGTCATGAAGTTGACCCATTCGAAATCGGGAGGAACGCGCTGAGCGTTGGACAGTATGTCGCTGTACATGGCCCGATGGCGGTCGAGCTGGTTGCTCATGTAGATGGTGAATTGCTCCATGGCGCTCTGGACGGTTTGCAGGACATGAGCCTCGAATTGCTGGAAGTTGTTCTGCACTGCGATAATGTCTTGACGGTTGTTGTTCTCCTCGATGACCTGCTTGTTCAGGCGATGAACGACACCCCTCCGCAGGATGTAGGGGTCATGAGCGGTGTCAATCTTGTTACCGTGTGCTGCATCGAGCGTGGCTGTGTGCTGCGCAAGCAGTTCAATATGCTTCTGAGTGACACCGCGTGCCTTGTCAACAGCTTTGGCGCCCTTCGCAGCGCCACCCTGAAGCTCTTTGGACTTGGCCTTGATCTCCTTGTGGAGGCGCTCGAGGGTCGGTAGTACAGACCCCTTCAAATTCTTTTCCGAGTCGAGGTACAGGTTGACCATACCCTGCAGATCTCTTAACAGCCATTCTAAATGCGACAGAATCTCTTGTGCTAGCAGCATACCTGAGTATTAGAGCGGATATTCTCGAACCACGAAGCGACTCCACCCACGCTCTGGGAGAAATGGTGTCCTTCCCGGAGCGGCTCATTGACAGTCTGCGCATTAATTTTGACTCAATCAGCATCCGACGCTACACAGCGTACATGGTAGTTCTCGCGCACCTTCAAGACCTTCTCAAAATCCTTCGCCTGCGACTTTGAGAACTTGGCGGTGGACGAAACATAGTCCTCGAGGTATCCACACATGTGCTTCCAAGCCCGAAGACGTTCAAGGAGGAGGTTGGTCGTCTAACGCGTAACAAGAACCAATTAGCACAAGCCATTCGTCACAGATGCCTCATCGCTACATACCTCATTGCTGTCGGAGTCAGGAATGGCCTCGTCGTCACTGCCCGAGGTCCGTCGGGTCATGGTACTCCCGATGGTCGCCGTACGCTCCGGGAGCTTCTGCTCGATGGGACTGCCTGTAGCCGACATTGTTCCTGCAATGTTTATCGAGTGGTGGATGTTGTGCACAGGCGCCTGGTGCTTGGAGCGGTCGAATCAATCGAGGGTAGATGCGACAGGGGCAAAGAAAAATAACACTGCAGCTAAGCAGCTGTGGAGGAGCCGGAAGCGCGATCGGGAACTAGTGGGATGATTTAGGGGGGGGGGAAGCAGTTCCACGCTGAAGCGGAGGTGGGGCTTTGATGAGGGGACGGGATGAAAACTGCGAGTGTCAGTCACGAATTATGTACTTGAATGACGACGCCTGATGGAGAAGTAAGACAGGGATGGGTTCAAACAAAAGTGCATCACACACAGTCAGTCTATCCCAGTCAGAATGTGTAGGTTTGAAAGTAGATGAACCAAAGAAGCTCAAGAGGGGATCGAAGGAAGTTTAAGAGCATTGATTGACCGACCGATGAAGTCACCGCCCATGATTGTCGCAAGCCATGATGGCGTCGGCGGTTGTCGATTGTCGACCCCTCCCTTGCTCTTCATTGACTTTTCCTCAACTCGTGCCTCAATGCGGACTGCCAACGCATAGGTTCAGTTGGGCTCTGATGCGATGCAGTTGCGAATGCCCATAGTATCTGTGACCATTGGTCCTCCGGAAGAGGAGAAATCGAGACTAAAGCTGATGCTGATGGAATAATGGGCTTTCATTATTATTGAGGGGCGCTGCAAACAATGCTGCAAACAACTAAAACTAACCCACATCCGGGTCCCACCTTTCCGAATCGGGTCGGCAAAAGCTGCCGCCGCCACATGATATCATCCCATGCAAAAAAGACTATGTGTGATTTAGTGTTTGGTTTGGTAGTTACAGATGTGCAGATATCACTGCGAAAACTGCTAGTATGGCCGTAGCTCGTAATGTAATGGTCTTCTGAAGATCGAGAGAAGAGTTCCATATGGGAAAAGAAAAAAAAAAAAGAAAAAGAAAGGAAAATAAACGCCCAGCTCTTATCCTTGATGTTCCATTTCCTTCTATTATGTTGTAAAAACGCCAGATTCCATCTTCCAATCCTGTCCCGCTAGTCCAACCATGCAACATGCGTTGAGAAAACCGTCCCCGACTGTCAAAGGTAGTTCAGAGACGGCATGCGCATTGTGTATATTTCATTGACATGAGCCAGAGTTTAATGCAATGTTGATAGACGTCCCGCGTCCGAGTGGAATTGATTATGTGCGGTGGTGTAGTATGTTTTGTAATAAGAGGGCGAAGCCAGCTATGCCCGGGTTCGTAGCTTGTGCGTGTCTCATGAAGTATCAAAGAAGGTGCGTGTTAAGTTTACCGGGCGCGAGCCTGGACAAGACGCAGCCGGCGGTCATCGTCGTCGTGGGGAGCAGAACGAGAGCCAAGGAAGCCCGTACGAGTATGAAGCGAGTCCAAAGATGGCAAGTACGAGGTGCTCCCACGGCTGCGAATATAAGCCTGCTGGGGCGACTGAGGAGCGGTAGAGACAACGTCCTCGGCAATGACCGCTTGATAATCCGGCAGCGCAGAATCGCAGGGCCGCACACTGCTTCGAACAGCAGTGGAGTAACTGGGGACACGGCTGAGAGTCTCGACCTCGGCATACTGCGGATGGTAAGGCGTAGCCATGCCAGAGTGAATGTGATCGTGACCGATGACTTCATCCGAGGGGCGTCGGGAAAGCTCAGGACTGCCGGGACTGTGGGAATTGGAGCCCGAGCCGGAGGAGGGACCGAAGTAATCGGGAGGAACCCCAAGACGGCGAGTTTCGGTGTCCGAATGTTGTTCGTGATCAGGTGGCGAGGGATGGTTGTGTAGGTTGGCACGAAGGCTTGACAGCCGACTGTGCAGAGCGGACGCCGAAATATCGGTGGTCGTCAAAGCATTCATCGAAGCCAGATTCTCGACGGAGATGTTGCGACTGAGCGCTCCGAAGGGGGTGTGACTGCCGCTTCCCGGTCCGGGTGTCCGGTAACCGGAAGGGTCAAGTTCGCTGTAGAGCTGATCGAACTGGTGCTCGCCGTACAAAGGAGGAGCTTGCTGCGCAATATCGCTAATCGCGCGCTGTGCGGACTGAGGAGTTTGATCGACTAGATTGTTGTTCTCGTCGATGGCGAGGTTGGGCGAAATAAATATCGAGACGGGGAGGGTCGCTCGGAGCTGTCTCGACTGTCAGGAAGGGATTCATCATTAATAATAATAAGAAGAGCTTTGCGTACCTCGCTGACGTGACCGTCCGGGTTGAGCAGCTGTACACGGAATTTGAGCTTATGGCGGATCTTGATGCCGCGCGTGTCGGTGTCTTGCAAGCAGCGAGCGAGCGTCTTCGGCAGGTCCAGATAGCGCGTGAATTGGTATCCTTCAGCCATCTCGTCGATAACATCGATGCCGTTTTCTTCGTCAACTTCATGCTCATCATTCAGAATCGTGCGGGTGCTCTTGTAGGTATTGCGAATGGAATCAGGATCTTCCGGGTTGAGCGTCAAATCGTGACTTTCAATGAGCTGGGAAACGATCTGGCCGATTTTGAGGCCCTTCAGCAGCGGAATGAGCTTGAAATCCACGCGGATGCAGGTTCCAAAAACAACAGCCTTGGTGGGGGTGCTGATCGAGTATTCAATCTTGTTGGGCCATACATTCTCCACCGACTGCAGATTCGCGCGGGTTAGTGGTCAATGCAGATATGCTTGGGATCGGGGCTGCTTACCATAGCATGAGAAAGTTCGAGGGCACTAGCCTCCAGGGTGCGAATGATGCGGAGAGGTCTGCGGACAATGATGTCTTTCATGTACTTGCGCCCAATCTCAGCCTTGAAGCGATATGTGACATATGTGTCGGTCAGACCCTCGACACTCTCAGGCATTGAACCCTCGAGGACGAGGTCGAACGGATACTCGTAGTTACCGGCCGGCAGAACCTCGGTTTTGCTTTTACCCGCCTCTCTGAATCGCCACGTCTTTTCGTAAAAGACCTTCTCCCTCCATGACTTTCTACCGCCGCCAGCAGTAGTCGAAGGCAAGTGCCAGCTATTCGCAGCTGTTAGTACATCCAACGGGGAAGGTTGGCGGCGAGAACGGGGAGGCGATCACATACCAGACACGAGAGATGCCGGTGAGGTGAAGTCGGACGTGTTTGATAGAGAGGGGTTCAGAGAGACAAAGAAGCAGCTTGCCGCTCAAATGAGCACTGGCAGCTTCTTCTTCTCCACCGCGAAATACGATGTAGTCTTCATCTAGCCTGTTGGCGCAAGGGAGAGGGGCATGGTTAGTCAACTCGGAGTCGCAGTCGGCATACCGTACTGACTCACCGGATATCGAAGTATTTCGCATGACTGGCGCCTCCGGCACCAAAGAAACTGAGAGCCATGACGTCTTATTCCAGCGGGCGCTTATCTGCAGCCGCCAGTAGGACAAACGTAGGCCAGGTGAGGGAGAAGGGGGGGGGGGAAGTGTTTGTGATGTGAGATATGGGATGGCAGAATGTGAGTAGTAGTAGTAGTAGTAATAGTAGTAGTGGGAGGGAGGGGGAGATAAATGTAATAAATTAGACTCGAAAAAAGGAGGACCCCGGCAGAAAAATCCAAAGGGGAAAATGAAAAAGAAAAAAAGAAGAGGAAAAAAAACCCCCCCGATGATGCGACGGGGGGCCGAGAAATAAAATAAAGGTGAATTAAAATGGAAGGGAAAAAAAAAACGAAAAGGCAAAAAATAAGCCTGGCAGTAATCAGAATTCCGTATAGAAAGGAATCAATGGGTCAACAACGGAGGGTCCCACAGCCTAAGCAAGGAAATGGTGGTTGGTGGAGCCCCGAGGGAAGTGAGTCTGCAGGCCGTTTCCGTCACAGGGCCTTTTTTCGGAGTATCGCTTCGTCGTGAAGGCCGGCTGTGGCAAGGCGGGAACCGTAGGTAGAAAGTAAAAACTACTCAATTGGAAGAATTGATTGATGGATTCTTGGGTCGGAGAAAAATTTTGGGGTGGTGAGAACCGGAGTTGATACGATCAACTCCAGATTAACACTGAATGGTTAGACTAAAGATAGAACTAGAATAGCCGATGATGATGATGATTATCATTATCAGTATCAGCTGAGCCAAGTCATCCAGGGGGAGATAAGAAACAGTCCATGAACCCTGAATGAAACGTGTGACAAACAAAGCCAGATCCAGTGACAGGTCAATGAAGAAATGAATGACCTACCAGATTAATCGCAGAGAGTCAGTCACTGAGTATTCAATAGTAGATCAATTTCAATCATAGCCCCAGAGACAACATCAAAGTACACAGTAACATTCGCTATCCGCAGTGGGATCCGGAGGTCTTATTTAGTCTTCATGAATCTATGTAGTCCACCCAATCCTTTGAGACCTTTTCCGTCGTCTGGACTGATCAGACCCTCGTAAGATCAGCCTTAGACGGCTGTGTGGTTATCCGGCGGGTGGCTATGGGCTACACGTAATTCAGGTACAACAGCCACTCCGATGAGTCGCAATAACGACGATCAATATAACGATAGGGGTTACCCGGTACGCTGGAGTAGGCTAATGGCAAAGAATGCCCACGCACAGAGAGAGAGAGAGAGAGAGAGACTCCGAGTCAGGCAGAGAAGGGGGGGAAGCGAGGGAAATGCATGCTTCGGGATCATCCTTCCCGCATGTCTAGTCTCCTGGAGGTAAATCAATTCATCAAAATACCCGGTGCATGTTCCCCGCTGCTACCTCTCCCTTCCATTAACCTCAATTCGAATCCAGTTAAACAGACAGCAGAAAGAAGAATCAGTACCCGGTTTTTCACTGGGTTTCTGGTAGTTCCATTCACACCTACCCCTCCATTTCATGGACATTCAAGCACACGCACGCTTAAGCCATACAGTCGCAGGTCGCACTGCAGCAGCTTTTGATCCCACCTGCAGGAAGCATGCGAAAGATCGTAACCAATTCACCCTAGTATTCGTCACTCCTGGCGCCCCACAAGGGTGATCTGCTTATCATGCTACCAACAGGCCCTGCAACATTCAGTATCATATGTTGTTCGCTTGCTGCAGTGATATTTCTCCCCCTCTCTCCTCCGCACGGAAAAATTCATGCAGTCCTCCCCGAGATCAACTACCGAGTGGCATGACATTCAGCCACACGAGTCAATGCCAATTCCTTTTAGGCATGGGTATTATTGGTTAGAGGCGAAACAAGCAAGCTCACAAAGCAACCGAAGAGGAAAGGATATTGCGGAGCAGGTTCAGTGAGCAATTGTGACAGCAACACGTCCAGAGCTCAAGAATGTCCAAGATGAAGCTCAACTGGTCGCTCACCCATGTAGTACCTGAAGTGGAGTACGTTAATGCATCCATTTCGATTTCTTCGGGCAGCACTATTAGCGTTCCGGACCACACTCCACCACGGGTATCTTTGACAGTTGAAGTTAGCAATCTGAATCGGTGTGAGGGATATTAGACCACCCAATTGCGCCGCTATCCGACCTCAGTCAGTCCGAGGAGGGGCAGGGTTCTGAGACCTGATATTGGCGGGGCGCTGGCGTAATCTCTGGCGCAACAGGCGGAGGTTTGACCACCAGCGTTACATTGGACCTTCCGTGCCTGAGACAAATAAGAGAGTTGCTCTGTCAAGCCTTGGTAGGGCAGGTTCTAAGTTTCTATGACTATTTTCAGAGCAGAGTCTGTAGGTCAATGTAGCTCGGATCGCTGAAGCTTTCGTCGTCCTCTTCTGCAGCTCAGCCCGGCGCATGAGGATGCAGAGCAAACACACACACACCCTGGGCATGGCTTTAGCCATCTTCACTTCAAACGCTAAGAATCAATAGTCGAAAGACAAGGGCATTCCGGCGCACATTCAAAGTCACGTACGAGGGATCATTTATCAGAAACAAGATTTCATGGGAGGGCGCGACCGACCGACCGGCTTCTAGAACTGACAGTTCGATCTCGGAGTTGTCAGTAGTGCTTCCGACCATACAGTAGGAGGAGTGGACCCGGGTAGACTCTGAAGTTTGATGTGTATCACACACCGCAAAGTTATCGGGCACTCTCGGAGACTGCTCCGGTAAGAACTTAAAGGTCGGGGAGAACCGCATCCCTTTCGGCGGCCAGCCGTCATCTACCCGAATTTTCAATGCTTATCGCACGCTACGGAGTATGAAATGCTTGAAATGCGGCTTGGATGCCTGCTTGGAAGCCGAAGAGACCAATCGACCAAAACCGGTCCTCGACCGGTAAAAATGACGCGGGTTCAGGTCCTCGCGAAGGGAAAATGTCGCGGCTCTTGACGCAACCCATGATGCGACGAGACAGTCCAGGCCCCTTTGGCAGGTGCTAAGATTTTCGGCGGAAGAAGAGCCAGGGCCCCACTGCTCCGTTGTCAACAGAGATTTCGGTCCCTGAGGCAGGAGGCTCACTGAATTGGTCAGGTCCGCAAATCACTATCTATGACGGATAGGACAATTGTATGCTAGTAGAAAACGGTGAGTCGAAATCCACGGAGGAGTGATTTGCAGAACCACATCGAGTGATCAGTGATCACATCATCCGAGCCAGAAAAGTCGATCAGGTGGGCCGGAAAGACAAGGATCATAATTCAATCCCAGCGGCCCACTTGCGATTTGTGGCTTCCGATGCTGCAAACCACAGATCATGATAAACCAACACCTTCCCAGCCCGAACACTCTTGCTTGCATTTCTTGCACTCTCCTGTGTTCAGGTGTGGATTGTTATACGGATTTGATTTCAGGCGGCTGCGGAGACTCCTTTACTGTCTTCATGGTTGTGCGCAACGGAGATCGACAGTAGGTTGGTTCTCTTGCAGCCACACATTTCGAGTACGGGCTTGAACTGGCACGTAAGCTCTTCGCCTGTATCGGGCAATGATCATTTGAAGATGAAGCGTCCATGCCAGTCCGGTGTGTATTGCCACTGACAGGAGTACCAAAGTCCGAATTATTCAGTTGCCCAACCAGTCTAGACGAAGCACGGACCCGGAAAGACTCAAAAGAAAAGACTAAGACAAGGCACGGAATGCCGTGCTCCGTCCAAGTCCAGGGCCTATGGCCCATAGGCCTTGTCGGCTTGCCGAATGCTCTGGCCTGCGGCCCAGCCCTGTGCTGTCCGGTGTGCTCATTCGGCATAGGCCTGCCGTCATTCCATTATCAGTGATTCAGTGATAGGAAACTCACTCCCAGTTCACCAATCATGCGATGAGATCAGCATGGCTTCTCTAACTAGCGGATTGACGCGACCAAGTAGGCTGCTGCCTCAGGGATTAGATAGCGATGAGAAAATTCGGTCGAGCAGCCAGCCCACTCTCCCCCTGCAGCAGTAGTGATCAGTTAGTGTGCTTCAGTCAGATGGTTCAGTTAGTGGTCGTAGCGAGTGGAATCATTGGCAGGCCAGCTTAGCCAGGCACAAAGCACGGACACCTTTAGTGTTTATTTGTGTGTGGTGTTGGGCAGCCAATCTTTTCTTTCTCGATTAAGCCTGTTGGTGCCTCAGGAACGAACCGCGACAAACCAGTCAAACCGACAAGCGGACAGCACGTGGTGTGCCTCGACCAGCCGTTCGGGTTTCTTTCCCCGACTGCTTATCATAAACAACCCCTCCTTACGATCAACTGAATGTCCGATTGTCGCAACAAATCCCCCTTTGTTATCAATTTACCCGATTTACGCGGCTTGCCTGCCGAGGTTCGCTGCACTTCTGGCCGCCACCATCATCATGATCAATTCATCCTCATTCCATGAGCTCACGTGTAGTAAGGCAAATGGCGCCATACCTGTTCTCGATCATGGCTTGATGGTGAAGCTTGCCGTGATCCTTTCCCGGAGTGCTAAGGCGCCTAAAATCAAATGAGGGCCGGAAAATATCTTTGCAGCTGGGTCATCCGATGGCACATGCAGATCAGGGTGAGATCTACCCTTTCATCCACTCGTACCCACTCTCTGCTTATCGTACTGTTGTCTGCTGGGGTCACCAGTGTGATTTGGTGATTGCGCAATTGCCAGCAGTTGCCCCCACTCGTGCACATCCGGCCTGGACAACGGCCTTCTGACGATCGATTTCACGGGTAATACATACTTCATTAGGAGCGGACTACCCCGAGGGACTGCTTTCTGCTCGTGTGTGAACTCATCATCATCACAACATCTCTGTGGCGGACGACCATGACGTACTGCTACCATTATCATCAACCGCATACCTCCTGGACGTTGCTCGACAAACCGGGCGCTTTGTCCACAAAAGCCACCCTTTTAATAGAACGGCCTGGATCTGTATGTGCATTTGATCCCAGACACCTTCCCGTGTAGTCCTCCCAGCGGGAACCCAGCAACACTGACGCGAGGAGTAGTGCGTCAAGACCTGCCATGCCACCCGAGCAAGATCACCCGGATCGTCAGATGCGTCATATCCGAGCTTTGACCCGGGGTGCTGGTCAAAGACGTTGTTTCCACTGACACCCTGCGATCCGTTCCGGGAAGGGCCAAAGAAGGTATTCCCGGGCGAGGGACCGCGCTTCGAATGTTGGTGTACAGGCCACCTGCGCATTGTGGCATTCGCTGCATACATCCAAGAAATGAGCTGCTTATGTCGGCTGACTCTTACGCTCATACCGCTCAGGATTTCCAGAAATTCTGTCTACCAGGATACGACGTGTATAAGCACCACCGCCGATTCATATTCGCTTACATTCTAGTCCATCTTGTGCGGTGACCTTGCAGGAGCCGAATGATGCAAAGCGCCCATGCAGCCACTTCATTGGATCACTCCGATTCGCGATGGCGGTACTTGTGTAGTGCTAGGTTGCCTGTGTTCACGGGCTGCTACACTAGCTTTGCTGCAAGCTTTGAGTAGGTAAACCCATCGTCTGAGACAACAAGTCGAGGCCAGGAAACCTGGATCGCCTCGACAGCACTGATCTTTACCCAGCATGACAGTGGCACTACAACTGCTGTTCACTGCAAGTAGATCCCCTGATCAACTCTTTTCGCAACCTGCTGCAGCAGTGTCATTATGTCGTTCGTGAGACCTGCTGGACTCGATGCGCAGGTCAAACGCCGTCCATGAGCAGCAGCATTACCTTTTCACGTTGCTCACCTGCATGCTGAATAGCCTTGCTATCTTGGCTTTGAACAATGTAATCTAAGCCTCGCGTGCAGATTCTGACAGCAGGGCGCAAGATTTGGCTTGATCTCAGCATGTCGTGGCTGTGTATGTGCTATTTCCGGCGCATGCTCCCAATTCGACTCGTAAACGACTCTCCCACCCACGAAACCGCAATGCCTCAATCGTCCAGGCAGACTTCTTTTAGCCATAGCTCTCAGCAGTCGAGCAATATCATCGATATTAAAAATGGGGAAGATAAACCCCAGGTAGGTGACGTAGCCAAGATATGTGACCTCCGAGGAATAAGTAGACAACTACCTCCAGTAGTCATAATTTCAGAACACGATATCTCGTACTTCTGATTGAGCATCACGCATCCCCCCTACTTGACCAGACTACAGCTCAACATAAGCGCAGAGATATACTCCACTGCATCCACTGAGCACCAAGCATACCATCATCCTACCCAAAGCACGAGAGAGCATCTCTCAGACACATGACAAGATCCAAGACCCCGTCCGCTCCTCAAATGATGCAGTATCCCTCCGAGTAATGTATATCAAACAGTAATGCAACCACTTGCAGTATACCGGCTAGTGACCGAGACGAAAGCAGACGACCAAGGGAAGTAGAGGCTGCCAGCCGCCAGTCTAGACATTCAACTTCATCGTCACTACAATCGGCTTCTATACTCCACACAAGTGCAAGTTCCACCTCATCCAAACATCTAATCCACCCTTCTCCCCCGCCCGCCCAAAGTAACATGATCTAAAAGACATTCTTCAATCTCCAATGAAATCCTATAATTACAAACACAATCCACCCCATGGTTTAGTATAAACACCCACGCGAGGAGGACACAACTCACCCTCTAGCACTGTCCCAGTGCAGGCTATACCACAATCAAACCCACTCTCCTCACATCGCCATACATATATAAATATTACTAAGCAGAGAGCATAAACAGAAGCAAGGAAGGAAGCCCTCTCGACTCCAGCGAGTAGACTCCCAAGGGAGAAAAGGAAGAGAAATCACTTCGGCGCCTCTCCCCTATCTCCCTCCCCATCACCACCAAGAAACCAGCTAAGCTAGCCAGCTAGCACACTGCAGTTCCCGCAGAATTTCCCTCGTGCCACCATAGACTTCCCAGGCATCAACCATCACCCCCACACCTCCTCAGCCAGGTCAACAAAGCAGCGGGCACTACTGGCGGGGGCAAGACCAAGAAACCCCCTCCGGAATTTCTCCTCCTCCTCTGCATCTGCTGCACGCAGAAGGATGGCGCGCGCACGTAAGATAAACCACCCCCCTCTAGAAAATCCACCCCAGAATAATCCACACCAAAACCCCCGCCGTGACCACAATCCCCGCGACCTTCAAAACAGCTACCGTATCGCCCTGCCGCGCCATGCGGGTTAATCTGCTCGCGCTACCTTTGAGGTTCGTGGATAGGGAGGAGAAGACCTGGTTCTGTGAGAGATATTAGTCGCTTGTCCGGATTCCATCCCTCCTCCACCTCAATGAAGAGCAAAGAGAAAACAGCAAAATCCCAGACCTCCTGCCGCCCCCGCCCCCCGACCTTCACTGCGATGTCTTGACGTGACGACGAAGGTCAGAGAGGGGAAACGCCCGCAGAATTGCTCGACACACACACCACGCACCACACCCAAATCAAAAGTGAAAAAAAAAGTCAAAGACTAACCGAGTGGTCCAACGTCTCCTGATCCCTCGCATTATCGTAGATATCGATCGTCACGGACTTGAGAGCGGAGACCTTCGAGGAGAGGGAGTTGAGAAGGGCGTTATTTTGTCTGGTTTTTAGATGGAAAGGAGTAGATCAGTAAGAGTTGCCAACACAGGTACCAACACAGAGTCAAAGCATTTCCAAGCGGTAGCAAAGGTGATTTGCTTCCTCGGAGTAGCCAGGGTTTATTCAGGAACGGTCAGGAACGTCGTAAGGGAAGGACGTACTGTTCGCGCTCGTAGGCTTCGGCCATTTTATGCCAGTCCCGTCGGGGGGGGGGGGGGGGGGGGGGGGGGGGGGGGTGGGCTTCGGTGTGTGGTCCGTACGATGAAAGTTGGGTTGTAATTCGTGGAAGGTGACTCGTAGGCTGATATCAAAGCAAGCCTGGTTCAGGTAGTGGAATTATGGATGTGGGCTATCTGCACCTTGAAGCAAGGAAGTACGGAGAAGTACGGAGTACGGAGTAGATGACGCTGTGGAGGCTTTGTGGGGAGACGATTGTCACGTGCATGCCTCATCGCCAGGTCGCGGCCTCCATTCGTGAGCGTTGGGCGGCTGACGCTACAACTACTAGTATAGTATATACTCTAGTATAAATACTCAGATAAATTCTTATACTTGCTGGTTTTCTCCACGCACACACACACACCAATCAGTGACACCCGCCAAACGGCGACTAGCTCAGTCGGTGTTCAGGTCTATAATAAAATAATGCGTTAATACAGACAATCAAGAATAGAAATCAAGCAAACCCCTCTCGCTATGCGATCAAATCAAGCCAAGGCAACAGGTCATATCAGGCACTACCCCATGATGGCATCGTGGAATATTCAAAGGTGCACTATATAGGCTGGTCCACAGCAGCTCTCCTGGGAGTATAGTGGACTATGGAGAAAAAAAAAAAAAAGAAAAGACTCCCAAATCCTTTTCTTCCCCTGCGCTATTCGCCACATATCGCCGGGTCCACAGATAGGAGCCATCACCAGTGTACAAAGCATGCAAAAGTCGTCCACCTGACTGAGGCAGGGGATAGAAATGCTCGCCATTGCCTCCACCGTAGCAGAGGAACAGGCTGTCCATGATTACTACCACATATCATCTTCGTCGTCGTCCAACTGCATGTCATCTCCAAATGTGGAATGACCATATTGACTATGGCCAGGACCGTATGCGTTTCCACTGTCATAGCCATCTTTACTGCCGCGCGACTGGGACCGGTATTGATCGTGCTGATCACCACCATATTCATACATCTGAGGGTCGTCGTAGGAGCTGTCTGTATATTGCTGCTGCTCCTGAGCCTGCAAGAGGAAAAGAACGTCAGCAGTGGCCGATCGTGGCACGGGGGCCCAAAACTCACCTCTTGATACCGCTGATACTGTTGGTACTCCTCTTGTTGTCGTTGCTGTTGCCTTTGAGCCGCTGATGTTGCGAGCATCATGTGCGGGTGCATCTGCTGCACCTTGGCCAAGTATGAGTACATGAAATTGCTCAACAGAACCTGGGAATATAACGCGCGGCGAGGATTCGCAAGCTTGATGTGTGCCATTCGGTAAATTGCTCTCTCTTCCAGGATGGAGAACCGAGTCCAGGCATAATCGATATCCGGTCGCAACTCTCGGACTGGCGGCTCCGGCGATAGATTTCGAGAGGAGCTCTTCTTATGGTGATGCCCACTATCTCCATTGCTCTTTTTCCTGCCACCACCGAAGATATGTGAAAATAGCCCCGACTCCTTCTCCTTCTTCGACTCTCCAGAAGCTCTGCGTGTGTTATCTTTGCGTCGTTCATCCTCCAACTTCGGATCCAACCGGTCCATTACAAGGCTTTCGCGGCCACGTTGGCTAGTCTCATTGGACGACGGAGAGGGGTGAGGTGCGTCATTGGATTTATCCGCAGACTTCGCTTTGTGCCTCTTTGAGTCGCTGTCCTTGTCTTTCTTCTTGTCCTTATCCTTCTCCTTCTCCTCGTTGCCCAGAAGCCAGTGCCAGCTCGATTTACGTCCTCCTTCTGATTCCTTCTTGTCCTTTGATTTCTTCGACTCGGATTTCTTCTCGTCAGGCTTCCGTTCATCTGACTTGCGATCTTCCGACGCGGTTGGAATAAATGAAAGGCTGTCGGTTCGCATGGTATTGCCGGGTAGGGGTTGTGGGTTGTTGGCGAAGTCGTTAAGGGTGGGCGCGGCATCAGTCGCATGCGTACGACTGAGCCCGGAGCGTTTCATCGGAGGCCGCTCATGAGATCGATCTGTTGTCGCAGGGCTCTTGGGCGGCGGAGCTTGCTGAGAACTCGGGCTGGGAGGTGTGGCATTGCTTTCGGGAGGCGGGGTCTCGACTATCTGAGGAATCTTCTGTTCGGAGGATGGAATGTTCAATGTCGAGCGTCCATTTGAGCTGATCCGCGAATGCCATTGTTGACGTTCAGGTGAAGGAGCGCTTGCCCGACCTGATAGATCTGGGAGAACGGAATCACTTACTGGGGGTGCTGGTTCGGAAGCCGAATCCGAGGTGAGACTGGATGCTGTGCCAGGGGTATGCGGTGCTGCTGGAGCAGACTTGGCCAAGGCCTGCGCCCGTGTTACACTCGGCGTGGGATCAGTCGACACCCGTGCCAGACCCTTGGCCGCGGGTCCAGCCGAGGGATCATTCCCGTCCGCCGATTTGCCTACCCGTTTGGAGTATGGGGCTTTCTCTCCTTTTCGTAAGCTTCCAGCCTTGCGGTATTGAGTTCTGGTAGAGCGTCGAAGGCTGTGACCCGGAGGAGCCGGAGGAAGGATAGGTCTATCTTCGTCGGTCGAGAGCCCGAGCTTTTGGATGTCACTGAGTAATGACGAAGCACTGGGTGTGCGCGGGTTCGAGTCATCGACCAAGGTCTCCAGTTGGTGCAGATTCGGACTCAACGATTCTTTCTGCGTCTGCGAGCGTTTACGCTCCAGCCGTTCTGCGCCATCCGTATAGCCATGAGAGCTATCGATTTGCCTTGAAAGCATAGACCGCTTCCGCCTGAGTCCTCCGCTCGCGCCATCCCGATCCGAACCTAAAGTTGAGAAATCGCCGGATTTCCGTTTGATCATATCTGCCTTGCTTTCGAGGAAAGACTTGAACTCCATCGGTGCCAGCTCCGGGTGTAGCCGGGCCGGGACCCAGAACAGGCGGGCAGCATCGTTCTCGTCGTCGGAGGGAGAGGGTGCAATCGACGGGACTGAAAAGCTCGGCAAGTCAGGATCCCCGGCAGCTGCTACATCCATCGACATCCGTCGGATTGCAGCCAGGTTGCTCAGCTCTTGTGCGACGGCGGCGGGGTTGGACTCGTAATCGATATCGTTCAGAGGAAAAGAGGTAGTAGCGGTGTCGGTGGAGCCGGGGGAGGCGGTCGACGCGGGAGACGTCGGGCTGCTCTCCAGAGACTTGGGACCCTGCGCCCATGTTTGCCCATTGACAGGTCGTTGGGTCACTTCACTCAGATGATTTTTCACTTGTAGAGACTGTGGAGAGGTCGGAGATTCGCAGCCGGCGAGGTTTGGAGGGATGATCGTGATGGCTTCGCTCAAGCCCGAGGATATATAGCTGAGGCGCCGGGAATCGCGTTTGTCGTAATCATCTTCGTACATATGGCCGATGGCCTCGGTCACATGATGGCTTGGGTCGCTGATTGACAGCTGAGGGACATGCCCTCGCCGCGTCGCGTATCCTCCTCCAGGCTCAGAGGGGCTCGGTGAAGCCTAGACAATCAGGAGAGCTTTTATTAGACGCAATCCCGCAATCATAGGTAGTTGAAACAGGGGGTCGGTTCAGGTCCCACAGCACGTCGGCAGGCAATGGGCAATGGTACCAGCAGCGAGCACGAGAGCACAGTTGAGTAAGAACGGAAAGATAAAAGACTCAAAACACAGACGCCCTTGTCCAGTGCTGAAAGGGGTGCACCCATTACAGGGACCGGGGGCGGGGGAGAAAGTACAAAGAAGAGAACGTGACGCACCTGCATGGGAACAAATAATTCGGAGGAGGGGGAGCTAAAAGGCAAGCGTCCCGAGGTTCACAAAGGACCAGGAACTTAGCCTGGCAGAGAGGAGGTCAATGTACCACCAGGGTCGCAGAAGTAGACAAGTAAAGGATAGTCATGGAATCATCAGAGCGGGGAAAAGTATTGTCGACGAAGAGGAGCAACCACCAGGGTGACCAGGAGTGAGCAGCGACGATGACGGCTAGGCATCCGGCGACCAAACGTCCAGGGAGGTGGGAGGGTAGAGTAGCGAGCAGTCTCGACTTGGAGATGAAGAGGGGAGGGGGAGGGGAGGGAAGTGAAAGGAGAAAAAGCAGGATTGAAGAATCAGAAGGAGGAGGAGGAGAAGAGCCAGGGAACGAGGCTGAGGAGAAGGGGAGTGGCCGTGGTTGTTGCTATTTGGTTGGTGGTGAAGGAAAAGGATAATAGGGAAAGGATGAGAAAGATGGGGAAATTCACAGCAGTTGGAAGTCAAGTTAACTTAGTAACTTAGTAGTAGTAGTAGTAGTAATACTAAGAGGTAAGTACCACCATTGCCTGCCTGCACCAAGTAAAGAAAAAAGAAGACCCTGCGAGGAGTGATTTTGGCCTGGTTTGGTTGGTTGCTGGTTCGGTCGGTCTGGACACGATGATCGGACAAGAAGTCTCGTAAGTATGCCTCTCGCGACACCGGTGAGAACGACCTTTGCTCTTCTGAGATAGAGCAGCAATCTAAAAAGTATAGAAGAAGGAAGAAAGGTGGGAATATCAGGGGAGAATGTCCTCCTGAGTGGGGTGGACGGTCTGTATCAGAGCAAGCCCCCCCATATACAAATTCACAGCCGATCTGGAAGATTCGTCTTGAAGATGGGTTGTGGTTTAGAGTAGTAGAGATTAGATCAGGCACACCGTTCCGTCAGGTACGATGCCCCACGAGGGAGCAGTGAAAAGACATAAAAGGTTCCCTAGACCCCGTCAAGTAAAATTTAGAAGTACAGTAGATGCAGTTCCCATGGATTGGATGCATAATAATAACTTGAAGTGGGTGGGCAGTAACAAAACAAAACAAAATGAACGGTTCGAATTCCGCGCAGGCCGAAGTATCGGCTGACTCAGCCTTCTGCTCTCTCCACAGCTGATCGATCGATCCATCCATCGAGCAACTGGCAGCTTAAAACTAAAGTAGGTATGAGTGACTAGTAGGAGTACTTAGTTAACTGTAGTTAACTGTACCTGTACCTTAGTCGACTCCATCCCTCCCCGTCCGTTCGTTCGCGCGCTTGCTTGCAGTAGACGATCAATGATCAACATTACCCCGTGCTGTTGGTGGGTTAGCATTGACAACTGGCACGGTCTTATTTTCTGTGCCCTCCTCCTCCCCCCCACCTCAATGGTCAATTCTCTCCCCTCACTTCAGTCGTCTTTGGCCATATTTACCTAGATATACTGGACAACAAAGAAGTCGTGGTCTAAGATACATCAAGTGTATACCATGTGCAGATGAGACTTGCGCTAAACCCTGGTCGCCTTGAACCTGCAGTTTGTGATGCAGCATGGAGGCTTCAAGGGGTGTCGGCTGCTCCGCCTCCGCCAATCCATACCCAGGACGATAACTACGGTAGGGTTTTTACAGTATTAACAAGTGCTCCCGCCTTCCCTTACAGAGTATCACATATCCATCAAGCTGTCAGCTTTTTCAGCTTGACGCCCATACACAGTAATCAAGATTGACCAGTTTATCACCAAAGCATGCTAAAAGTCACTGCAAGGCCTCCTGGCCTCGTAAAAGAGAGGAGCTGTCTTGTGGATGGGTTGCGCTGCCAGTAACGACTGAGGAGTGTACTCCAGGGAGCCTCGCGTATTGAGCCTCTCCAGGGAAGAGGATACTACTACCCCACTTTCTGTGGTGCTCTTTAAATGATTGATTGTCAAGGGACCGACAGAGCGGAAGAATGAAAGCTAATGACATTTCAGTGGCAGCACGAGGGGAATTGAGAAACTGACAGGAATGTTATCGACCATCCATCTCATCGGCCACCCGCCCTTCCTTCAGCCGAGGCCTTGCCTATGAGTGCGCGCATTACACGTGAGGAGGTGGTTCCTCCCAGTGAGTGTCCTTGACCCATGATTGCAAATTGCTCAGGCGTAAGGGCCCAGATGACCTCCCTCCTGAAGGGGCAGCCCGTAAAGGAGTTCAATCGACTGCAGTAAAGAATGCGCATTCATCAATCATGACAAACACACCGGGCAGAGGACGGACATGCCTCTTAAAAACTCTCGGACAGCCAGCCACTTTCCAGCGACATTAAATCAACACGGACCAGAGTCTTTGTTTTCACTCCTAGATGCCCGTGCAAGGGGGGTGGTTCATGTCAATTAAGCGGCAGCTAACCCCACTACAAGGGAGGCTGAGACTTATCCAATCATGCCATTTAAGCCCGCCGGAAGATACGCCAGTCCACCACTTCGTAGCCTGTCAGGTTGACTCGATATGATATTCAAAGGAGAAGCTTATGTATAGACTGGAAGCGGAGACGGTAACTATGCATAATCACGAACCTGCGCATCCAAAGCGCAGCCCAGTTGAAAACGCAAGAATCAAGTATGGAACCCTAGATCATGCCTATCTGTGCAAACTGAATCTGCGTTCACTAATCAACTCAATGTGAACTCCGGCGCTGATATAAGAATGTCCAGAACGGCTACCTAAAATTGCATGAAGGACACATCTTTGCAAGAGAAAACGGCACCTATGCGAAACTGAAAGGGTAAAGTAGGACGAGTGTTCAGGAAAGCACTGAGAACGGACGGAAAGTGGGTTGTCATAAGAATATCATTTCGCGTGAGCTAAAGCAGGGGAATCAAGGGTTTAAGCAGTCTCGACATAATTGCTACACATGAGGGATTAGTCTCCCCACATGAACTTCAGATCTTTATCAGCAATGATACTTACCTGGGGAAAATTCCAACTCGATCTCCAATCCGCCCCGTCCACCAATCCTCGGCCTTTTCAGTCCGCTTGAGGATCGTGATAATATCGCCTTTCTTGAAGCCCAGGTCGCCTTCCTGGTCAGCGTCAAATGTGTACAACGCAATTGCCTGATCCTGCCGAAGTGTAGGAGCAGCTCCTGTCCTTTGTCCAAAAATTGGCTTTGGAGCTGTGGGGCGACTGGGTTTGCGGTCGGAATACACATAATCCTCATCGATAGGAGCAGTGTTGCTACGATTGCGGTTAAAAGTCTCGTAGGCATCCGGGCGGCTGCTATTGCGGGTCGTGGATGATCGACTCAGACCTGCCGCAGGTCGGTCATAGATATCATCGGCCCACGTATTCGCACGACGAGGGCGATCCCGGTACTCATAGTCGTCATTGCTATTCACTCCCGTGCGCTCCCGCCGCACGCCTTCTCCGTAGGCATCGCCTCGTCGACCCTCCCACACCACATCGTCATGGCTATCGTCATAGACAGGAATGTCATTATACATCGTGTCTCCTTGCCGAGAGTTGCCATAGAAAGCGCGGGAGCTCAGAACACGTAGCAGGGGTTCTGCCGCAGGAGGAGGCCGGATGGTTCCGCTCAGTAGCTGTTTTGCCGAGACTCGACTGTTGTACATCTTCTCGTTCGCATCTTTGCGCTCCACGAGCATGCTGCCCTCTAAACTCACACCAGCAAACAGACCCTTAGTCTTGGAGTATGAGAACACCGCCGCGACACCCTTCGTGCTTGCCGCGCCTGCAGCCTCGGCATTTCGCCCGATCGGTCCAGCAGCAATCGAGACATTACCACCTAGTGTCAAGGTCCCCACTTGCGAAAATGTGCGAACGGCGGCAGCATCGTTGAGGATGAAGACGAAGTCGGTCAATTCAAACCCTATTTGGCCTCCAAACCCGGCACCTGCTGTCGCAATGGCCGAGGGAGCCGACCAAGTGCCATCTGCGAGGCGGGCGACAACGACCCCTGAACCGAACCGAGCGGAGCCCAGAAAGCCGGCTTTCAGGACAGTAAGAATGGCGAGGCCCTGGCGAAAGAGCGGTCAGCCTAAGGCAAAAACGCCACGGAATGACCAGGACAGAGACAGGCTTTGCCCACTTACTTTAGCACCGGCTAGAATTTCAGGAGGAATGACCTTATCAGGGCCAAAAGCTTGTCGTGGGTCCACGAAGGATGCAAGAATTTTGCCAGCCTTTTTGCATTCGCCTGTTGTCTCGCTGGTTAGTTCATGCTCAATGGCTTTTTCGAGTTGATTGCGGGGAAGTTGGAAAGCGGGCGGAGTAATGCGTACTTGACAGAGACGAAGGTAGCGGGTTGTGAATTCCGAGAGGCATCTTGGAAACCGCTCCAAAACCTGGGAAACGTGTGACAAAAGGGAAGGGAAAGAGAGAGAGAGAAAAGAAGAAGAGAGGAATGGAAGAAAGAGAGGGATGACAGAGTGTGCGAAAGTGAGAGAGAAGAGTCAGGGAATAGCAAAGAAAGCTGTTGATAACCTTTAGGTTGCTTTGGTCTGAGGGAGCGACCGGAAGTGGAACCCAAATGACGGGCTGGCATCCACCCTCTTTCGCAAACGATGTACCTTACTGTATGTATAGTGTATGTTTGCTGGCAATCCAAGCTGACCATAAGCGACTGCACCACGATTCATCTGGTCGTCCGATAATCTCCAGTGGTGGGCTTTGACGAAAGGTCAGATAGGATGTGCTTAAGCCTGCGATATCAAGCCCGAGGTGACGGCGCTCTTCGTTCGTCTTCATTACGTTCTGTGGCTGAGGTTTTCCTAACTGCGGTCGGCTTCCTTAACATCCGGCTGCCGCAACTTATGCAACCAAAGCCATTGAAACAGATCGGAGTCGTTAGAACAGGCTCTTGTCGCTCATATTTTGGAACCCCGATGTGATGCGACAGGGTCTTTCCTGCCATCTCGATGCTCGAGCGTAGATAAAATCCCTGGTCATACAGTATATGAGGTGCACATCCATGCGGTCCAGCCAATTGAAACCTGAGGCTGCACAACCGGCACAGCCACCGCCGGACCAATCCACAGGTCTCCCATCAAGCCGATCGGAGCTTGGAAGCTCTCATTCTCGTCATTCTTCAACCACATCCGATTGTTCGGTTGCATGTCGACAAGTGCCAGAAGTGATGTCTCAATGATCAGGGAAGGGGTGCTAGTAGCTGCCTTTCTCAAATCCACTCCCTGATGGCTACAGGTTCGACAGGCCGATCACGATTGGTGTTAACTTACGGTTGCTGACAGCACCCCCAGTGCGAATCTGCGTCTGTGGAGACGAGGGTACTGGCAAGTCCAGCCTGATCACTTCCCTCGTCAAAGGAGTCTTCGTCACGAACAAGATCCAACCCGTCTTACCCCAGATCACAATTCCTCCGACCATTGGGACTCCCGAAAATGTCACGACAACAACAGTGGTGGACACCTCCGCGCTCCCCCAGGAGCGGAATAACCTGGCAAGGGAGATCCGGAAATCGAACGTGATCTTGCTTGTCTACTCGGATCACTACAGTTACGAGAGAGTAGCCCTGTTTTGGCTGCCGCATTTCCGGTCCTTAGGAGTCAACGTACCTGTGGTTCTCTGCGCAAACAAATCTGATTTGGCCGCGGACCACACGGAGACCCAAGTCATTGAAGAGGAGATGCTCCCGCTGATGGCAGAATTCAAGGAGATCGACTCATGTATACGCACCAGTGCCCGCGAGCATCGAAATGTCAATGAAGCCTTCTTCCTTTGCCAGAAAGCTGTCACGCATCCCATCGCACCACTTTTCGACTCCAAGGAGTCTGCCCTTAAACCCGCTGCTGTCGCTGCACTGCAGCGCATTTTCTATTTGAGTGACAAGGATCGAGATGGTTACCTCAGTGATAAAGAGATCGAGGATTTCCAGATGCGCTGTTTTGAGAAGCCTTTGAGTCAAGAGGACTTGGTCCATATCAAGGAAACCATACAAAGGGGACACCCACACTCGGTCACTCCCTCGGGCATCGACTGCCGTGGGTTCATTCATCTGAATAAGATGTACGCTGAAAAAGGTCGTCACGAGACAGTCTGGATCATTCTGCGGGCATTTCAATATACAGACAACCTGTCGCTACAGGAGAACTTTCTTCACCCGAGATTCGAAGTTCCCCCTTATGCATCAGCTGAACTATCGCCAGAGGGCTATCGGTTCTTCGTCAATTTGTTCCTGTTATCCGACAAGGACAATGATGGTGGCTTGAACGACGCCGAGCTGGCGTCGTTGTTTGCGCCGACACCAGGGTTACCTGCCTCGTGGGCGGATGGCTCATTCCCGTCTTCCACCGTGCGAAATGAGGCCGGTCATGTCACCCTTCAGGGCTGGCTTGCACAGTGGAGCATGACCACCTTTACATCACCCAAGACCACGCTTGAGTATCTAGCGTATCTGGGATTCGAGTCATCCGACCGCAGCAATCCTTCCACTACGGCGGCGCTTAAAGTCACGCGTCCACGAAAGCGACGGAGACGACCCGGGCGTGTGGGGCGCAATGTTGTCCTCGGCCACGTGCTTGGAGCTCCGGGATCCGGCAAATCGGCCCTGCTAGATGCTTTTCTCTCGCGAGGGTTTAGCGCCACATATCATCCCACTATCCAACCCCGGACGGCTGTGAACACCGTTGAGCTCCCGGGGGGTAAGCAGTGCTATCTGATTCTGGATGAGCTTGGAGAATTAGAGCCGGCGATCCTGGAAAATCAGGCCAAGCTTTTAGACCAGTGCGACGTTATTGTATACACATACGACTCGTCTGACCCGGATTCCTTCGCATATATTCCAGCCCTCCGGGCCAAGTACCCGCACCTTGAAGAGCTTGCAAGCGTTTTCGTGGCACTCAAGGCGGACTTGGACCGGACCACTCAGCGGGCCGAGCATCAACCTCATGAATACACGGCCATGCTGAACATGCCCAGTCCACCGCTCCATGTCAGCGCTACGTGGAGCTCAATTCAAGAGGTCTTTGTTCATATCGCGGAGGCGGCCATGGAACCCAGCACGGCTTTTCCGCGGAGTGAGGAAGATGTGGAAGGCAAGTGGATGTCGTGGGGTATAGCCTTGGGGGCGGTTGTCTGCGCGGGGGCAGCAGCAGTGATGATTTGGCGGAGAGTCAGTGGCAGCGGGGTCTGAAGAGGGCGCTGTTTGAGTCCCAATAACACTTATGTATGAATAGTCGGAAACCCAGATACCCCTGCCGAGTTGTGCCTGACTGGGCAATGCCTTGAATGCTTGAATACCTGTATGCTTGTATGCTATTATGCTGAGGGAGGAAGAACGGTACTTCATTGCTCTGAATATCGTTCAAAACGTACCTTCTCCTAGCTCAAATCGCGTAAGGTCAAAAAGTGCAGTGGCAGATAGAACCCCGCCGTGATCGGCTCGAAGATTTCCCGGTATGAAATGACTAGTAGTCCAGTAGTGTTGAGAAGTCGGCGGCTGGCCCCGGCCCCACGCGCAAACCTGCCTCTTAGGCTCTTAACTTACACCATGAGTTTAGTTAACCCCGGAATAATGACCACCGGCTGGCTGGCCCGTCAGCTCCAGATTCCCCGTCCATCGTCCGTCCACTCGTCCTCTTGCCAGCCTCCCTCCCCCCCCAACTCTCTTCCCAACTCTTGACTTCAAGTCGTTCTTGTGAACTCAGCCGATTCGTGCCCGGATTATCTCCCCTGTCCCTTTCTCTCCCCGCTCCGAGATCTACTTAAACTACCAGGAACGCCCGCGGATTCACTTCCCTTCCGCGCATAGCAGTGTCCCAACCCGCCCTTCTCGGTCCATTTATCTCTCTGCTGCGGATTGTCGCTTCTTCTACCCATCTAGCTCCTACGATCTCAGTCGTAGTCAACGCCTAGCCCTATCAACACCTCTTCATAACTGAAAAGCAGCGAAAAGGGCCGCCGTGAGTGGCACCCGTTGTTGGTGCCGCTCTTGAGGGACTTTATACCCTGGCAGCATCGTCCACCTCGCATCGACGATTGCCTGACTAGCCAGCCTATGCCCCGGTCGTACCATATTGACCCAGAGAATCCTTGCATTGACCCTCAATTGGTTCCCGCGAGAGCCCTGTTGCAACCGCAGCCATGTTGTAAGACACACTCCGAGCGCACCCTGGTTATCCGTTTCCTGTCCCTTATCTCCGCCTGGTGCAGCAGCATCATAGGTCCGGCGCCTGAGTTCCTGGAGGTTTCCCAGAGACAGTCCCGTCTCCCTCCCCGCTTGACACGAATTATGACGGCTCTATTGACTGATCATTCAAATCCAGCGTCCTTCCCCCGCCCCCGCCCCGCTACACCGTTCCGGTCGCATATGCAGCTGGTGCATCCAACGGCATGGCGGTGCCTGTGGTAGAGACAAACAACATTATCAGCCATCCCGAGGGCGGTTGCCCGCTGCAGGTTGGAGAAGGTGTGTTGGCCCTACTGCGCCCGCGGAGGCATATTATCGATCCACTGACACGGAGAAACCACTCTAATAGGGACTTATCACCTGAAAGATGACCTCCATCTCGCAACCCCGCCGCCCCATCCTTCCGAAGCGCCTGTCATCAACCCCAACCCTCTCGCGACCGGCGTGACTCCGCCAACCTCAGGCGTTAAACTTTCGCTGGTCCAAGTCAGCAATCAAAGCAAAGCACCCATATACACGTTGAATGGAACTGCCACGGCACCGCTGTTTGGCGATGGGAACCCCGCACTCGTCGCCCCGCCGGTCAGAGAAGGCCTCAAGAGGAGGAAACCTAAGAACAACATCGTTAAGAGCAGCTCGTCATTTGTTTCACGGGTGATTACCCATGAATCGCTGACAAAACGCCTTAACGATCGCAGCCCTGACGGCTTTTTCGCGTTCGCAAATATTAATCGCGCATTCCAATGGCTGGATCTCAGTTCGAAGCAAAAGGAAGAGCCGCTGGCGAAAATTCTTTTCACGAAAGCGCACATCTTGAGCCACGATATCAACGAGCTAACGAAGAGCTCTTCGCACATCGACATCGTCATGGGTTCGTCGGCTGGGGACATAATATGGTACGAGCCGATCTCTCAGAAATACGCGCGCATCAACAAGAATGGGGTGGTTGCCAACTCCGCCGTAACACATATCAAATGGATTCCGGGATCGGAGAGCCTCTTCATGGCTGCCCATGCCAATGGCCAGTTGGTGGTCTATGACAAGGAGAAAGAAGATGCGCTCTTCACACCTGAGATGACTAGTTCTTCAGCTGAAATGCTGAAATCGTCGGGTCGGCAGCCGTTGCAGATTCTGAAGTCGGTCAACTCCAAGAACCAGAAGACGAACCCCGTGTCCTTGTGGAAAGTCGCCAACCAAAAGATCACTCAATTTGCATTTTCTCCGGACCGCAGGCATCTGGCCATCGTCTTGGAGGATGGGTCTTTGCGGGTGATGGACTACCTCAGAGAGGAGTATGCAAGCTATTTATGGTTATCACAGATCTGGGGTGCTAACTGCTGCTAGGGTTCTTGACATCTTCCGCAGTTACTATGGCGGCCTTATCTGCGTATGCTGGTCGCCCGACGGCAAATATATCGTAACCGGTGGTCAGGACGATCTGGTCACCATCTGGTCCCTACCAGAACGAAAGATTGTAGCCCGATGCCAAGGCCACAACTCTTGGGTTTCGGCGGTAGCTTTCGATCCCTGGCGCTGCGACGACAGGAACTACCGGTTTGGCAGTGTTGGTGATGATTGCCGGTTGTTGCTGTGGGACTTTAGCGTGGGCATGCTACACCGTCCCCGAGTGGTATGTATCACAGGCCCAAACCACGCACCATCGGTCCCGCTCGATCTTGTGGCTCACACCGTTCCCAGCACCAAGCGAACGCGCGTCAACGAACCAGCATGATTGTGACCAACACGCCGCTTGGCAATCGACACCGAGCCGATAGTGCCGGGAACCGCGTCCGGTCCGACTCGCAACAGACCGCCGATACCTACAGCAGCTACGACCCCACCGTCCGCCATCCCGTGGAGCCCAGGGCGCGCACGGCTCTCTTGCCGCCGATCATGGTGAGCTACCCCTTCCCAGCTCCTCCGTTCCTGCGCGACTGACAGCCCACTCCATCATAGTCCAAGATCGTTGGAGAAGACCCAATTTGCTGGCTGGGGTTCCAGGAAAACTCCATCATGACATCCTCTCTCGAAGGTAGACACCCTCTTTTCCCTTCTGAAAATTTCCTAAAGTACGCTAACCTCTCAATCCCACACAGGGCATATCCGCACCTGGGATCGTCCACGAGAAGGCATCAACGAGGACTATTACGATCACACGTCCTCCCCGGCCATCAGCGCCAGTGCCGCAGCGTCGGGCTCCGGTTCCGCGCTCGGGGACTCGGTGATGGGATCACTCTAAGTCCAATGTTGCAGAGAACAGGACCTGAAACTGGAAGGAGAGCCCTTCATCCATCCTCGATCTTTTGTACATAGTCTGTAATGATGGGTCGGTTCTCTCGACGATGAGGTCTATACCCCGATGAAATGAAACACTTATCGAAACATCGATTGTCAGTTTGTGTGTTGCTTACTATTCTGCGTGCCCTAGACTACATACAGTATTGGTTATTCCTTAAATCACTGGTAATAATAGAGTCAGCGACAGCCGAGGGAAGCTCGAGTCACTCAGCAGATGATGGAGCCGGGCGGGATCCTGTGCACAGTGCCTCCTCATACATGGCTAAGGAAGTCACTCCTCCCCCAGGGGAATCGAATGACTGCACTGGCAACGGAGACCAGAAACCCTCTCCACAAAGAGGATGGATGTCAATACTCGGAGAAGTGATATTAACTACCTCTACTATCAACCTTGTCCCAAGAAGACCCGAGCAACCAGGAAACCAGCCGATAAAGACAATGGCGCTGGCGTCACAATCCTCCTTTTCTTACATTATCGACATAACATGAAAACTTTGTAGATGGTGTTGGGGGAATTGCTCCGTCAATATCTTCAATCAATCAATCAATCAATTATTATCAAAATCAAAAAACCGTGATACATCACTCGTGGGAGGTATGAAGGGAGAAGGGAAGTTTTAAAGGGCGAACAATTCCGAGAGGGAATCTTGGGTACTTGGGGGGGGGCCAATAACATGCGCTTGTACAGTATCTCATCAAAAGGAAGGATCATGTGTATGCTGGCAAAAGGGGGCGAAAGGTAGATACTAGGTAGATATCTAGGCACGGTATAACTCAAAAGATAATGACACGCTGATAGGGGATACATAAGGTACCCAGTAATGTGAAAAGCAAGTTTGAAGCTATTTGTGCGGGACCACTCATACTCGGATCGTATCGAGCACGGTGGTTATATACACCCTTACCCTGGATTAGGATCTTAAGAGAGGATGGAAGGGAGGAAGGGAGGAAAGAGGTGGGTAGGTAGTATCGGGTCGGTTAGTTTGGTGACGGACAGGCGAACGGCACACATTGGGCGTGATGGCTTGTCTCACTGGCACTTCCCTTGGGCCATGGCAAAGGAAATAGGGTCCAATCGGTACGGGTCGTTTACAGCACTCCGGCAAAGATGCTCAACACGAGGGCGCTGAGCACGGCGAGGGGGCCGCTGAGCGTCATGACACTCGAGGCAGCGCCGGCCGAGGCAGTGGCTGAGGCAGCGGTCTTGGTGGCAGTGGTGGCAGATGCTGTGGCTGTTGTCAAGAGAACACACAGAGGAGAAACCAGGTTAGTCAGATATTCACTTCATGTACTTTCGGTACTCACCCGGTCTCACGGAGGCGGAGGGGATGGTGCTAGATGATAGTGATGATGATGATGATGATGATGATGATAGTGATGATGATGATGATGGTGAAGAGGCCTTGTGCAAGATGCAGGGGCGTGACTTGATTTTGGTGTGGATGTGGGTGTGGGTGCTGGTTGATAGTGGTGCATGTGCATGTGCTGGTGCTGACTGTGATGATAATGATGGTGTATATGTAGGTGTAGGTGTAGGTGTAGGTGATTTAGGTGTAGATGGTAATGTGTGTGGTGATAGTGTTGAAGTGAAATTATCCTTACCCGTCTCAACTTTGCCCACAGCAGTGACGTTGAACTGGTTCGACTGGCTCAGGATGCCGGTGTTCTGGGTCGAGTTGGCAATGGCATTGATTTGGTAGCCATTACTATTATCCAACTCCATTAGTCTTGCTGCCCTGCTCTCTGTTGGGTTAAAACATACGCAACAGGGATTCCGGTGATCTTGTCCACAGTATAGGAACCGGCCGAGACCTTGACATTCTCGGCAATGACCTTACTGACCGTAGGCTGGGAGGCCATATTCACCAGCTCTAAAGTGACCTGGTCCTGATCAGAACTGGTACGACCTGTCAGTATCCCTATGCATTGAGGGGTCAAAGCTCGAAAACGTACGGAACCGTCGTCCAGGTGATCTTGTACGGCTTGCTGAAGTCGACCTTGTCGCCAGCCTTGGGCGCAGTGAGGGTCATGGCTGCAGAGTCATCTCAGTCTCGCAGTCCAGTCAAACTCTGGGGATCTGGAGGTCTTACCCAGGGCTGAAGCAGCAAAGGCGACAATGGCGAAAAGAAGGCTCAAGGAACGCATGGTGGCAAGTGGTTGAAGGGTAATTAGAATATGATTGATGAAGGGGGAAATCTGCACAGCAGACACAATATGAATTAAAATGGAGAAAGCTATACACTGGCTTTGGAAGATGGAATAAACAATTAACAAAATCTGGGACACGACAGCTTTTATAACTTCATCTAACTTACAACACACCGCAACATGGCAAAGGACTGTAACTAAGTTAGGGCACCGATACAGTCAGTAGCTTCAATCCCCCTCCCGCTATCCTGTCATCATCCTGGATTTTTCTCCTACCGGATTGACCGATCGGAAGAAAAGGTTACAAGGAAAGGAAATCAACAAGAAAGGAAGAAGGGACTATGGGATGGGGATAAGTCCAAGCCCTGTGTCTATTTTGGGAGGTGGTGGTGATGCGAGGGATGGGGTTTTCCGCAGGTGACTGGTCTGATTTGCGCAAAGGAGCTTCTCCCATCCATCCTGCAGGAGACGCGTTCGATTCCTTATTCTCGTGATAGTCTCTGTCTTTTTGATTCCCACAGGGCTTCAACAGGAGGTTGACAGGAGGTTGATAGGAGATTTTTTTGCTGACCATCAGTCACGACAAAGGAGAATCCCCTTTTCTCCTCTCCTCCCTCCGCCCTCCCCTCGTGTTGGCAGGGCACGATCCCTCTTCTCCTTTCATGGGAGATGATGTTCTCAACGGCGACAAGGGAGTCCGACCCTTTCTACCTTTCTACAAACCAGTGTGTGTCGCTTTCCTGTTCGATATGCCGATTGAGACCAACTAAGGTTTTCGGTTTTCACTAGCTTCTCCCAACATACAGCTGTTGATGCATACATAGCGGCAACGGATGCATAATCTTAACCGAACAACATCATCAGACCAAGAGATTTTCAGGTGAACAATAATTGATTTTGTGACAGAAAATAGGAGAGACCTTGAGGTCACATTGACCTCTTGTGGGAACTGACGGGGACGAACCCGGTTGAATTCAGTATGTTGAGTTACTGTGCATTCAAGCTACGCGAGACAATAACGTTCCACGACAAAAGTCAGACTCTCCAGGCAGTCATTTGGTTTGCTGCTGAATTGTCGGTCGCCAGGATAATACACATCACATCATGCACTGCTGACCCGACCAGTCATATTGATGCTCAATTGACTTTGATGGCGTGGAAAAAAGGCTTTGCTTGTCCCAAGAGTCCATCAATAAATCTAGTCGATCGACCATGCAACATCATTGATTCCTCGGAAGGTACGGAGTACCTGGAAGTCAATCCGAAAGTCAATGGTACAGAGCATTGTTTCCATTATCGTTCCCCTATACTCGGCCTCACCAACAACAAAGATGACTTGCCATGATGCAATGAATAAGTACTTGCACCAGGGATGCATCACTCTGAACGGCATGGGCGCTAACCCTTGGCTTGCAAAACGGACCGATTACTTTCCGTGACACGGAGATTAAAGCCACCAGCTTCCAATATCTTCCGAGATATAGAACCCCGGAAGTAGTAGGACCAGCCCAGGATATTTCATCTACTACTATATGTGATCTCATACTACACCCACAGGTGCTTGTCGAGCATGCATGTGGCCTGAGAATAGATGACACTTATGCTCGAGTCACTCCACCAGAGCCACCCACTCATCCAACAGTCTGTCCTTGAGCGGGTATAACTGCTACGATCGCAAGGTCACGCAAGCCGACGAACGTAATCATCGGTACTTGTGGATCCGAGATCCCAGCGTGCGTCGGACAGACAGGCAGACAGACCATACCTTATCTCTGACAAGATGGTCATCTGCATGGCTATTTTTGTGTCAATTCTATGTATGATTGTCACGGCACAGCCAACGTCTGTGACATAGTCCCACGGACTTAGACGCCCCATACACCCAGTGGATCGGGGCCACCTGAGTTGATCCGCGAATGCTGCAGGGTCTTCACCCTGCGGACGAGCGTACCCACACAGATGGGGCTAAGGAGGGTGCAGATAGAGATCGCCCAAACGACGACCAGATAAATGTCTGAAGAACCGCCGGTCGAACTTTTTCCCAAAATCCCCTTCGATTCTGCCAGAGACGCAATGAGATAGCCAATCTCTCCTCGCGCTACCATTGCCAGGCCCAGTACCGATGAAGGGTAGAGAGACTTGGGCTTCGGGGCATGAGATCCAGAAGAGCTGGTGGTTTGGGTTTCAAGTGCTCTGCCGTCGATGTGCTGGCGGAAGTCCTCTCGGAAGAGTCGTTGCCGTTCGACCCCGACGTGCCACTGCAGGCAGTCGTATTTGTGGATTGATATGTGGAAGCAGGGTTCGAGTCGCGCGAGCGCGCTTTTTCCTTCTTTGCCCCCTTTGTCTTCGCCTTTCCCGATTGCACCTGCGGTGAGAGGGCACAGAACAGCTTGATGTAAGAGATAATTTTGATCAACGTCCAAAACATGCTTGACATCGAGCCGAAGGAAAACCTGACTAGCCAGGTACCGGTCACGACTTTTCCAAAGAACATGAGGATGGCATAGATGACGCCTTTCCAGACAATGTTTCTCTTGAACATTTCCGTTATAGGGACAGCAAACCCAATCGAGGCCTATGGTGATCAGTCGAGTTCAACGTGCGACAAAGGAGAAATATGACTTACAAAAAAGAGAGGAATCAAGATTCTCTTGGCTGGTTCGGCATAGTACCTCTCATATACTAGAGCACCAGCAGGGAAGTCGGCGGAGGAGGAGCTTGTAGCGCCGGGTTGCGAGGGACTCCCTTGCTGATTCTGCGCGGATGCCACATCTCGTTGGCTAGATACGGGGTCCCGGTAAGCACTTTCTGATCCCATTCCGTCTCCAATCGTGGACTCCGGCCGACTCAGGCGTTCCGCTTCTGCGCGATGCTCGAAAAGGTCGCTTGACCAAGTCGTTGATACACCCGCGAGGTAGGCGGCAAACAAGCTAGAGGTCCCTGCGTAGGTGACACCAGCGATTAAACCAAGCAAGAGAGACGTATAAGCCAGGAAAGCGAACTGGACGGTCTTTGCAGCCTTGGGGAATTTGTCCTTGTGCGAGAAGAGAAGCTGCAGGGTGGGCTTCACGCCAAACCGGCAAGCTAGCACAACGCCCACTCCAAAGGCCAGCGATACGAAGATTGACCGAACAACAGTCACAGCACTGAACGACTCGCCGCCGCCCCCATCAAGGTTCGTGATAATCTGGACCATGACCAATCCCACGACATCGTCGAGCATCGCCGCACTCGTAGTCACAACACCAAGCCGTGTCTTGACAAGCCCCGTGGTAGAAAGAATGGTAAACGTAGTCCCCAATCTCGTAGCACTGAGAGCCGCACCAGCTGCATAGGCCTGCAGTGCGTTTGCCGAGACCAACTTCATGAGAATGAAGGATAAGGCCATGGGGGTGGCGATACCGGTGAGCGCTACGGCTACCGAGAGGAAAAGGTTCGCTCTCAGTGAAGAAAGTGAGGTCGAGAGACCACCTTGGTAGACCAGCAAGATCAGCCCCAGATACCCCAACTGCTGGATTACTGTCTCTGCATTGTCATTGAGCCATTTCGTTCCGGGAGTGCCTCAGAGGATGCCGATAAAGAGCTGCCCAATCAACCCGCAGCAGAGTAGTTTGTCTAGGAAGACATTGACCAGGTTGAGAGCCAGAATGAAACCGGATTGATTAAGAATCGTATGAATGGAGGGTTCCTCGTAAGCGAATGTAGTTTCAGTGGAGGACATGTCGGCCCAACTAACAAGAGAGGATCTTTGATGGGCAGATGCTTATATGTCGGGAAATGAATGTTTTGACTGATGAAAGGCTGATTCCTTGATGTTGGGAGACTCCATCGATAGACTCTGCTCTTCTTCCGGGTAGTACAGAGTACTTTGATGCAATATGTGAAGCGTTGGAGTTGGAGTTGAGTAGAGAGAGCACAGTTGACGAAGACGACAAGACGGAGAAGATGGAAAAGCAACAATGATCTCGGCCAAGAGATGCCCAAGTGAGGCTTGGCTTCATCCCCGCCCGCCGCAGTTCCGCCTTCACTTCCTCCGCCTCGATCTCTCCTCTTGTTTTCTCGCAATTCCTCCACCGCATCGTGCTTCATGTGCTCAAGTCTTCATTCTGTTCTTCTTCTCTATACCAACGGTGTGTGAGATTAGCAGATGATTTCTCATAGGCTTCGAGCCTCTACGATGGTTCGCTCATGATATTGGTCATCGTAATCTACCTCGCTCGACACCGCAGGCGACCTGAATTACTGCACGTACCCAGTGGCTCAATAAGTTCAAGGCAAACAGTCCTCTATAAAACAATGTCTGCGATCAGTCAATTGCCCTCGTCATACTTGTCAATGGAAACGGCCGTCTCCTACCAGGTCGGTCTGGCCCAAGGTCAAGTGGGTATTGACTACTATATTACAAGGCCAATGCGAGCTGGTCTATAAACAACGGTGCAGAACTCAATTCAAGAAAAGAGTTGAAATATGTGCCCCTGAAAATCTACTCGCTCCAGGAATCAAGGGATGCCATAACAGATCAAGTATGTGCTCGATACTACATTCCAGGAAGTCCTTTGGCTGATGCTAGGCTCAAATTGGTAATAGGTATGGCCGACAATGGATGGCTCAGGATCGATCAACAGAATACAGCTCCATAAACAGGCAAGGCGCTTGTTTACTTGAGTGTTTCTGCTGGCCTTCGTTGCCCTAGGCCAAGCGGTATGTGTTCTGCTTGCCTATTTCAAGGATTGGAGATCTGACCATCAAAGGCCGATTCCGTGACGTATTAGCCCAATATAGCGGCTCCACGGTTAGCATGTGGCCTCGACTTGCAAATGGTGAATCGCTGGTCGCTTTTGTTGTGGTTCCCAGTCAAGGGGGTTCTTATGATATGAATAACCTTGGAGCCGATGCCATATCAAGGATTATTTAAGATCCGTTGTCCCCTGGGTTTCACCCGCGTTCAATTCCTCGTGCTCTGCTAGTGAAACCCATTCCCCTTTAGCTAATATTCCGACCCTTGTCTTTCGTTCTTGTGGGGACTGGGGTTGTTCACGTCTAGGATTTGGTATTGTTTCTTCCAAACGTTGTGTTTTCCAAACGTTGCGTTAAGAACCAGTCATCGACATGAAAGTTCAGACAGCGAATCTTATCCTGGGCTTTTGCGGCTCTATCATGGCCCTGCCGCTCCATGATAGTTTCGAGAAGCGAGCGTCCCCGGCGCCTTCCTCAAGCCATGCGGTCCAATGGCCCAGTTCTTCTGGGATCACATCGGCCTCTGTGCATGTCCCATCCAGCAGTTCTGTCATGAAAGCATCTATTTCCGCGCCTAGCTCAGCAGCAAAGGAAATGGGCAACCTCAACTATCACGGTCCAGCGATAGTCAATGGCGCTGCCGTCAACGGTTTCCCGCCGACCACTACTGCGACGGGCACCACGGCACCTTCCGGCACTTTCGAGGGCAGTTCAATCACGAAACCAGTCGCTGTGCCAACAACGGCAACTGTGGGAGAGCACGCGAGCGGCGGGAGTCAACCCCCGTCTGCGCAGAGTCAGCCTACCTCTTACGGACAGTCGGGTCTTGGTGGCCAGAGCACTGGTCTTTCGAGTGCTCAATCTCAGGGTCAGCCTACGGCTTATGGGCAGACCTCGCCTTTTGGCGTATCTGCTTCCGCTGAGCCAGCATTGCCGACCCAGCCACCTAATCCATTTGAACAACTGAACCCCTTTGGGCAAGCCACCTCCGACGATGGAGCGGACCCTTTTGAACAGTTTTTCGGTGACGGACAATCAAACCCTTTCGAGCAGACTGCTGCAGACAGCCAACCGGGTCCTTACGGGCAAGCCACCCCACAGACTGCGGACATTGGAGCTTTGCCAATTGGTCCAGAAGTTCCTCAGGGGTCGAATGCGAACGATGGGGCATCTAGTGGCGCGCGCCCTCAGGGACAAACAAACCCGCAGGGAGCGTACCCCAACAATGGGGCATCTAGTGGAGCGCGTCCCCAAGGCCAAACGACCCCGCAAGGCCCGACATCGAATAATGGAGCCTCTGCCGCAGGGCGCCCCCAGAGCCCAACTTCAAACAAAGGAGCATTGAGCGGTGCTCGTCCCTTAGACAACGGAGCTCCGGTGGCCCCATCTACGTTCACTGGATCCGGCGGCGCATACCCTCGCGGACAGCCTGACTCTCAAGGCTCAAGCACAACTCCTGGAGATCTCAGTGCAGGACGGCCTCAAGCACAGTCTGCGAACACCGGAGCCGCCAATGGTGCGCGTCCCCAGGACCAGACCACTCGTCCCGGTTCTACTACGAACAACGGAGCTCCGAGTGACACGCGGCCCAAGGTCCAGTCCCCCAACTTGGCGAGCGCAACGAGTCCTCAGGGTCAAGTTTCAGACCCCGGGAAGAGTAGTGCTGAACTCGCCGAGCAGTATGGTCTTGACGTCGATGGACAATTGCTCGCGCCGGGCTATAACCCTGTTGCAACACAATCATCGGACGACGATGAGCCCTTCGGATTTGCCAGTGTTGCATCTCTGAGCCAAGACGCTGCTCCTGCTAGTGAATTAACCGCTCCAGGTCAATCTCTCGCCTCAGACTATATCGATTCTATCCCCAAGGGTGAAGCTGCAGCTGCCGGATATCTTGGAACCGCAACAAGTCAGCCCACTGTTTCTAGCAGCTCCGCTCCTCAAGAAGAGTCCTCCAGTTACGGTAGCTCGACCCCGCAAGGTCAATCTTCGGCATCCGACAAGCCTGCCTCTCAGGGCCAGTCGTCCGCTTACGGCAGCACTACCTCCCAGACCCAATCGTCTGGCCACGGTAGACCAACTCCTCAGGCTCAGTCTTTGGCGTCTGGTAAGCCTGCCTCCCAGGTTCAGTCGTCCGGTCATGGCAGCACTACTCCTGAGGGCCAATCTTCGGCGTCTGGAAGGCCTGCCTCCCAGGGTCAATCGTCCGGTTATAGCAGCTCTACTCCTCAGGGCCAATCTTCGGCGTCTGGTCAGCCTGCCTCTCAGGGTCAATCGTCGGGTTATAGCAGCTCTACTCCTCAGGGTCAATCCGCAGGGGGCTCCGCTCAAGGCCAATCCTCTGGGTCCGCAAGCCCCCCTTCTCCCGATAGCTATTCCAGCGGAGTCGGTCCCTCAGGTGACCCTGTTTACGAAGGGCCTATGGCAGGCCCTGATACCAATAGTCAGACCACCGCCGGTGCTGCAAAGTCCACCGGCGGACAGTCGAATGGCGCCCCTTCGACATCTGATCACGCTGCGGGCTCTAAACAGAGTTCTCAAGGCGGTGGTCCTGCTTCTACGTCTGGAAAGTCCCAACAGGGACAGAGCCAGGGACAAGCACCGAGTCAAACTCAGGGACACACTTCGACTCAAGGTCAAGGACAGAACCAAGGCCAAGGCCAAGGACAAAACAAGAGCCAAAGCCCGAGCCAGGGCCAAGCTCAGCCCCAGGGGCAGAACCAGAGCCAAGGACACGCTCCAAGCCAGGGACAAGGACAGGCACTGGGCCAGAAACAGAGCCAGGGACAAGCACCGAGTCAAGCTCAGGGACACACTTCGACTCAAGGTCAAGGACAAAACAAAAGCCAAAGCCCGAGCCAGGGTCAAGCTCAGCCCCAGGGGCAGAACCAGAGCCAAGGACACGCTCCAAGCCAGGGACAAGGACAGGCACTGGGCCAGAAACAGAGCCAGGGACAAGCACCGAGTCAAGCTCAGGGACACACTTCGACTCAAGGTCAAGGACAAAACAAAAGACAAAGCCCGAGCCAGGGTCAAGCTCAGCCCCAGGGGCAGATCCAGAGCCAAGGACACGCTCCAAGCCAGGGACAAGGACAAGGCCACTAGGGTACCGGAAGAAGTGAGCAACAAGAATGTGGGGGTCTAATTATCCATTTTTAATTTCTCATATTACTTTAACTACTAGCATTCCCGACGTCTTATTCACCAGCCATGTCTGAGTAGTACCTAATTTTAATGGAGAATGTTGACCTCGATGAGATTGCATTGAACTTCACAAAATAAACAAACAAATAACGAATAAACAGCCCAAGAATGCACAAGACAATCAAGCTAGCATTCGTCGATGCAAGGGGTGGGGCATGACAGCCTCAAGACAGTTTCCATCGGAATATATGTCGATTCTCTGGAGTAACAACCAAATAATACCCCGTAACCCTGCTGGTCCCTCGCCCTACGACAGTCTCGCGATGAGTACACTGTGCATAGTAGTTGACCTGTCCCATAGGGCGTGCTTCGCTTCGTCCGGGTGCTGATTGTGGAGCACACTTCATGGTTTGGACAATCGAACATCCCCATTGTAGGCCGATCAAAACAGCTGCATTGTACGGTTCCACATCCAGTCCATTCTTCTTGCAGTTGTGATTCCAACACCAGAATAAGCATCGCACAAGATACTCACCCTACACCCTCGCCCATAAAATATATTGCGAAAGACTACGAGTACTACTAAGGTGTCTGATGTCTACTAATCTGGTTTCTGTCGTGTATCATACTAAGTAGTACCGCATGCGTGCCTCTGACGACAAATATATATTTAGTACTCGCGCCTACTACAGAGTACACAGATCCCTTGAATAGTTGAAACCAACACCGTGAAGCCACCGAGTAAATGTCATTAAACCACACCGATAAATACATCATCACACTAGTTTAAACAAACCGATTCCAAATGATAAAATACTGCATCAACCCCTCCCCCGTTTC